TCTTCCACCACTCCCCTCTTGTCTAGAGAGCCTCTTGAACTTGTGTCTATCTTCCCCAGCCAGGCAAAAGAAAAACAGATCCTGTATGCGACCACGGGCTTCTCTCCTCCTTGGTAAGGAGTCGCTCTCCACCCAGCAGTCATGCTCCAAATGAGCCATCTCCCGAGGCAGGGATTGTGTGATGAGAAGGAACCAAAACTGAGCCTCCGCTCGACTAGCTAATCTGGTCTACATACCCGCTCCGATGCCCGCAGATCGATCGTGTCGTGTGCCGTGTGCCGTGTGCCGTGTCGCCCTATACAGGCACGGACGCAGGGACACACAGACCAACATCTTCTTCCACCCCGGTCGCGGTTCGTGAATCAACTTAATTTAGGACGTATCGTCGAGTCCTTAGTGGTCCCGACTTGTAATGGAAGTCCGACTCCTTGTTGGGATATTGTGGGTGTGAATTTGCGGACTGTCGGGCGAAAGAGAGAAGGCGTGGGGGAAGAGAAAGGCTTGCGGGAAGCAATTTCACTGCATCGAACGGCAAGCAGTGCAGTGGCAAAATGGTGTCAAGACCATGTGCTGTACAAGGTCATGTCAGCCATGCCATTGCCATTACCATGCAACGCGATGTGTATGTGGTACACAACAGTTTGCGCCGATCAAAGGCTGAGGTGCAGCACGACTCGGACCGGGCATGCATAGGTACACGCCTCACTTCGACCTGTTTATCCCTCTTTCGGCGGTCACCTGCACTACTATACTACGTCCTGGCTTTTCCCCAGATCGAAGAATGTTTCACTCATGGTGACGGCTGCTTCGCTTACAGAGTCGATGACGCGTTGACTTTTTGTGTCGCTCCCCCGTTCCATCGCAACTTCTGCCTCCTCCTTTTGTGCCGGACGGAGAATAAACTGACATTCAGATGGTCATTCTCTCGAGCTCTGAAGGTGATTAGGTAGGTTCGAATTTTCCGTAAGATCGGGTTGTTCAATTCACAAACCCCATGATCCCTGACACGACCATGCAAAGGCCACATGGCGTTGACACTGCAGCGAAATGCAATGCAATGCATCGCAGTGACAGCTGCCGTATGGACGACGATCAATTAACTCACGAGGAGGAGCAAGGAAGGAAGAGGGAGAGAGAGAAAGAGAAATCACATGTCTCTGTCTTTTATCGGTTACCTTCTCTCAGATCCGAAGTAATGCTTTCAAGCCCAAGCTTTTGTCGAGATTGACCCTTGCGCTGCTGGAGAAGAGGCGTCAATGTGCATGATAGAGAAGAATTGACAAAGACTGACAATTGACTATGGTCTGTTGACAAGTGATTGATGCAGCTAAGGGGTGTACAGGCTGCAGCCTCAGCTTGGTCAGGGTATATCAGTGGCACACATACACACACACCTACGGTATCCGGAGAGGAGGGGAAGAAGAGATGTGACAGACATTGACAACATGTCCAGCGAGTATCGAGCAGATTTCCCTTGAGGGATGGTGTCAATAGCGACGCACACCGCTATTTTCCTTTCCGTGCTGCCTAGCATCGCAGCAGGGCATGGGATACGAGAGAGACAAAGACACTTGCTGAGGCTGGCTGAGGCGGGCTTGACTGATCCGGCTAGCTGTCCCGGTTTGGCTGAAATGCCTTTCCCTCTAGGAAGGGAAGAAGAAGAAAGTGGCGCTGCAGGAAGAGTTGTTGCTTGCCAACTTCGGCTCCGGATCTCAAGTTTTCTTCCTGGATGACGATGCTAGACGCTAGTGTACGAGGCTTCAGGCTCTATTTGGTTGAATACGAAGCTGTCGCGTGGCCTGCAGGTGAGTGGTGGCTTGTTTCTCGTCAATGGCGAGTTGTGTGCTCTTCTTCTCCTTTTCGTTCTCGTTTTCCTCCGTCCTAGGCATGCGTGACTAAAAAGAATTGCAATGGTTGGATGTAGCGAAGTTGAATGATGCCCGTGTTCAATGGGAGGCTTCAATGTGCTGAGACTTCGTTGTGGGTGAGTCTGTTCGTCCTGGATGCCTGGGTCCTGATATAGTACCGCAAGAGTTTGGTCAGTCTGGTCTGCGGTCACCTTCTTTTCATGAAAGATGCTTCGGTTAGGTAGTCAGTGGGAAGAACGGCGAGTCCGTATCTTGAAATTGTCAGACGATATATACGCCTCGAGTTGTAAATTGAAGTCGAGCTTGTCCAGCAGCAGAAGATGATAATGATTTCAATGCAATTAATCTCACACAACGCGAGTAAACAGAATGAAACGAAAGGCTTGATTTGAACTCAATTCTTTGATTTTACCTTCCTCATGGCTGCTATGAAAAGGAAAACAACGCCTCAGACCAGAGCGGGACTAAAGGGCGTAGAACAAGGTCTGCTACTCTCTCCACCCAGCAGGACAAAAGACTCTGGAGCGCGGTGGGAGATACCACACGCTCTCGCAGGCGCAGCCATCTGGATGAAATCCACCACCAGCCCGTTCTATCCCACTCAACCCAATGGCAACAAAACCCTAGTTCTCGTGCAACACGTTGAGGAACTGGTCATTAATAGGTGCCGGCTTACCGGTGTCGCCCAGACCCTTCTGACCGATCTTCTCCTTGGAGTATGCGGCGGCATAGGGGTTAAGACGAAGCAGGACCTGTCTGTTGCGGAGAGGGTTCTTCTTCTGGACGACAGTGCGCTTGGTGATGGCGTAGCCCTTGGGCTCCTTGAGGACGGATTGGACTTCGGAGCTGTTGATCAGACGGGTGATGTCGGCGTTGCTGACCAGGTTAGAGGGGAGGAGGAAGTCCTTCTTCAAGCCGGAGGCCTCGGTGGTCGAGCCGTAGATGGTGTCGAGGGCAGAGAAGGCCGAGGACGTCCAGATGATGAATCGGCCCAAGTGACCACCAGGAGCGAGCTGCAGCAGGTTCAAGGCGAAGACGGACGAGGTCTCGACACCGGGAATGTTGCGGAACGCGCGCACGAGGTCCTTACCGTCGGTCTCGGGGTTGTAGACGACCAAGGGGCCTCGGCGCTGGCGGTAGCGGCGGTTTCGCAGCTTGCCCTTTCCGGCACGCAGTTTGCGCGACTTCTGCACCTTGACCACATCGGGCCCGGCGCCCACTGCCTTCAAGAGAGACACGGCGGCAGAGGTCTTGACCAGGGAAGTGCCTTCGAAGGCCTTGCTCGACACGACCAGCGGGACTTCAGGGGCGGTCGAGATGCGGTGGCCACGGGCCAAGAGAAGAGCTGGGACGGAGCTGGCTGCGACGGCGGAAACGGTTGCGAATCGCCTGTAAAACAACACCTGTTAGTTTTATTGCCCCTCTGGTATCCTGCACTTGCACTTGCAGTTGCGCAGACTCGTAGTACGCAGTACGTCTGCACCGCACCGCACCGGGGAAAGGGTGTTTCTTACTTCTGACCCAGGTTGATCTTCTGATGCCACTTCCTCCAGACCTTGGTGGGTGCGAACATACGACCAGATCGGCACTGGTTACCGAACGCTGCTTGGCCGGCTCTGTGTGTACCACCACCAGAGACACGAGGGATACGTGCGACAGCTCGGCCTGCCTCTTCAGTTAGACCTCGTCCTTTTGTGCCATTCCATCGTCCTCAAAAACGCACCTGTTCCCCATGATTCGGCTGAAGTCTGCTCGCCGGCTTTCTCGCTCACGGCGTATGGCTGTCTCTTGTTCTTGGCGATGCCAGTGTGGACGGTCCTGAAGCTCTGGTCAGTTCACGGTCGGTTTGGAATTCTAGGGTCGATGGCTCCCATACTGGACGATATCTGGTCGGATCGGTGCGCTGAAGACGGCCGGCAGAGGGTGCGTTTCACCGCTGCTGGAGCCATCTGCGCCCAAAATGCCGACGGTAGGACGACTCGACATCTTGACTGTGCGTGGGAGGTGTAATGCGGGAAGGGCAAGATGAAGTCGGTCGAGTGAGGCTGGAAGAAGTCAAGTCGTCAAGTCGCTTTCCACCCAGGACACTGCAGTGCGAGGAAGCGTGCGAAAATTGGACTGTGTGGAAAGACTAGTCCTCTTTGGGGCTGAAATCTTGGCGGATCCCAAGGCTTGGCTACGTAGGAGCGAAGCAACACCGAGCGCATCCCCAATACTCACCTCACCCACGCCGCTTTTAAACATCGACCATCTCCGACTTACCTTTCCATTTACTCCGTGGCCTCCGACCGGTCCTCGTTCTACTTCGACAACTCCTGCTCCTGTGCCCAATATGGTTGGTGTACCTGTGCGTTGACCATGCTCACTAGTCTTGTTTGTGGAGGAGTTTGAGCAGTGGGTTCGTCGGCGCCGTCCCTTCGACCTACTTTTGACCCTGAAGGCTCGGCAATGCGACAGGTGCTCCTACCTCTTTCTCCTACGTTAGAACGTATCTCTTGGGAAAGTTCAGTTAAAACTTGAAGTTTTCTGAAGTGCCTCTAGGTCAAAAAATGAACGCTGGTGGAGAGATCACGGCGCCTGCTCCGATGGGAAGATTACGTTTCTGGATATCAAACAGGCATTTCTCCATAAGGTTCCTTCAAGTTCACCAGCGCCCGGGGAAATGATACGCACACAGCGGTTTCGAGGTTGATTCCTTGTGCTGATTGATTGCCTCCCGCCGTGCTGCTCTATCTTTTCTCACACTGGGCTGGCAGGGGTGGGTTCGTTTCAGGCCGGGCGGTCGAGTCTCGTCTTAGCGCAGAAGCAGACTTGTTCCAAGACAATGGAAAGATGTTAGGGTGGGAGAAAGATGAGCAAAGTACCTAGTTTACCAAGGGGAGAGTATCGCATGGACAAGCACTCGCTCGATCTGTGTATCCCCCGGCTGGCAGCCGTGCATGAGCTTCATGGCCACCACTCTCCGAGCACATTGTTCCGATTCTGGACTTTCATTTTTTATTCTTGACCGTAGGCGGCTATGGCCGGTAGTTTCTCCAACAGGTCGAGATCACCGTCACTGATCACTGATCACAGCAACCACCAACACCGTCAGACAAATGGTCGATAGGGTGTACATCATCCGTCGGAGATTCAAACATCAATCGAGTCAACAACAACGCCTTTGACCCAGTCATACTGCATGAGGCGCGCGACCTCCTGCGCGGTTTCGTGACTGACGAGAGCGCTGACGAGGTACAAGCTAGCATCGATGCCACTGATCGCGCCGCCGGTGGTGATGACACGCATACCACCGAGAGGCATGCTCTGACGGCGGACGAGGCTCTCACGACGAACATTCGACTCCCTGCGTGCCAGACTGCCCTTGCGAGCCCTCGAGCCCTTGCGACCCTTCTTGAACACGTACGGATTCTCTTCCATGTCTTCACCAAGATCGAAGCGGGCATTGTTGACCACATATCGCTCCTCCATGACATCGGTGCGGTCGTTCATGTCGCGGGAGGCAGCCTCTTGACACTCCTTCTCCAACTTGATATAGTAGTCTGGGTGGATCGTGGCGCCGAGTCCCTCCAGAAGACCTTGACGTGCGAGCAACAATGCTGCAGTGTCAACGGCTAGCAAGGTCCGCTCGCGCGCCGGGTTGGAGGTTTGGACATCGGCAAAGGCCTTGATCAACAATGTCGGCTCCGCCTTTTCCTTGATGATCTCAGCCGCATTGCCGCCTGGCACGACCAGAACGTCGAACTCCTTGAGACGTTTGTGTGCTTCTTTGAAGGAGACCTGGGCGGACATGGTCACGCCTTGGGCTGTCAAAACGTGTTCTTGCGGGCCGGCGAAGGTGACGTCGAAGGCTTTGGTTTCTGCCAAAGTGTCAGTATGGAAGGAAGGGAAGACTGTGCAGCAGCTTGGGTTGTTGGCATACCTGGGTTGTCGAAGTTGTGCTGAGCGCGAGTCAGGACTTCGAGCGGACCGGCAAAGTCAAGGAGGTTCATGTTCTCATGCATGGTGATGAGCACCTGGATGGGCTCATCGACGTCGGTCTCACGAATAGCACTCATCTTGAAGGCTTGTTAGCTGCAGTCTCTGGGAGGGCTTCGTGTTGATAGCGTGGCTCAATGGTTTACTAAAGTCGGTCGCTTGCGCCTGGGTAGTAAAAAACAGTAACGATGCTCGGTGAGTTGGGACGGGACGATTCAAGGTGTATAGTGTGATGATTGAGAACAGTGCTGTGAATGAGAATGAGAGCGACTCGGGTAGTCAGGTGAGAGAGAGGTTGGCATCTGGAGGCTGTCAGTGCTGTGAGCCCGAGTCAGGCTGCGGTGTCAGTGGTTGTACATAGTGCCAATGGCCTCCTCTAACACCCTTCCCATCCCTGCGGAGACCCCGCGAATTGCGGTGTCAATCGTGGGGTATTAGTCGCTAATGTTAATTAGTTGGAGGGAACCCCTTCTAGAGCCACCGCGCATTGTGTCCTATGAGATCTCTATCACTAGATACCTTCAAGTACCTCAGGGACGTAGTACAACGCGCTCCATGTAAGACCAACCAACCTCAAAGGGGCTCTGGAGAGATTTGAAGATTGCGAAGTACAAATTGAGTGCGTCAGGCAGGTCCTCATATGAGCTTTCTGGTTCAATGGTTCAAAAGCGCAAAAAGGGCTCAGACTTACCTTAGTATACTGCGAGCTGACCATAGGCACTACGGACGATGGCATCTCAAGGTATCAACGCAAAACTGCCAGCCAGACCCTCGGGGAAGGAGAAAGATGGATATGGCAAGGTCGAGGCAGGCGTCGCAGGGAAAAATGTACGAGATATAAAGGCCAGGCCGCCTCCGTCTTTTCTCGTAAAGCACCCATCGTCTTGGTATAGGTAGGCTGAGAATGAATTTGAATTTGAACCGTCTCAAATTCATCCACTTCAAGGCTGAGACTGTATATACTCAGTTAGGCATTCGCACACCGGCTTTTGGACTTCGAGTATTGATACCATGGAAACTGGTGCAATCTCCATGAAACAGCCAAGGCACTGACCAGAAGAGCATGACTCCGGCTTAGACATTCTGTGGTCTACGTTTACAATGTTGGATAGGGTCTGGAGGGACTGTTCGTTCCTGCCACGGTCGCGAAGGAAGACAGCATTTCTTGAAATCATCTGCATGGAAGCCGGGCCGCCACAAACCATGTTGCTGTCAGCCTCAGGCTCAAATCCGGCGAGTCGAGATGGACATCGGAGCTGGAGTTTTCCTGTCTGATATCAACACTCGAAGACTGTCCGACCGCTTCTCGTCCCATCTTACTTATCCTATCCATCCCTGTTCTCCTTTGCAGATATGGGAAGCAAGTTATCGCTATCTTGGGCAATGGATCTTGCCGAGGAGTTGACACTGTGTTTGCTCGTTGCGTCTCAGGTCTTCGATCGCGAGATGCACAGCGTTTGAAGCATGACATGTCCTGTACTCTTGTCGACCATTTAGTCACGAGGTAGACCACTGCATGTTGCCGCAACATGGGCAATATCACTTCTGACGGCCACAGCGGGACAGCCTGGTGCTCATGCTTCATTCCTCGTCAGCAACAACGGTTTCTGGGACCACCTGTTCGCCGTTTCTTTTAGCTTGTTGATGCAGAAAGCTACTCGATACAATTTCGCAAGCGAGCCTGAATCAGATCTCGGAGCCCAAATGCGCTCATCAGCGAGCACGATGCGATCCGTAGCCCACTCAACATTGCGACTGCGCTTTGGGGATTGGCGAGCAAAACAAGAGCAGCTTGCAACTCGAGGCCAAGGTTGAGGATATTGAAGACTTGATTAGAAAAATGACAGGAGTCCGTTGCGCTGATCTATCATCGATAGCAGACCGTGCTCTTCCGTCAGCTGCGGTGGACTCCCAAATCATGCTAGATCGTTCGCAATCGAAAGATAAACCCGGCCTGGGACGCTCGAGAAGAGGCTCACAGGCCGGTTATACGCTTGTCAGACAATTTTCGGGGCTCAACAACGCCCAATCCTCTTCTCTTCCCACGTGGAAGTTGGATCCTAGGAGGCTAGGGGGCCTCCCTAGGCGTTGAATTGGCCCAACGCCCGCTAACTTCTGGGCTAACGTCGTCGATGGATGGCCAGAGCTTTTCAGGGAGGGCACGCAGTGGACACCGTTGACAGGGCTGGTAGGGGGACTGGGATAAGCGACATTACCAAAGATTGAAGAACCTCGACACTGACGCCATGCGCCCAAAGAGCGAAGACGGTAGACGAACTACGCCCGGGTGCCCAGCAACATCCTCCTCTGGGACAATCCGCTACCACTAGCGAACTAGAAAGCCTACCTAAGGTACTACTACTCTCTGAGCCCGTCTCTTGCTTGCTTTCTCATATCTGTCATTAACAACAGCTTGTTTCTTCCTTCTCTGCCACCGCGCTCTTCTCGCGCAGTACAATTCTTCACCACTTCCTCCAATTCGGTCCCACAGGCGGGGTAATCGTTCCTTCTCAGCTGCGCAATCATGCATTTCTCGGCCCTTGTTCTCCTCCCTCTGTTGGTCGCGGCCGACCAAATCCCTTTTCAAGACAAAGCCGCGGCATGGTTTGAAAAAGCCAAGGCCTACATCCCCAGCGGGACTGCACCCGATCCTATCGACGCCGGCGCAGCGAAGGTCGCAGAAAAAGTGGTAGAGAGAATCAACGTCCGGAACTGGCAACGCAAGCTGTCGCCCAAGCCTGACGTTGAGGAGGAATGGATGATCTACTTCACCGGCGGTAACAAGACATGCTTCGGACGATGTGGCACAGCGGATCTGAAATGGAATGTAAGTGCCCGCCAAATCCAAATTTCCGAGCCGGTCGTGCGCAGTTGTCCAGGTTGTGTTGTAACCCTACTGACAACCCTTTGTGTAGGAATCCGTCCCTCTGCTAGCAGCACTGGCTCAAAAGCCAGGATCGCCTCCCCTTCATCTCGGCAGTGTCGACTGCGAGAAGGAGCACGTCCTTTGCACAGGATGGGCGGCCAACATTCCGTCCATCTATCACTTCAGCGTGCCTAAGCAGTCGGAGCCGCAGGAAAAGGTTCCCGTGCACATTGTGCCCTTGAACATGACCAGCGCGACTGTGGAAGACATTGTTTCTATCCCCACAGCGTCCAAGGCCCGCTATCTCGAATTCCCCGAGTACACTGGACTGCTGCATCCGTTTGATGGGTGGGTGGCCAAACTCGGCCTCCTGCAGCCCTTTGGCTACGTTATGTGGGGATTCGGCAGCATGCCGAGCTGGCTGATGATGATTATCATCAGTTTTGTCTCTCGACAATTCATGAGCAGGAGGATGCCGGGCGCCCAGGGCGGCTTCGGTGCTACTGGTCCGGCTCCACCTCAGGCTCAGGCAGGGCAGACTCCAAACAGACCTGCTCAGGCCGCAGCGCCAGCGCCCAAGTCTGGTGGAGGGAGAAAGAGGAAGTGAACACTGGCAATTGGAGGGCTGGACACAGGAAATACAAGGGTTTGGGTCGTTGGGAATTGGGTGCCGGAAGCATTTGGAAAAGTCGTTCTTACAGCTTCGACATGTGTATTCGGAGCCAGGGCACTGGCCGGTCTTACAATCGGGTATATAACGAGCCATAATCGGCGACGATAGCTCTTCCAGTGCTGGCCTTTAAGCCTCTTGCGCTCGGCTGTATATGCTTCTCAGCAACTCGAACCCCCCAGCACCGGTGGCAGTCTGGTGTATCTCAGTTCATCTGTGACCATGCAACGCGCGCTCACTCTAGCTTAGACCCGCCTCCAGCAGGACCCTCACGCCCGTCTACAACATCACTCTCGTCCTTCTTCGTGACCTCAACACCAAGCTCTTTCTTCAGCAGATCGCTCAGTATGCTCCCGTCGCGTAAGTACACCCACCGTCCGCCAGCAGCGTTATCACCCGCATCAACGGCCGTGTCTTGTTTCTGGTGCTGTCCCTCCCCAGACACAACCCAATCGAACCTCTTCGGACCGGAGATAGGGCTGGACAGCCAGATCTGCTTGTTCGGCGGCTGCTTGTTGATTACGTATGTGCCGTTTGCCGGATGCGTGATGGTGAGGACGCCAGCCTGTTCAAGCACAACCAGATGTTAGTTTCTTGGTAGAGACCAGATTTGATGCGTGTTGGGAAACATGTGGGAGGTATCATGAAGCTGAGGACAGGGAGAGGAACCAGGGTAGTCCACGTCAAGGATACCCTCAACACGGCTGTAGGGGGGTGGTACATACCGAGAACTCAGCTTCGACTCCGTCGCTGGTGGACTCGCTCAGCTCCTCCACTGCCAGTACCAGTGTGTCGAGATACTGGTCCGCAAGCTCATGGTACTCGGCGTCCGTAAGATCCGCTGGAGCAAGGTTGTCGTTGGACGACTCGGTCTTGGGAGGCTCAGGCTCTGCGCTGGCCGGTTGGAGGCCCTTTGACACGGCTCTTGAGGTCGAGAATGGCGCTGCACCCGTTGCCTGAACGCCTCGTCCGGCCAAGGGGGATCGCGAAGGGGTTAAATGCGAATGGGGTTCGAAAGTCGACAATGGTAGGACAATCCGTCCGGTAGAGGATTGAGCTGGAGCTGTGCTGCGCGGGAGTCTGAGGGCGTGTGCTCTCGAGGAGCGGAGAAGGATGCTTGCTTTCATGGCGATACTGTACCCGCGTCGTGCGCGTGTTTGCAGGGGAAGAGGAGGTTCGGACACCGGAGGCAAGGACTGAGGGAGTATGCAAGATCAAGTTAGATACCACAACTCAATATACGCGAAGTTTGTTCGGTAGGTTGGAAGGCTAATCGGTCGTTGGGGTCGTTGGTATCTGGTGCAAGTGCTGGATTTGGAGTTCCGCAGAAATGACGACAACCTCTATGTACTATAGCACAGCTAGTATTGGTAGTACTGGTACCTAGTAGAGTGCTTCCGCCAAACAGTACTAGTAATTGACCTCGGGAGCTTCCGTGATTGGTGGCTGCTGGCTGCCCATTCCTCCTCTTCAAGGTATTGAACGTAGTACTATCTAGGAAGGCATTCGGCCAATGTGTACTGAATGTTATGATTTATTGTTCACTACCTCCTTCACCGACCTGAAAGTATCGTCGTATATAGAACCGGTTTCTGGACTGCGTATCATCCACAACATTCCCAGAGCATTGGGCGACTTGTCTCATCGCAAAACAAAGCAACCTGCGTACAAGCGGCAACTCTGATCAGAACACTTCGATGCTCATCTTGCTGACTCTCATATTCAAACCCAGCCAGGCTCGCTCGGATAAATGAATGCCTTCGGTCTAGTGAAGGTACAGATGCAGACGCTGATGCAAGTGGAAATCCTTAACGCGTGCAGCTTGACTTTCTTCCGCCACTCCTGAACTCCATCCTAGTAAATCACAAGCCCCAATGTCAGCTTCATTCCAAGCAGAGTATTCGATTGCTCTGTGAGAATGCGCCTCCCATGAATAGACCGGGTATTCCTAACTCCTGTTGCGAGCCGTTGCAAGTCACGCTGAAACGTCAGGACTCCCGCAGTGGATACCAAAGATACGGCCGAGCGATGCCCCATTACTAGGCCTGTATGACCCCTTCTTGCAGGATGCCCAGTCCAGCCAGACTGTTGCCTTCACAATCTTTCAAATGGCAACAATGTGTGTCCCACGATGCCGTACTGGATGCCTTGTTTGACCTCTCACTGCGTCTGGCTTGGACGTCAAGTGGGGTCATTTGCGACCGTCTTGTGTGTGCGAGGAAGAAATGATATAGTTCGCGGTGATTTGGCTTCCACAGCCTCATAGTGGCCACGTTTAGAACACCGGCAGCATCGAGGGTTCGGCGTCAGGCAGTCCGGCAGGTGTTTATAGACCTTCCAATACCTCCTATAGGCCATATTTCCTTTTTTGGCTGCGAGCTCAAGGTGTCTGCTTCTTCCTCAAATCTTCCGCTCTTGTTTCGACGTAGAAACCTGCATCGGGGACTCTCTCTCGATGCACCTCTTCTTTCGTCAATGGCTTGTCCACCTCTGAGACAGCAACCAGCTCCTTCACTTTCATGATTTGGCCTGCCACCGAGGGGGTCACAGGATGGAAAACGGTTGCCATACGCTTGCGCAGACCGAGAGCTTTGAGGACATTGCCGGATTTTGCAGGGAGGCCGATGGCTGACCGGATTAGGGTGATGCGGAAATAGGACATGACGCGAAAGGTTTCAGCTGGTTGTACCCTTAATCTTCGTGTGAATCGATTGTTCAGTTTGACAGGAAACAAAACGGGCGAGGTTGGGGTTGAAGTCAATAGAGACCACAAAAATTCCAGGGCCACGAACATGGAGCTCACGTCTCTAGGGCGCAGCCCGCAGTCGCCAAACGCAACAACTGCAGTTATCAGTCCCTGGTCCCGATGGCCGATATTCTATAACCGAATCCTTGTGCCATCTTGACGTTATAGGGATCATTCCAATCTCATGATGGCTGACTATGCCAAAGCATGCACAATCTGGCATCAGCTTCAGCGATGCGAGGGTTGATGTTCTGTAGATGCATGGGCTGTCCACGCGCATAAAGTTACAAAAGGGAATCGCCTAAAGCGGCATCAAGTTTGGAGACGATAGAATGCGACCCGCGAGTCAGTGTAAACGTAGAACAAACACATCATAGCCTGTATATACCTCGATGTTCAACGCTTGAGACTTGGCTTGAGGCTGTCAGACTCGACTTTTCATCAGGTGTTCCCTGATGGACCGGGGCACCAGGTAGCACGTCCGTGGACTCGGACATCAAACCCGCATCGACCTCCATTCTACCTCCCTCGACTACAGGATGGCTCCCATTGCGAGCGCAACTGCCAGCGGAGGCCTGCCACGGATTCAGGATGCACTTCGTACTCCGGAGGACCTCGAAAAGATCACAGGTCTTAAAGCCGAGATCAACCGCAAGAAAGGGGATGTGGATGCCAGGTTACGAGATGGATTGAAAGAACACCTGGAGACTACACAAAATGGGATGTACACTCTATCGGAAGGGCAAAAGCTCGTTGGGCAGATCAGAGAGGAAATGAAAAGCATCTATGACCTTTGCGAGCAAGCCCAGGCTATTCGTAGGGACTTTCCCCAGCTTGATTATCTCGCCAGAGTCCATCGCAATTTCGAGGCAACCCGGGCTATGCAGGCTGGTCTTGATAGCTTCGTGCAGGACTGCGCGTACGTGCAGAGACTGTTAGAGGATGACGAGAATGACCTGGAGCAACAGCCTAATCTCCTTGAGGCACACATGCGGTTGACGCGGTTGCGCGATTTCCGAGACGAAGCACTGGACCAGATTCGCAAAGGGAAAGACTCCAGCTTGGAGCAGACACTCATCGACTGGTTCCAGCCACTTGACGATGTCATCGACATATTTGATGATCACCTTGGTCAGATCTGCATGAACCTTATTGAGCTGGTCCAACGGGATAATACTGGCATCATTGTCCGCCTGGCCATAGTCATTGCATCGGAAGAGAAGAACGATGACAGAGTCCGAGCTCTACAAGATGCTCAGAAGGACCATCAGGACCTGGTCAGCAAATTCACCTCATTTACGATCGGGCCCAAGACTATTCGCGGATACAAGGAGAAATTTCTCAAGGCGATCGAGGCTGTGGCACAAGCGAAGTTCGAGCAGACGAGGGAGGAGTTCCAAACCGATCCATCCAGACTCGAAAAACAGACAAAGTGGTTCTTCAGCGACATCTACGTCTGCAAAGAAGGAATGCAAAACTTGTTTCCCAAGAAATGGAAGATCTTACAGACATACGTCGACATCTATCACAAACAAATGCACGACTTCCTCATCTCGTTCGTGGAGGCCGAAGACCTCCGGCCGCCACAGATGCTGGGTATTGTACACTATGTGCAAGTCTACTATGCCAAAATGAACAAACTGGGTGTTTCTCAAGCCCAACTAAAGCCACATGTTCTAGATTCCCGCGAAGGCGACCTTATTCGCGAGTACAGAAACATCATAACCAAAGCTCTCACTTCTTGGATGGACAGGATGTACATCAGCGATCGCAAGAATTTTGTATCGAGAGCAACAGATGCCATCGAGCAAGACCCAGATGGACATTTCAGAACCAAGACCTTGGGCGACATGTGGCGGATGTTGCACGAGCAAGCTGAAGCCGCAGGTGATTCGGAACGTGAAGATGTCGTGGAGGGTGTCATGACTGCAATGTTCAGTGCTTTGAAGACGAGACAACAACAATGGGAGACACTTATTGACGAAGAGGTCGAACGATACAAGAATCCAACGCCCGAGCTGCTGGAGAATTTGCAACCGCTCCAAGATTGGATACTCGCCATTGCGAACGATCAGATTGCTTGCGTGGATGACGCCGCTGGTGATGTGATTGAGGAAGATCCAACGGCTCAGAAAGGCTATCTCACTAGATTCCGTGAAGACTTTGCCAACTTACCTACACCTCCATCGGCCAAATACATGTCCACTAACGGCACTACTGAACTCGATGTCCTTCGAGATGGTTATGTGGATCTGGCCACGCATTGTATTAATTGTTTTGTTCAGTTGATTTTCCGTGTCGACTTCCGCACGATTTTGACCGAGCTGTTTGTCCCTGGGAAGTGGTATGAGCAGACAGCCATACAGAGGATCACCACCACGTTTGATGATTACATCAGCGATTACAGTTCGACTTTGCATCCTTCGCTGCTTGATATTTTCATCGAGGAGCTCTCGGATGCTCTGTTGGTGAATTACTTGACGGCCATTCGCACCAACCGAGGCGTCAAGTTTAAGCGAGGCGAACCCTTCCCTGCCAAGTTTAGGGAGGATGTTCTTGCAGCCTTTGCCTTTTTTGAGAGATACCCCGACAGCTTCAATGAAACTATCAAACCGAAGTGGAAGGCTGTCAACTTCGCTGTCCAACTCCTCGAGGCCGATAAAGCCGAAGTCGTCGGAGTGTATGAACAATTCAAGCGGGAGTTCTGGGACCTTCATCTGAGTTGGGTTGAAGGGGTTCTAAAAACCCGAGACGACTGGGACCGCACCATGATTACTGCCGTTAAACGAGCCGCGGCTAGCACATATGCTGAGCGTGGTATGGATACTGTCATGGGGAGAGTGAAGTAGAATGAGCGATTTAATGAGTGAGAAAGGACATTCTCGTTCTTGGTCACTGTGTGGCAATTTCACCATCGTCCATCCCACTGGGCCCTTGCTCCTAGCAAGAGGAGTCAATGCATTGACTTGAGTGCACACAAGCAGTGGCAGCACGGCATCAGGAGCTATTTTCATGGTATCCCGGCCAGCTTGAGAATGAAGACGAGAGCTGGCAGCAGCCCTTGCTCGACAGACCTGACTACATCCTCTCAGTCTCCTCGAAGGAACCAGGACAGCCTGAATGGGATTGAGAAGTGCAAACAAGCATCTTACGCAGTATCTGTTCATGGACGACTTGGATATGGAGTATGGCTCACCTCTTCCATCTCACACCTGACGTCGCCTGGGCGGAGGACAGACGGCCGAAGTCAGACGCTCGTCTGCGACATTCACCCATGCGTACGAAGCGAACTCGACTGGTCTTATATGAAACCCGACGACGGAATACTCTCCGACTGCAGCCAAGTGGGAATTGGAAATACTAGCTGGTGCGCGAATGTTGGTGGAGCATGCCAGAGATAACCGGAAACTGGCTGATCATGGCCTCACAGATACGGTTTCAGTCCTATCTTTGATCTACCTGGTTCCAACGGAAGGGTTCTGCGGTCATCACCAGACACATCACAGCCTCGCGAGAGAGCGTTGGAGTTTGGACTTATGGCACGAATATACCTAGTCCCATCGTCTTCAAGTAGGCGTCGGACTCTGCACGAAAGGCACTGAAAGACTCAGGAATCGAAGGCTTGTCTGGCTCAACACCTTCCCACATGAGAAGATGGTTTAACAAGGACTTGTCATGTAATGAAGCCGCAAGATAGCTCCTCTGAATGTAAATAGTTCCCTGTCGTATCTAGCAGATTCATTATTACACAAGAAGGTCCGATTAGATCCAATATATCTCACAGGACTCGACGTCTGAATATTATGAATTGTTGGCGAAGCGAATGGGTTTTCTACAGACTTACATAAAAATCATCTATCGAGCTTGCTACCAGATATATCGGCCGTAAGGTGGCAATAAGCAAATGATTGCATGATGAACTGCCTTTCCAAGTCAACACACACAAACGCTGTTCAGGCAGGATCCTGAAACACAGGATGGGTAGGTGAGTAGGTAGATAGCTAGGTAGGCAAGAAACGTTCACAACGCAGAAGCCGAAGCAGATATAAATTCATGTGATGCCTCGAGCTTCTCATGCTCGCTTCCCATGGGATATATATATATATATATATCTAATTATGCACGCTGGAAACAAAGCAGAACAGACCTCCATCACTCCCTGGTGATCAGTCCGGAAGAGAGCAAAAAGGGCATCACTTTGGACGGCCGTACAGTCGTTCCTATATACAGACTCGGATAGACCTTAAAAGTTTTGAGCACCACAATGCGGACACGATGCCAATGCCAAATACCAGATACCAGATGCAGAGGAATCCGAAGTCAATGCCACCCTCAAGAACGAATAGATGTTCCAATCAAATGAACGATCCAGCAACAGCAACAACCATGCAAACCGCCAGGCTCAACACCGTGCCTGGCAATCCACTCTGCGCCGCACCGCCAGTATACGTGGCAACATTGGCCGGAGCCACAGATGAAGCCGAAGCTTCTGGCTGCGAAGGGGCAAGCCAGCCGCTGTTGCTCGAGGGAGCGACGACGATGCCTGTGCCTGTGGCCGTGGCGGCAGAAACAACAGACGCCAGGGAAAGAGTCTTGACTCCTCCATTGGGTAGGACGACAGTGGAGGTGGCGGCCGGTGCAGCAGCGCTGACGATGGTGCTTGTCTCGATCGTGCCTGCTGGGGTTGCTGTTTCTGTTTCTGTGGACTCGGCACCGGCAGCAGCGACAGCGACAGACGTGGTCAGTGTGTAAACTGATGTCTCTGTGGAAGCAGAAGCGGTAGCGGTAGCCAGCGCAACAGTTTCGGTAGCCAGCGCACCAGTTTCGGTGCTAGTGGAAGTAAGCTGCACCGCCTCGACAGGAACAGGCACGACGGTCTGGGTCTCTACAGCGGTCACCGTCGCGATGGGCACTGTCAGGGTCACGGTGGTCCACGTCTCGGCGCAGACGGTGCACACTGTCACGGTGGTGGTGAAGCCGCTGGGACAGCCGTTGGTTTCGGTCGGCCAGACGAACGTCGTGGTGGCTGTAGCTGCAACTGCGACGACTGGGACCGTCGTCGTCAGAGTATACGGCAGAGTGGTGAAGCCTGTGGGGCAGATGTCGATGTATGATGTTACCCAGACTGTTGTGGTGTAGTCGGGCGCGACAACCACTGAAGCACTGCTTGTGGTGATGGCGGCGATGGGGGCTGTGGTGGTCCAGTCTTCCCAGGTGAAGGGGCTCGTGGTCGTGCTAGCGGCTGAGGACAAGATCGGGCTCACGACAGCAACGGGGGTAGTGGATGTGCTGCTGGCGCCGCTCACAGGACCGACGATGGCAGTGGAAGTGGTTGATGTTGTGGACGACGTGGTGATGCTGCCTCCGACGGGACCGACTGCGTAACCGGAAGAGACTGTAGATGTGCTTGTCGACGTCGTGACAGCAGCAACGGCGCTGGTCGTGCTGCTGGTCGTCGTTGTGGCGCCGCCAATAGGACCTACCGAAAAAGCGTAGGAACTGGCGCTACTGGTCGTGGTCGTGCTGCCGCCGATTGGTCCCACGGAAAAAGCGTAAGAACTGGTGCTGCTGGTGCTGCTGGTCGCGGTCGTGCTGCCGCCGATTGGTCCCACGGAAAAAGCGTTGGAGGTGGTGCTGGTGCTGGTACTGGTACTAGTGCTGCTAGAGGCTGAGCCACCAATAGGACCAACTGCGTAGCTGGAAGTGGTCGTCGTTGCCGCAGAGCTGCTTGTTGTCACCGCACTAGTTGCGACACTGCTGAATGCCGCGCTAGTGGTGGTGGAAACACTGGACGAACTGGACGTGTAGGGGAAGCCAGGGAAGCTCGAGGACGTGGTAGTTGGGGTGGTGGTGGTAGTAGGAATGACTGGGGTAGTAGTGGTAGTGGTCACCGGAACAGTGGTGGTGATTGCGGTGGTGGTCGTAGTCATGGTAGACAGGGCCAATGTGGTGGTGGTAGAAGTAGCCGTTGATATCGTCGTGGTCGAAGGAGAAGAGCAAGACAACTGGCTGAAAAGATCCTTGACGTTCTGTGCATAGCTCTCACCATTGATCTGGTTATCGGCCGAGTAGGTTGCTTCCCACAGCATCACTCCTCCGAAGATGGATTGATAAGCGGAGTTACAGGCGTAGACATTCAGCAAGGCCTTGACTTCGTCAAGATCCAAGTAGTCTTGAGGATGAGCAGCGGCCGTGGAGGCAGGAAGACCGACGAACAATTTCACATTCGGGTTCTTCGAGTTGGTTCGAAGCCAGTCGGCCCATCCAAATGAGACGTCGGTTCCCGTGTTCAACGTGCCGGAGCTGAAGAGAGACGCAGCCGAGCATGAATCGGTGTTGTAGTATTGGACGAACCTACAACCTTGTCAGCAGTGTCACCCGGGGGTTAGGGAAATATCAGCCAATCCATACACATAGTCAATGTCGGAGTTCGCAATGGCGTCGGCCAGATGAGCATCAGGAACGACACACTGAGGTGCCGAGGAGATGTAGTACTGCTTGGACTGGCCGGCGAAAAGGGCTCTGAATTCGTTGACCAAATCCGCATATCCAAAGCTCCCGCCAGACTCGATGTCGAGATCGAACCCGTCCACGATGGTCTGGCCGAATGGTCGCGGGTACAGCGTTTCGGTGGTGTCCTGAGGCGGTCCGTACGATCCCCACAAGAAGTCGGCGAACTCTTTGGCGGAGGCGGCAGAGGCGATGAAGTTTCCTGAAGACGCGCCGCCGAGAGAGACAAGAATCTTCTTTCCCAGGGCTTGACAGATGGGAATGTCTTCTGCAATCTGGGTACACGTGGTGAACATCTCGGTCTGGGTGCCATCCGGGGCAACCCAGTAAGGACTGCCGCAAGCATTGCCGTAGTTCGTTCCTGGATAGCCATTGTTCCCATCCGTCTGGTCGGGGAAGGTGTTGACGAAGCCAATTGGGATCACATCTATCGTCGCATCCTGGCAGAAGTCGGCCAACCTTGGCTGGTTGGGTCCTTGTCCCTATTTCACAATCAGTATCAGCACCCATCCATCCGTGCCAAGGCAGACTTCGGTCTGTTTCTATCATACCCAGTAAACGGCAAGACTGAGCGGAGAGGCAGCCCTCTTCGACGTCGTTGATCGCGTATCGAGAATCGGCGTGGCGATTGCTGAAGAAATGAGCGTGAGCGTTGCCAGCAAGCTGGCAGTCAAGCGCGTTGGTGCCATTGATTTTAAGGATAGACTTGTATAAAACAAAAAAGGGAGAGTCTGAAACGAACAGAACGGGCACCTCGACGAGGGAAAAAAGAGTGACTGGGCAGCAAGAGGCCCGTAGAGGAGGGAACAACGAAGGACTGGACGCAAAGCAAAAGCCTGCAGCGCAAAAGGAAGGACCGTGGGTAAGGAAGATCAGGTGTAGAAAGGAAAACAAGGAGGAGAGGGAAAAAAGCACAAGTCAGAAGGAGGCCATATGAACGACGCTTAGTTAGCACAGCGGCTTGCGCCAAAGAGAAAGACCTGGATGCTGTGGATGGACTGCTGACCAAATCTCTCTCCACCGTCAATCTGGAACAGACTTGCCGTTGCCCGTTGGGGTCCATGCATTAGATTACGTAGACTTAGGCTCATAGACGGTCGGATTGAACCATGGGCCGTGGACGAACAATGACATGGTCTTTGATGTTTATCCTCTGAAGCAATCTGGATGTTAAGGTTGTCTGCGTGCTTTCATGTTGTGGCAGCCTCATCTCGCAAATCTGCCATGGCTCACTCCAGGCACTGGCTGGAAGGTCAGAATGTGTCAAGGGGCCTTGGTCGCGAACGAAAAAGTACTCACGACTCCTGGGGGGCCTGGAGACTCGAAAATCGGTAAGGCCAGCGCGCGTAGGGCGGGGCTGACGAGTGAGTGAGTGTTTGGGAACAGTGTTGAGGGCCGTGTTTTCGCGCGATGGAGCTTGACAATCTCCAGACTTGAGGACGCAGGGAACACGAGGTGGATGAGGCGGTTGAAGTGGAGTGCAATAGAGCTACGTTCATTGGATAAACAAGTTCCACCCACCTGTCATTGGCTGTCGTCTTGCCTATTTGGGAACTAGGCTGACCCTTTCAGGGGCTCCAACCTCGACTTCACTCCATCCAGTTCGCGCCATACAGAAGCCCCCATCCAGCCTCATCTCCCGGTCCATCTTCAGTTCTTCAGTGCTCAGAGCGCCGTGAGATCTGTGGCGCCATTTGAACAGCCACGTTTGACAGCGGTCCCGACTTTCAAGTCACAATAATCCCCCAGACTTGCAGGGCACGGCGTCTCAGCACGCCACTCCAGAGCCAGCCTCATAGATTTTACAGCGCCTTGTCTCTATCTGGTATCTCGAGGCTGGGACTGCACGAAAACATGCGTTCGAGGACTGCAAAATTCAACGTGGGTTCGGGCTGCTTCGCCGAATAATAGAACTCAACGCCAGGCACAAATTGCCTCTCCGCTTGTCCCACAGCATCGCCTCTGTTAGAGCCGCGCCAGATTTAACCGAACAACACGCTTCGAGGAAAGTGTACATATGCCTGAGGGCTAACCGTATACATACCTGGGAGCCTCAACAGAAATCCACCTTCAAAATCAAGCTGGACGAATGATTCTATGTGAGGTCTTCTATAAGGGTGGCTGGCGGGTTGGTCAGGTCAAAGCATCGCCTTTGCCCGATAATCGTCGGAGGAGCCCGTAAGTGTGTCGAGATCTGTGTTCGACAACTTTGTTAACGCATGACTGGATTGCAGACCCTTGTACGTACCCTCCACACCTTGAATCTCCAAACCTCAGTAAGATACGTACTACGGTAGTCCTACTATGCATGCTGACCATCTGGTCCAGGATCAGAAGCACTTCACCTGCCAGCGATGATCTGACATCGATCTGAATAATGGCCTTGTATGCGCTCACAGTCTCCACCATGGGAGATCTCAATGCTTGTCTCGCCCCTTTCCTCTTTCACTCTTTTTTGTTTGTGTGGACCCCGACGATCACGCTTCGTTCGTTAATCATCACAAAACAACCGAACCAGGTTGATTCGTCTCCAGATCTCACCTTCTGCCATCGTCGAGGCAATCTTCCGGCCGCTCTCCGACCTCAACAATGAAGTGAAAGAACTCGCTTTTGTCCCAGTGTTGGGGTAATACAAAATAGTGTCGTCTTCTGCGATGTTGAAATAGCATCACAGTCGCACAGGATGGGTACAGTATCGCTCGCTAGATTTGGGGGAGGAAGAAAGATGCAGAAATGGCTCTGTGATACAAGAGTAAGCCGGTCGCATGGTGTTCGATTGATATCTGTAATATTTATATACGAGGTCCGACAAGAGACAACAACCGCCGTGAGACAGTATGTTGAAGAGGAAGTAATTTTTCGGAAGGAAATGAATGCGACGGTGTTTGTCAAGGAGGCGCTATAAAGCAGCAGGATATGTCTACGGACAACCCTTCGCGTATAACCGAGCACTCTTGACCCAAAGCGCTTCTCATGCAGATTGCGGCGCCTGTTTCTCAGGTATCACCGACTCATGATCGAGATGTTCACTGCTGGTCTCGCTAGTAACCTCCTTGATAGGACCATGGAATCGCTTCCGGGCTCGAAGGAAGTAGTTGACAGCTGCGATGACCATGACTCCCACGAAGACAGGAGAAGCATAGTTCATGTTCTGACCAATAACCGGAAGCATTGGCGGGAAGGGCAGGAAGATGATGAGGAAGACACAGAACATAAGCGACAGAATGTTGATTGCTAGGCCAAATTTGCCCATCGTCCATGGTCCAAATCTGATGGGATTTTCGACGCTAAATCGGCGCATGGCGAACAGAACTGTTGGAATGGCGTAGGAGAAATAGAAGCCCAGGGTTGTCAAAGAGATCAAGGCGTTGAAAGCAGTGGTCGAACCAATGTTGATCAGCGAGAGTAGGGAGACTGAAATAAAGATCGCCAGTACAGAGTTTGTCGGACATTTGTTCCATGCTGTGATGTGGGAGAAAAACCCGGAGAACGGCAGGCCTCTGTCACGAGAGAACGCCCAAATTAAGCGTGAGACCGAAGCCATGCATCCGAAGAGGTTCATAGAGAAGACAAGGATGACGGCTGTCATCATCGCGGTGGCCGCTTTCTGGCTCTTTGTCGCTTGCAGGAAAACCGCAATGATGGGATACCCGGTCGGCGTTTCAAAGACAGCATCGGTGTCGGTAATGGCGTAGAGGATCGTCAAGATATAGGCGAACGCGGCGGTCCCATTGATCACGACTGACCAAATCATTGCTCGTGGGACATTCAGGGGCGCATCGTAGGCCTCTTCACTCATGTGCACAACAGCATCCACTCCGGCCAGAGCAAAGGCAGGAGTAAGAAACCCCAAGCAGAAACTTACGCCGTCGCTACTCCAACCACCATCATTGATCAAAGTTCCCCAGACCTCGTGGTTGCTAGCTTTATCGCTTGTGGCCAGAATAGCAATCATGACAATGAAGAAGAACAGAACGTGTAGAATGCCTCCCAATGTCTCCCAAAGCGGTAACAACTTCTTTCCAAAGGTGTTCCCGAGAGCTGCAATACCGGCAAATGCGATCATTATCAGAGTGGCATGCCATCTTTCGGCTTGATATCCGGTATAATTGAGAATGGCCACCCCCTGGATCATAGTGGCGATCAAATAGCAAACCGAGGCTACAGCGGCAACCCAGCCAGTGATCGTGATCCAACCTTGGATGTAGCTAATCAGGGAGCGCCATTTGATCGGCGAGTGTTCTGCGCTCCAATGGTACTGCGCCCCGGCGATTGGAGAACTGTGGTTTTGGATCAGCCACAGACTCTTGAATGAGAGAAAGTTGACACGTACATAGATGCCATTTCAGCCAAAGATCCTGCAATACATAGCGTTCCAAAGACAGAGACGATGAAACCGTACACCACGGAAGCAGGCCCGCCGTTGGTGTATGCACCCGCGAACAAGGCACTGGTGGCTTCCCAGGTACATAACGTTGTTGCTGACATCCCCAGGAGGGCCCAGAAATTCCATTCCCGCTATAGCAGGCGCTTAGAGATGCCCAAGATGCAGAGTCTGCGGATGGACCAACCTTTAACACCTGCTTCTTTCCAGCCGCCTCCAAAGCAGCCGCGTCCGAAGTATAGACCGTCATGCTGGTGAAAATAGGCAGTTATGCGGTGCAGAGCATATACAAAGAAGGTTGAGTGGCAAGATGGAAGATAAGGCGTCTTCGGGGAAGAAAAGGACTCTTCTGCGAATTGAGGGCGGGGAACTTACTTCTTGAAAGATATTCGTCTCTCTGTTGGGAGAAGCAGGGATGATACGCCTCGCAATCGAAGCGAGACAAGGACACTTTCGCGCTTACCTGAGATCGGCAGCTGCGAAAGAGTGAGAAGAGTCGAGTCGCGCTTATACCATTTTGCATCGTTGTTGCTGGCATACTGGACGCTGATACAGACAGATGTTGCACTTACCAAGGATCGATCGACCCTGACGGTGGGGCATCTGGGGTCGGAAGGCATGGGGGAGGTGGTCCGGTTGACACATCACACGTTACCTCACCTCCTTTCCGCCTATAGTCAGGAATAGACTCACACCGGATCATTGCAATGGCATAAGATAGTGCACGAGAATGCGCCACAAGTTTCGGGGCCGGTGCCGCTAGATGATAAGCCAGGTTAGGGCGCGCCGGAGGTATGCCCATGAAGATCCTTGAGCTTGGACGGACCCTTCTCTGTTGCACGTATTCTTTTGACCAGACTCCCAGACGCTGCTCAAGAGTGAAACCCCATATGTCGATCTGAGGTGCGGTTTCAGAGCTGACGGATTTCGAGCGGTGTACCCACCAGGCAGAAGGCTATCCCAACGTTGCGCAAGGTACACATAATAGAAGCCCTGGGATCCATGCAGAGCATGGTTGCACTTGAGCGACTCGAACAATGCATGGTAGGCCGTCTGGGGATTCCCATGTTAGGGTAGAGGTGTGTCCTGCTCAGAGATCCCAGCATCTGTTGAATGTACCCAGTCAATAACATGTGTGAGGCGGCATGACCCAGACATGGATACATGCACGCGACTTCGTGTCATACACTTGGGAAGATGTCCCTGCAGCAACAGGTGGACCAGAGGCTGTAGGAAGCGAAGACAACGTTTGCCATTACCTACTGCTTCTAAGTTGGTCGCACCAAGTCCAGTGAGGAACGTGGCAGACAAAGAAGCGAAGCCGATCCAAGAGCCTCTCAAACTCACTTGTGGACTCTAGGGCATGCCCGGGCTGGAGAGGGCCGAGTGTCACGACAAGTCCCAAGTCCAGGATGCGAGCTCAGAATTGCCAGGGGTAATGTGCCGCACCATAGGCCTGGCCGCCCCAGGATGAGGTTGGGGAAGTGCAGATAGAGAGAGACGTGGCCCAATCATGCCCAACGGAAGGGTGCTCGTGGGAGGCATGGGGTGAGCCCATCCTTGAAACGCATGCGGCGGTCTGGGAATGTGGCATCGGCCGATGATCATATGTTAACAATGGCTGGAAGACTGAGAGCACCACCAACAGAGGCGGTGCCTCCCGAGTTGTCGCAACTGATGCTTCATGGTCGTAGGATAGAACGCAGAGAGTAGCAGAGAAGAGGCGGGACATTTTGCTAAAGAGCGCAGACCGGAGAAAAGTATCTCCGTTGCAGCATTTCACCGCCTTCGCATCTTTCGTGGCAGAATTAATTTCTAAATGCGCCCGAGCAACCTCAAACCTGCCCGACAATAGAATAGTACAATCTGCATTGATATTCTGTCTATCTTATCTATCAGATTGTAAAATGGCAGCTCCTATGGATGATGTTGCACTGGTCTTTGCGGAACTCGGAGACCTGGAGAAAAAGTTTGCAGAAGTCGAACTCGATGCCTGTACGTCGCTGGCAATGACCCCGATCCTTACGTCGCTAACGCTTTATCTCCAGTGCGAAGGAAAGAGTTCTCTCTGAAACCGCTGTATACCAAGCGGAAAGAGTTTCTTGATCGAGTGCCCGATTTCTGGCCCACAGTCTTTGGCAATGGACCGGAGGAAATCCAGCAATTTCTTTCGCCTGACGACCTTGCCCTCATCTCTGCCATCACCTCCTTCACGGTCGAGCGGTACCAAATCGAGTCGGAAACTTCAGGAGAGCCTCGCAGTCTTCGATTTACGTTCGAGTTCGCCGAGAATGAATTCTTTGAGGATACCAAACTTGTAAAGGAGTTTGAGTACCGACCTAGGGGGGATGGGCCCGGCAGCCTGGTTTCGACACCAATTCCGATCAAATGGAAAGCCAAGAGGAGGGACGTCACACATGGCTTTCTTGATGCTGCCGTTGAGCTTTATAACGCTGAAGAGGCCCTGAAGCTGAAGAACGGCGAGACGGAAGTCGACATCGTGGAGCGCGAGTCGCTGTGGCAGCATGAAAAGCTGCGAGATAAGCTGGCAAAGATGGACGAGAGCCCTGACTTAGAACCAAGCTTCTTCGACTGGTTTGGCTTTCGAGGTGCCGTGAAGACTTCTTACCCCAAAAAGGTGGCCGAGAACGGCGCCAATGACACGGAGGATGACGATGAGGAGGACGAGGACGACGAGCCCATGTTGGAAGTCGAAATCTTCCCAGCCGGTGAGGAAGTGGCAATCGTGCTGGCGGAAGAACTGTGGACTGATGCCATTGATTACTTCAGTAAGAGCCATCCCTCTGCATCCCGCAAGTATGTGGTACTGACTTTCGTCTAGTGTCTGCCCAAGAAGGGTCTTCGACTTCCTCAGAAGCCAACGACATCATTGTGGATGGCGATGAAGAGTCGTCGGAAGATGATGATCCGCCGGAGCTGGTTGAAGGAGAGATTGCAACCGAGGTCCAAGAGATTGAGGAAGAAGAGGCTGAGGCAGATAGTGCCAGGCCACGCAAGCGCCAGCGCAACGTCTGAGATGTTGGTCCTCGGGTCAAAGCCCTCTTGCTATGTCGAAATGTAACACCAGATTGCACACAGGGGGTGTCGATTTTACTTCGCGGTACCGTAAAAGATCCTCGAGCGAGAGCTTCCATTCCGCCTCTTCTCAAGGCGTCCCACCAATGCATTGACATCTTCCTCAAAGTGCAATGACCAAGACCAACAAGATGATCAAGACGATGATCAACACTCCAATGCAGCAACTGCTGACACTCTCCTCGTTCTTTCTGATAACCTCGCCCACCTTCTTGACTCCAACGCTTAGTTTTCCGCCAACGCGGTCAGCCAGTGTGTCAACTTCGTCCAGTAAATGACCCTGCTCTTCTAGCTCCCGGCCCATATCCTCCGCCTGGCTACGGAGAACGCCAACCGTCTGGAAGACCCCGTCGAGCTGTTCGTCCTGTTCGGCCATGATGGTAGCCTGTTGCTGCGCCTCGAACGCACCGTAAGGGTCATTTCCATCGTCGGAATCGGCGTCATCCTCAAAGGCCGTCGGGGCAGGGAGCCTGCCCGATGTCGCAGAAGTAGGTCCGGCGATATGGGAGTCTGCAGTAACACCCTCGAGCTCGCGGCGCATGCCCTCGACCTCATCGCCGACATCCTTGACGAACTGTCTCCGTCGTTGGACTTCTGCGACGTCTAGACCAAATCGGTAAGGGTCGGTTTCTGCGGCCGATACAGACTCGAGCAGGTCTGCAAGGTCGGCCGTCAGAGCTTCGAGGTTCGCTTGTAGGTCGGCACGGGATTGCTGGAGTTCGGGCGATGCGGCCGACGTCGAGAGCGTGCGGATTCGGAGATATGAGGAGAAGAGGTGGCGAGTTGACTGAAGAGTTGACAACACGTCCCTGTGCAGAGAGACAGTGAGTCAGCTATGGTGCCTATTGAACACGGGGAGCAAGTAGTAAAGGGTGGTGGCTTGTAGTACGTTTGGACTTCGAGGAATGGGTCCTCGGACTGAGGATTGGCCATGGTGTATAATGCTTCAAGTCTCTTTGAGACTTCTAGGCGCTGGGCGCAGCACTTCTAGTATCATTGCATCGTTGTTGCAGACGAGATGTACTATGCGTAGTGGTAGATGTATCAGGGATGAAGCCTGGCAGCCGTTGGCTGCGTGGTTGAATTGTCCATGTCATCGGAGGGCAATTCGCCGGAGGCCAGTTTGACATGCCGCACTGGCAGTACATTTTCTGTGCCTTCAAGCCTAGCATACAATATTCTATCAGCCTCAAGGCACCGTGCAAATATACCGCATTGTAACTACCTTAAGCACTCTATAATTGTACAGCATAGCAAGCTTCCGAACCATGATATACTAGTAGCACCGGAGCCAACTGGGTATCTACCTATGGTACAGACCTCCATCTCTTACGCTTCGTCCTTGCCGGGCTCTGCAGCTGCAACCTCGTTATACTGCGTCCCGTGGAGCTGATCATACATCTCGAGCCCCCGTCGAGGTTGGCCATCCGCATTCTCACGGAGTATCTTCACGCTCTCCTCGATGGTGTTGGTCACCTTCTTCAAACGCGCCGCAAGTTGCTTCCCCAGTGGAGCCTTTTTCACCGAGTCGAGCTCCAAGGCCAGCTTGATCGCATTCTGCATTGGCAAGAGACCCTCGAGCACGTTGTTCTCCAAAGCGCGAATCTCAATCTTGCTTGCCCCGGGCGGCGGTTTGGCTGAGTTGACTTGAGACTCTTTTGCGAGATGAAGCATCTTCAGTGCATAGCTTGCAACCTTTTCCGCATCGGACTCCGACCCGTTCACTGTCTTCGCCGCAACAAGCTCGGTCAACACACTCGCAACCAAAGGCGACCTTCTAGCGTCGACCTCGTCCTCTTTAAGTTTCTCAGTGGCGTACAGCTCATCTTCGAGCATTCGCACCACTTTTTCAGCACGCCGCGACGCTGCTTCTAGCTCTCCGCCCTTGAAGTCCGCAAGAGCAGCACGGGTGTGGAATCCTAGCATCAACTCCTTTGCTACTCCCTTTTTAGATAATCTCAAGCCCGTCTCATGTGCTCTTTCCGCGCAAAGGACGATGATGCGCTCTTTGCCCATCTCGCTCGCTTTTCTTGTTATTTTTTCGTAGAATTGGGCAGGAATTCTCTCTTTGGCCAGCTGCATCCCGGTGAGGAACGAGGGTAGGTTCTTCCATGCCGCATCGCTATTGGTATTGCTTAGAATGTCCAAGATCGCTGTCAAGGATTTTTTCTTGTTTGGTCTATCGTAGAAATTCATTGGCTCCAGCTTGACTTTCTCGTCGTCGGACATTGTGACGGTGACCCCGGGTTCATTGATGAGAGGCTGATGCCGTGAGGGTTTGTAGATGAGGGCTCGGTGATGTTCCTGCAACGCAGCAGGCATGAACACCTTTTGGCGCCATGATAGCAGCAGTTCGTCAAGTTCTGGAGAATGTGTGGGATTAAATGACGGTATCACTTTGCTACAGTTAGCTACATGCTCCGAGGATATGCAAAAGGAGATTCACTGTACCTTTTGGTCTTGCGAGACTGGTACTGAAAGATCGTGAGGCATGTGAAGCACGCCGTACAGTCTGCCGGCAACTCCGACAAATGTATACGGCCGGCGGACAAGCTGACGCCATTTCGAATACCTTGACGGCTTCGTGACGACTTTGAGCAATCTCAAGTCGTTCAGTCGCGATTGTCCTTCAACACCTTGTCGGAAGCGAATCTGCTGCAACTGGAACTGGCGCAAAAGTTCCCCAGATGCGCCTTGCCAAACCAGGCAAGGCAATCATGCCGCTTTATGAGAGCGACAACAGCCTCCCAGCACATCATCAAGCACCTCATCGCCTACTACTTGGGTAGTTTATGTATGTATATGAAGCTCCTCCTTCTTCTTTCCAATGTAGACGCGTCAATGCAGACACCTTTGCTTTCGGACAATGATCATAGCGTGCTGAGGTTGCAGTTATGTCTATACCGACAATCGACCTGCGCAAGGCTGAGGACCCTTTCTATTGCACCCAGTCACAGGAGAACATACGCCATGCCTTGATAGAGGTTGGCTTTCTCTACCTTTCTAATCATGGCATCGACGAGGCTGTCATCCAGGATCTTGTGGCAATTCTTCCAACGTTGTTTGCCTTGCCTGACAAGGCGAAAGAATCTGTGGCTCTGGTACAGTCTCCGCATTTCCTAGGCTACAGCAAGTTTGGTGCCGAGATCACTGCCAGAGTCCAGGATCAGAGAGAACAATTCGAGATTGCGAATGATTTGCCTGACAAACGCAGACTCGATCCGGCTCTACCTCTGTATACGATGCTGCAGGGTCCTAACCAGTGGCTCAAGACGAATGCGATCCCCAGATACCGCGACATGGTCGAGTCTTACATTACAGCCATGCAAGACCTGGCCCTCCGGTTCGTGCGTGTGGTTGCGGAAGCTCTAGGCCTCCCTGCTGCCAGCCTCTTTAGCTTTACCGGACCGGGTGATCGGTTGAAACTGGTACATTACAAGCCATCTCCAGAAGCCACATTTGACGCTCCATCCCAAGGCGTAGGCCCGCATAAAGACAGTTCCGGATGGATGACATTTCTCCTTCAGGCGTCGGATCCGACCATCAAGGGTCTTCAAGTCCTTTCCAAGGACGGGGCTTGGCTTGACGTCCCGCCTATTCCAGGCACGTTAGTGGTTAACATGGGCCAGGCATTCGAGGTGGTCACCAACGGGGTGTGCAAGGCGACCACACACCGTGTCCTTCTTCCGCCAGGCGAATATGACAGGTACAGCGTTCCATTCTTCCAGGGGGTCAGACCGGACTTGACTAAACAAGACCTGAAGACACTGTGGGAACATTTTGACAGGAAAAGGTGGAATACAAGGGAGTCGGAAGAGGGTCGACGCATCGACAGCCCGTTCTTGCGCCGGAAGTATGAAACTTGGGGGGAGGCGCAATTGCGGACAAAGGTCCGAAGTCATAGAGATGTTGGCAAACGACACTATGCCGAGGTGTTTGAAAAGTACATTGGTGATGATTGAGATATATGACGAACTTTTTGGTGAAACTTCATGTCCAGCCTCTTCATGCGCGTCGAGCACATTGGCTCACTCCACCACGACGTCCTTGCTGGTGTCTAGTTCTTCAAACCTCCTCAGATCCATCTTGCCCTCCAACAACGGTATAACGTAGGGGTCAAATGTCTTCCAGTAGGGATTTTCCAAGTGGTACTTCTGACTGCTCTCCTTCTCATATCGTTCAACGATGGTGAAGTCGCGTTCATCGTGGACCGACTGCATGACAAGCCAAGAGACCGTCTCCTTGTCCTTGGAATATACCCTGGAAGCTTCGATGAGCTTGTTCTTAAGCTTTTGGATCACGTCTGGGTCGGAGGATTTTGCACGCATGTGCACGACGATTGTGTAGACCATTTTTGAGAGATTGAGGCGTAGAGAAGACCTTGGTTGCTTGTACGAGTAGTGTTCTTGCCGAGTCTAGGTAGGCAGTTATCACTGGTTGGGTAGATTGAAGAGTTAGGTAGATGAAGAATCACTTTAATTGCGCGCCTCCTTCAGCGACCGCATAGCCGGAAGACCGCCTTCAGTTTGATTTGTCGCTTGGAAAGACGATAGTGATGGTGTACTAGCAGTAAGACGGTACACTTTTCCACAAACTCTGCGCAAAATCATAGCTGCCTGGGCGCGAATTGAGCAAAAAGTAATTGTAATGACATCTCAGTTTCCCCTGGCGTATCGTCTCTTGCACGTGCCGACGCCATTCCCCACCAATGACGCTCGTCTTTCTTCATCCGCGACTCGTGCAATTCGACAGACACACAGAACAGACACAGTGTTGGCCAGAACGATCAGGCCGATGGCTCTTCCTTTCATTCCATGCATCCCGATCTCGGCAAGCACTTATCCACGTCTCGAGTGCATCGACCTTGAACCATGGGTCGTGGAGGCTGATACCCAAGTCCGGGCTTGATATCTGCCATGAAGTTCGCAAAGTACGCCAGCATGCAATCCAAGGATTGTGTCTGCACTCACTGACCATGTTAGGGAACTTGAGGACGAGGCCGTCCCAGAATGGAGGGTCAAATATCTTGATTACAAGGTTAGTCGGAGAACTCCTCCATTCTGCCGACCTCCTTACTGATTGCAACAGCAAGGCAAAAAGAAAATCAAGGCCATCTCGAAAGCGCTACGGAACCTGAACAGAACGCCTGGCACTCCCGTCCGCCCAGCTCTACTCCCCGAAGACACCTCGGAAAGGATACCCTTCACACACTATGACTTCCATCGTCCGCGGCCGTATACCGCTCAGTCATTGCCCGATGTTGCAGGGACTGGTCGGGAGCAAGCTGAAGACCACTCCCAACGGCCAGGTACTGCACAGGCTAGCCGGACTTTGTTCGCACATTCGCCGCCTATTCTCATCCCCATTGCTCGAGGTGAAAGCAATGAGGCAACACTGGAGAGAAGACCACTACACAATGACGATGCATACATTCCAAATAGGAGGCAGATGAATTATGGGAGCATTGTGGGCACTCCACCGTTAGAGGAAACGCCGGGACAATTTGCGGCTCTTGAACTGCCCGATCCTGCACTGAGCCCAGCCCGGACTCGAACAGGTGCCGACGGCGAGATACCACCCGCTCTTGATGGTCTACCGTTGCCCGAAGCTGCCCAGGCACCTCCAGCTCCTGACGCATATCATGTCGGTGAAACCACACCTCGTCATAAGCACAACGTTGGGGGAACTCTTTCCAAAGCCATGTTCAAGGCTCGACACGCTGCCAAGAGGCAATCAATACCTGGCACGAAGCAGAACACTCAACCTCGTTCTTCGCTCAGGAGGTTCTTCTCCGCCTATCCTCTGGATGAGCCCCGGGAAAACGATGTCCAGCTCGTGGCCTATAGAGATCTCGACATGAAACAGGACGATTTCTTCGCCTTTCTGGACAGGGAACTGGAGAAGATTGAATCGTTTTACAAGATCAAAGAGGAAGAGGCGACGGAACGTCTCCGAATGCTTCGAGGTCAATTGCATGAGATGAGAGATCGCAGACTGACGGAAATCATCAAGTCGAAGCGGACCAAGGAACCATCTCAGCAGCATCTTGTTGACCTAGATCTACCTCTGAATGGGCGACCAAGAATACCAAACAAGGAGGACGCGCACTCCAACGGAAATGGTTCAACCTTCATCAAGAAGCCGATCGAAGAGGCTCTGGGTCGTCGCACGACCATTGGTAAGACCTCACAAGCAATGCAGCAGTTGAGTTCTCCTCCCGGACCGAAGGCACAAAACCGAGCCAATGATTCGAAGCAAGACTATGTTCGACACAAGCGTACAAACGATGTTCCATACAGATACGCCAAGAGACGGCTCAAGCTGGCATTGCAAGAATACTACCGCGGGCTGGAATTGCTCAAGTCCTATGCCCTCCTCAACCGAACAGCGTTTCGCAAAATAAACAAGAAATACGACAAGCTTGTGCAGGCTAGGCCGCCACTTCGATACATGGCAGAGAAGGTGAATGACGCTTACTTTGTACAAAGCGATGTGGTTGACAATCTCCTGATGGCGGTGGAAGACTTATATGCTCGGTATTTTGAGCGTGGGAATCATAAAATTGCTGTCCGAAAGCTTCGGTCTAGATTGGGTACCGGCGACCAGTCAGGAACCACATTCCGCAATGGCCTCTATGTCGCGGCGGGCACTTGTTTTGGCATATCTGGTCTAGTTCAAGCCGTGACTCTGCTTGCCGAGTCGCATCCACCGGTATCGACAAACACGAGCTACCTGCTACAACTCTATGCCGGCTACTTCCTGGGGCTTCTGCTGTTCCTTCTATTCTGCCTTGACTGTCGAATTTGGACCAAGGCGCATATCAACTACGTCTTCGTCTTCGAATTCGACACCCGACATGTTCTTGACTGGCGCCAGCTATCCGAGCTACCTTGTTTCTTTTTGTTTCTGAACGGGCTTTTCGTCTACATCAACTTCCAGCAAGACCCTAATGACTGGTTCTATCTCTACTGGCCGGTCGTGCTCATAGCCGTCACATTGGTGATCATGGCTCTTCCGTTCAAGGTGTTGTACTATAATGCGAGAAGGTGGTGGGGTTATTCGAACTGGAGACTGTTGCTGGCTGGTCTGTATCCTGTGGAATTTCGAGATTTCTACCTGGGCGATATGTATTGCTCGGAGACCTACGCCATGGGGCAGATCGAAGTCTTCTTTTGTTTGTACGCCACCGACTGGTCCAACCCGGTGAAGTGCAACTCAAATCACTCGCGTCTGTTGGGCTTCTTCACCGCCCTTCCCGCCGTATGGCGTGCATTCCAATGTCTGCGCCGATACTACGATACCCGCAACTGGTTTCCTCACCTCGCCAACTTTGTCAAATACCTCGGCAACATGTCATATTACATGACATTGTCGCTCTATCGTATCGACATGACCAACCAAATGAAGGCAGTCTTCATCACCTTCGCAGCTGTCAACGGGATGTACTCTTCCTTCTGGGATGTCTGCATGGACTTCAGTCTTGGAAACCCGTATGCCAAGCATCCATTCCTACGCGACCACCTCGCGTACAAGAAAGTCTGGGTCTATTACGTTGCGATGGTGGTCGATGTGGTCCTCAGACAGCAGTGGATCATGTACGCCATCTTCACAACCAACCTGCAGCATTCCGCCTACCTTTCTTTCTTCGTCAGCCTTGCCGAAGTTATCCGGAGAGGAATGTGGTCCTTGTTCCGTGTCGAGAACGAGCACTGCAACAACGTCGGAAAGTTCCGCGCCTCACGAGACATCCCCTTACCCTATGACATCCCCGAATCGCCTGGAATAACAAGCAAGACTCCGTCACCTGACCAGACAAGACAACTCCAGTCTCTACCAGGCGAACAACCTGTCCAACCAGACCTGCAGCACCATGCTACAGGAGTTGACGTGGAGCAGCAACAGCCCGCCGTGGCTGCCTCGCCGTCCCTTCGGCACCGCAAAGCTCCAACGCCTTCAACTCCTCGCACCCCAGGCATGCGCGCCCTGCAACGCGTTGGCACGGTCATTGCGGCCGCGCACGCGCAAGACTTCGAGAAACGGCGTAGACCTGAAGTCGAGGGACCTGAAGGCGCTGAAAACCGAAGCATACACACCGCTAATAGCAGCGACGATGATGACGATGACGATGATGACGACGACGATGACGAAGCCGCCGAGGACGACGGTGGAGATGAAGAGGTCGCGGAGCTCCGTCGCCAGGAGCGACAGGAACGGGAAATCGAGGAAACTGAAGTCGCAGAGGCTGAAAGGTTGGTGAGGCGAGCCAGGGGCGATGATGGTTGAATGCCTTCACATCCCTTCTTCCCTGTCTCCTTTTCTTGTCTACCCGTAGATAGTTGACTCTGCCATTACGATATGGGATGGCCCCATGGCTTTTGCCCCGAGTATCTAATGCGTGTAAGCAACTTACCAAAACCCAGTTGATAGGCGAAAGAATCCGTGGAGCAAAGGCCAAACATGTACGACTGGCGTGTCATGCTCCAGTCCGACTTTAGATCCAGTGGCTTCGAGGTTCCGACGGCGTAAGGATTATTACCTGTTGATTTGGAGAACGCAACCACGAGATAATCGTCTCTAGAAACATAGATGGTCAACATGTGGCACGGGTTTCGCATGCCTACTCGGTAGTCTCTACTTAGGTATATACCACTTGGTGATGAGCCTTCAGTACAGGCCCACTCTGGCAGATTTTGCAGAGGACGGCTGAGGCCACAGAGCCCAGGCCAAAATCCGCGCCGAACCCTGTTCATTGACCTTTTTGTTCGATTAGATGTTACAAAGAAAAGATAGGACGACTGGTCTGGTGTCGAAAATATTCTTGAGCATTGAGTGCGATCTACAGCCTGACCGCAACGCCAGTCTCATCACATTGACTTGCTGGCTTTGTTCCCCCCTATACACAAAATGGGGGTCGGCGATGAAAGGCTATCATCCCCTCTTTCTCTTTTCGCCCCGATTCGATCACTCTCATCACAAAAGCGCAGGCACCCCCAACCCAAGCCATCAAACAGCAAGCAAAACCGCGGTGCAGTGAATTTCAGAAGTACTTGTAGACCGTCTTGTCTGCTTTAACCGTACGAGATCTGCGCCTCCGGCTCGCCTGGGGCCATGAAGTTCGTGTTTGGATTGCCTGTCTTCTTGGCCGCTGAGCAGCGAGCCATTGTTGGGGAACTGTGGTAGGGTTTATATGTTAGCATACGATACAAGATTCCTTCAGGCTCATCGGATTTGTTTGGAGAAGGAATGAAGGGCAAGCTTACCTCCTTGAAATCACATCTGTCATGTAGAAGTCCTTGATGGGCAGTTCGAACGGCTTGCCCGAGGGTTTGGCGCCCTTGTGGGCATCCACCAGCTGGACTTTACTCAGGCTTGCCAGGGTGGTAGGTTCGAGAGTGTCGTAGCGTCGGAGGGCGGGGCTGATCTCTTCGAGACGGTCGCGGAGAACTTCGAGGTCATCATACGGGAGAGGGACGCCCAGGAACTCGGATGCCGCGCGGATGATCTTCCAGTCGGTGCGTGCGGCGCCGGGCAACGAAACAGCAGCACGGGATAGCTGGACGCGGCCTTCTGTGTTGACATATGTTCCGGACTTCTCGGTGTAAGCGGCGCCCGGGAGGACGACGTCGGCCAGTTGTGCACCAGTCTCGCCGTGGTGGCCTTGGTAAATCACAAAGGCGTCTTTAGGGATATCTGCCTCGGTGATCTCGTCGGCGCCGAGCAGCCAGACCATCTTGGGTTTCGTCTCCGCGACCTTCTGCGAGGGAGTGGTGAAGCCGACCTCGTAAGCTCCAGCTCGCGACGCGGCGCGTTGGAGGACGTTGTAGCCTTGCCATTCGGGGGTGAGGAAGTTGGCTGCGTTCTTGTCCACGAAGCTGCCGACCATCTCGAAGATGGCCGCTGCGTCAGGGTGTTCGGCAATCGCACTGCCCACAATGATCATCGGTCTCTTGGCCGATGCCAGCTTCTTGCCGAAGTCGCCAGCCAGAGCCTTCTTCACCGCCGCGGCATCGGTGCCGAGGTGATCATACTCGAAAGTGCTGTCGAAAGGCTCACCAACGTATCCGATCTCGAGAGGTGCTCGCAGCCATTGCTTTCGGATTCTGGCGTTCAAAACGGCAGCTTCCCATCGTGGGTTGCTCCCGATGATGAGCATGGCGTCTGCGTCCTCGACGCCAAAGATCTTGGAGTTGAAGAGGTAGTTTGATCGGACGTCAACACCGTGCGCAATCGGGGCACTACCGCCGGGCTGATCCAGGGCTAGGTTTTCCGAGTTCAATCTGTTGGCAAGGTCTTTCATGGCGACCAGGGATTCCGTTTCAATGAGATGTCCGGCGATCGCCTTGAATTCGTTCTCGGCAGGTTTCAGTCTGAGGTAGGCATTGCCAATCTCGGTAAGAGCCTGCTCCCATGTGGCAGGCAAGAATTTATCATCTCTCCGGATCAGAGGTGTGGTAAGTCTCTGTGTCTTCAATCCATCCATAGCGAACCGTGTCTTGTCATCGATCCATTCTTCATTGATATCGTCATTCAACCTGGGCAGGATCCGCTTGACTTCCAAACCTCTGGTGTCCACCCGGATGTTCGACCCCAGTCCGTTTAAGACGTCAATTGACTCGAATTTTGTGAGTTCCCAGGGTCTGTAGCTGAAAGCGCCCGGTTTGGTGAGCAAAGCACCTACGGGACACAAATCGGCCACGTTACCCGAAAGTTCCGTATCGAGGTTTCGTTCCAGATATGTGCCGATTTCAATAGAGTTGCCTCTCCCCGTAGACCCCAGCTCTGGTGCACCGGCGATCTCGTTGGTGAACCGAATACATCTTGTGCAGTGGATACATCTGTTCATCGAAGTCTTGATCAATGGTCCAATATTCTTGTCTTCGACTGCACGCTTGCCGCTGACTTCGTGAAATCGGCCCCGGTCAGCGCCATATCTCATTGACTGGTCTTGTAAATCGCATTGTCCACCTTGATCGCAAATGGGACAATCGAGGGGATGGTTGGCGAGTAGAAACTCCATGATACCCTCTCTTGCTTTGTGTGTCATGGGTGAGTTGGTCTTGACGACCATGCCGGGTTGGACGGGCCATGCGCAGGACGCTACGGGCTTCGGGACTCGTTCGACTTCGACCAAGCACATACGACAGTTACCGGCGATCAGGAGTTTTCTGAGAAGCACTCAAAGTCAGCGGCACGCACACTTTGGATCGACGGATACATAGGAGTGGCCATACTCGTGATAACAAAATCGGGGGATTGTGACACCAGCTTTTTCACAAGCCTGGATGAGAGCTGATCCAGCCTCTATCGACACTTTCTTTCCATCAATTGTGAGTTCGACCTCGGCGGGCCGTCGTGCAGAGGAGGCGAATGTCCGTGTCGTCCGTTGGCTCAAGGAACATGTCCTGGAGCGCGCCGCGGCGCGGAGAAGCTGAGACCGCATCTTGACACGACGAGCTGGTCTCAGCTACGATGGTTGGAACGGTGTTGGAAGGAATGTGGCGTCGACGAGGAGCTTCCGACAATTGAATGCAGGCCAGCTGCTCGATGTTTCTTGAGATCATTGTCTCGCAAACCCCAAATGATACGCCTGTGATTGGTTGGATTTGAGCTTGGCATTTGTCCTGATCTGGCATATGTTCTACGCCGCTTTAACGCCCATGTGTTTCTTTATCCGAATTTGTAAACATACACAGACAACGACATATGCTAAAGAGGACGTTGGATCTCGGCTGTAGCTAATGTGGTTGGCAGCGTGTTAGTCACTTCAGCAAGTCTAAACAATGATCCCTATTATCTGACTGTCGATGTGGATGTACATAGAGCTCGCTGGATATAATACATGGAAATGTGACTTTTATAGCTCGTCCACGATCAATCGTCCCCGAGCTGCTCACCGGCACCATTCCCGACAGAAATTCTGCCGCGCTGGGAAGCGGATTCGCCCACTCATGACTGTGAGGAGAACAATTCTCTTGCTTTCCTCCTCCAGATACCGAGTTTCTGCCAGAATGAAAGCCAGCAGAACATCACACTTCTGACGGGAATCCAAGCCAAACAGCCCTTGTCGATGTTGAATCCAAGCTCTTCGGCAATGAGGTCGACCATCCCGACCATGAGATTGACCGCTCCATTTTCACTGAACATGGCCACCTTGTTTCGTTGCGTGAGAGTCTGATAGCGCTTTGCTCTGGGAAACATGTTGGTTTCGTATTGTCGCACCCCTTCATCCATGTCCTGACCACTATGCGACGCCTGTTCGAGCGCCTCAGCCAACTCCAGCGAATCTGCCATTGCCTTGTTGACCCCCTCGCCTGCGAACGGAGTCATGAGACTAGCGGCGTCACCAATCAGGGTGAACCCGTTCCTGTGGTCCCACGTATTGCCTACTGGCAGTTCGTATAGGGGCCAGGGCCGGAAGTTGGTGCTAGCGCGGATGCATCGCAGGATATCAGAAGCCCAGCCGATGTAGTTCTCGATGACCTTGTCCTTCAGTTTCGCCTCGTCGCTACCGTATGCGGCCATCAGGTCCGCTGGATATGTCTCGTTGCCGGCAATCCAGATCCCGACCTTCAAGCTTTCGTTGGCCATTCGTTGCACGGTCAGGTTCACATGGTCTGAGGACACAAGATAGCTACCTCGACCGACAATCTTGGAGATTTTGGGGTACTGTTCGTGGGATGTTGGGATGGTGCTTTCAAAGCCGCAGATGCCAGAATAACATGGCCGCACATCTGTCAAGACATCTCGCACTTTTGACCACGCGCCATCTGCACCCACGACCAGGTCAAATGGTCCAGCTGTGGGTCCGTCACGGAAAGTCAAGATGCCCGCACTGGGGCCGACAGACTGTAGCGTCTTGCCCCAATGGATCGACTCCGGGTTGATGCTTTTCAGGAGTAATCCCTTGAGGTCTTCGCGGTCGATCTCTGGCCGTGCATATTCGGAGTCACCGGATGTTTTGTCGAGGTCCTGCATGTGGGTCAGGACCGTGTTGTTCTTGTCTGTGATGAACATCTCCTCGCCGTCGTATCGAAGATGCTCGTGCGCTGCGTCATATAGACCGGCCTTCTTCAGCGCAGCCAATCCCGACTCCGGATGCAGGTCCAGAGTGCCGCCTTGAAAGAACCGTGCATTGGGAGAGGCATCTCTTTCGAATATGGTTTGAGATGTCGACTTGGGCGATCTGAAGGCATCGCGCAAGGGTCAGCCCTGCCGGACCGGCACCGATGATTGCTATGCTGTTTGGCATGGATTGTGGTTGAGACTCTGGCCACGCCGCGTCAGACGATGGCAAGTTTAGTATAAGCGACGATGTTGAGAGACAGAATGTCGGTCTCGTTGGATGTCTTTAAGAGCACTGCACTGTTCGAGAGTGAGGGTCAAACGTGTAGGAGGTGACGTACACCAAGTACAGAGAGGGTATAGTTCTTTAACAATGGTAAGAAGAAGTCGTCTGATGGTGCAAGGGGATAGTCTAAAACTCTTCTGTCGCCTTGATTCTGGCTGTCGAGCTCTTTATACGGCTGGAATCCCCTCGCATCGTTGGACCACTGACGCGCAATGCAGCCGAGAACCCATTGATAAGGTACTCGTCGCTCGTCGCCCAGAATCCAAGCAACAGTTTGATGGCCGTGGGAGGGGTTTCGTACCTACATCCATGAGGCATGTGCTTTGAGGTTGGAAGTCATTGTTTCAAGAACATGGATTGGGAGAAAGTGGAGATGTAGCCGCTCCTTCGGGCCGGGCTGAGGGCTTCCCGGCCGAGATATGGGCATGTCTTCCTCTCACTGATGACAACATGCTTTAAATACGGTAATACTTCCCATCCATCAAAGGCGGTCTTACATTCTTGAATGTCTGCATGTGTTTTGCATTTGTCGTTGCGCATATGAGCAGTATTGATGTTGTGTTTATCTATTAAAATAGCGTGCAATGGCAACATCTATACCATCATTGCCCCCATTCCCACCATGGCAGCAAACCCGACCTCGCCCGTCAAGTCTCGCTTGTGGACATGCACCGCCGCGCTGGAACTGGTGGCCGACGACGCCTCTGTCTGCGTAGAACTGGGAGGGTGGTAGGCCACAGCCACGGGACACTGAGAGCTGTCGCATGCAGCCGCAAGCTGGGGACTGGGCACGAACGTCCTGATCGGCCGTGTGTTATTCTTGAGTGCGTTTCCTTGTGCGTCTAGGCCTTCAACCATGCTCCATTGATGATATCGGGGCGCCGTGAACATGGTCTCAAAGCCTAACTTGTCAACCGTGTTCACTACCGTCCACGGTCCATTGCGAGATGTGCTGGCGTAGAGGCGCCATTGAGCCACTTGCGTGGCGCCATTCCAACTCACCCAATAGAATGTCGGGGCACTCGTGTTGTGCGCATAGGTGTATAAGGCCGGAGCGTCTGTGGGATTGGATGTGAAGTTCTGCTTGTACGCCCGATAGTTCATTGACCCTGATGTGGCAAAATGGCCCTGCTGTACCATATGTCCATCAGGAGCATACTCGGAAATGTACGCGTTCGACCCCCAGCCCAGGAAGACATTCGAAGTCCTCCAGTCCTGGTTTGACCCGAGCAGCTGCATATTTCCTTGAGATGCCGAGATGAATTGATACGGCGCAACAAACTCCTGAATAAGCGACACCGAGTTTGCTGTATGGTCCAGTTTCAGATACATGCCTGCCGAGTAGCGCGAAGTCTGGTTGAATCCATTCGAGGCGTTGTCAAACAACGAGATAATGGTCGTGCTCCTGTTTTCCTCGCGGAACCGTGCATCATGCTGGAAACTGAAATTCAAACCCGGGGCGAAACTGAAATCGGAAGCTTTTCCACCCAGCCTCCAGATTATATGTCCGTCTTGCCCAGATACCTTGTAGACGGTGGACGTGTGACGCGCAGAGACTAAGTAGTCGCCATCGGCGTTTTGGTCTACGCTGTTAATGTGGAAGTAATCCCACGGACTGGTCGAAGTAAACCCATTGCCGGAGACCTCGGTCGTGTCGGGCAAGACAAAGGATTCTTCCAACGGAACGTGGTCGATAGCCGACCATTCGAACAATAGTTGGCTAGTCCCCAGCTCAATGTGCTGGAAGAAGTTGTTTTGAATCCAGCCTTGGCCAGAGGTGACATTGTACTCTGTCAAGTCGTAGTGTTCGGGATTGTACAAGGTGAATAGGGCCGACTTCCCGCCGTCTAGGACATTGTATTCGTGTTCATCAAAATTCGCCAATCCGCCCTGAGAATGTATCGATGTCCTGCTGGTGAATGTGTCGTCGAGGACCGCCGCATACCCGCGGACGTACCCGACGTTCTGGGCGCCGGTGATGAAGCAGAGATTGTCGGTACCGTTGATCGAACAGACATGGAAGTTATGCGACGGGCCGCCGCCAGTCGAGCCGAAGCCAGAGTATACCAGATTCTTGCAACCGTCAGCATAGTCTTTTACTCATCTCCGCACATGCAACTGACTCCTCTGTTGTCATAGATGTAGATCGCCTCTTGAAATGTCTGGTATGGCGCAAGGAAGATATATCCAGGAGCCACCGCCTCCTCGTCAAATAGGGAAATATTAAGGAAAGGCGCAAAGATGTCAGGTCTCTGTATACGCGTCAACCACAGCCAGTCACCATAAAACCGATCTTTTGGCTTACCGATTTGAATTGAGACAATGGCCCGGTACCATTCGTTCTAGTGGGCGCTGGACCCTGTGCTTGAGCGCCCGGGAAGATGCATGCTGTAAGAAGCGAGGCTGCAATGAGCCAGCCTACACTCCGCATAACGCAGGACGTCAAGTCTGGGCTGGTGAACCTCAATGTTCGCCTAGCTGCTTGCGTGCAGCAATTCCTAGCCGTTGAAGACGTTGAGTGACTTGGTCATGATCTCTGCGAGCACCGTTGTTCGAAATCACCACATCGCGAAGGAACTCCTCGTTGCAGCCACCCAGGGGAGAGCCTTATTGGTAGACTCCATCGTCCTGCTCCGGCCGTCAGTGAGAAGGAGATTTCCCGGTGGCTGAGGGTTCCGCCAATTGCTGTGTAGTGTGGAGAAAGCTGGACGTCGTCCGAGATCTGTTGTCGTCGCTGCCCAGATCGACCAATCAATCTAGAAGACCGAGCATGTAGGATGGCCATTGTCGCGGGGCGATGTCAGTCGATTCTGCACTCTGCACGCGTGCAGATCGCAGGCATTGGGTATATCGTAAGCTGAGCAAAGATATAATATGTTGTAGGTGAATATACATGCACGAGTATGATAGTCCAGCAGATGCGCAAAGGATATTGGACATTCTGCTTTCATGCCCACAGGCGTTCAAGGGATTGCAGGACTGAGGTGAAGGCGCCTGGCCCAGTTAGACTGAGGCCTAGGGACTTTTGTACTGCCCACTGCAAGGAACATTAGGGAAGGCTAGGGCACCTATTGTTAGTGAGCACTAGGGGCAGACGCTAGGGAAACCCACCTATCCAATAATTCTAGGGGCTTCTTAGGCTCCTCCTTATCCATAGGCTTAAGGGAGCCTTAGGCTAGGAAGGCTGCTGGAGCTTCCAGGGATGCATCTTCCTCGCAACATCTTCTGCATTCACCAGATACATCTCCAGGACTCTCCGGATCGATCTCAGCATACCCTCATTATTCGTCGACCTCAAGCAAAAGATTCTCCATCACTGACTACCACGGAGCCTGTTCACCCCCCGCCAGCCCTTCTTGACAGCCCTCCACGAGTATAACTCCCCAGTGCTACGGTCCTCAACGTACCTCCACCACCAAGTCCATCCGCACATTCGTCGCGGTTCTTGTGCCGTCGCATCTACCAGGTCCCAGTTATCCGGGCGTTCTGCGACCGGAATGTCCTCCCATACGATCTGGCAGAGATGCAGACAAGACACGAAGCAGTAGACAAATGCATGCATGTCGCACTTCAAGCAGCTTATATCGGTCAGAGGGAACCGCATGCAAGCATTCATGCATGAGTTGACGTCGATGACTGCGGCTGCACCTTGAGCTTGGCGTGATCCCCGAATGCATGCTCGGCATGCTGTTATCGTTGACGTTGTCGTCGTCGTGGTCGTCCGTGGGAAGCGGTTTGGGAGTCGTCGACGTGGCTGCTGGATGAGTATTCCGTCCTCATCACTATCTTCCACAACAACACAGATGTAGCGGCATGGAGCTTTCCTCGCAGTTGCGGGCAACTCCTCTTGTTGTCGAGATGACCGTGGGCGGTGGAGTACTCTGGATGTTTCTCTACCCTCGTCAACATGGTCTAAAACGATATGAAGGGTCTGATGGCGCTCATAGTCCCTTTCCTCGTCCTCGTCCTCGTTCGTGTCATCCCATGGATCATCATCATCGGTATCGGGCTCTGGAGTACCGTCATCATCATAGTCCTCCTCTTCACTGGAAGTCGTTGAGCTGATCTCGTCACCATCATCATATTCCGCCTTATCAATGGTAATGGCAGTGTATTGCTGACCGAGCGCCAGAAGGGATGTTACTTCAATCCGGTCCATCTTTGCTAAAACCATGGCGAGTCTCCAGATGAAAATTGCGATAGGATATGTTTTGCAAGGGGGCGTTTGGGAGGGAGAAAGAGACAGAGAGAGACAAAATGGAGGACAGCAGAACAAGGCAGCTAGGGCATGGATAAAATTGCTCTCTTAGCTGCTGTCATGACAGCTGAATTGCTGGTTGATGACTTGAGCACCCTGGTTGCGAGTACTAACAACATCCAGGTGCAGAGAAATATCTGGTCATTCTCTGACCAGGACTCATCTCCACGAGGACCTATCTCCGTTCCGATTGGCACTTTACTCCCCCCCGTCACGAAGCAACTCTGCCAACTTCGCTGAAGAGTCTGATCATCGGATCGGCGGGTGTTGTCTGTGCCAGCACTGTATGCATGTCGACTTGCTATAGCGCTGAGCAGAGCTGAAGCTGTGGTGAGACACGGCTCGAAAGCACCGGGCCAGTAGCTAGCCGTGCCAGCGGAAAAAGTGCTGCGGGCGTTTGGATGGGGCAACGATGCCAAACGAATGCACTGGCGCTAGCCTTGCTCTTGCTCGAGGTGGAAACACCGACACGAACAACTCTTCCCTCCGGCCTTGGGTCTTTTTCGAGGCTGTGAAAAAACCTTGATCCAGAAGACTTCTTTCTCCCCTTCCCTTGTACCTACATTCCACCTAAGCTGATGTCGTGTGTCATAGCAGAAACGAAAGTGTTTCAGTGGCAGTCACAGACAGGGAAGGTTTGGACGGCTCAAGTACGCGGGTATGTACTGAGTATACTATACTGTACTGCCGAACTCCAGGGTGTTGTCAACTGGCACGGTACGGTCCTGGGAAAGTATAGAGTTTTTCCCTCAAAGTGTATCTGATGGGAGCCTGAGAAAGTATATTGCCGACAAGGCTCACAGTGGCAGGCTTGCCCTTGACGGGTCTCCAACTCGCCTCAAGCTTTCGGTGAATCTGGTAGGTAAGGTAAGGTACCTAGGTACTGGAGTTTATAGTACGATGTCTTACCCAATAGTAGATGAGAGATCTACCATAGTCGTCTCCGATTGGTTGACCCACCCACCACAAGGCTGCGCCCCTTTTACATACTGGATGCCAGGATCAGACGATGTACAGTCTGTACTATGATACACAATTTGCTTCAACAGGCCCACTTCGACTCACTTGGCCTTGGTCTCCTTGAGCGTTTTGTCAGACTAAGTCTGTGACCCAGACGAAGTCTCAATCTTTGTTGGTGTCTGCAGGATACATTTTGTCCAGGGAGGGGACGGAGATCCTCCTTCCTAGGGAACACAGATCTATCTGCCGTTCAATCGTGAAGACCTGACACAGAAAAATGGCGCTAGAAAATCAAAGGCTGGACAACAGTCTTACAGACGTCATGTGTAGATCTCGAAGCAGAGGGCGAGAGCGTTGTTCAAGGTGAGTGGAGATGTTTTACGACAAGGACTGAACTCACGCCAGCTTCTGCGCCCTTGAGCAGGCTTCCGCCCCCAACAAGGGCGTGGCCCAGTTCAGATCTTCGGCCAGAGAAATGTTTCAGTATGGCCGCCCATCAAGTTGACGGTCTCCGGATTTCTGTGACAAAAGGTATGGCCCTCGACAAGACACCACCAAAACCAGCAATTTGTGCCGGCATTGCGCGCCCAGAAAGATGGAGGATAAACCGGGCAGAAGGACAGAAGGACAGACAACGAGCGAACCCACTGCCAATCTTTCAGAGAGAATAGTACTTCTCATACAAGGGATCTTTCCCTCCCTCTTCGACTTCGCGCCAATCATACTCCAAGGCCTTGGCCAAACCTCTCGCCACGTGCAAGCCGCCATGAAACTGCGCAACGAAAGCCAACGTCACATCCATGCCAGCACTGATCCCCGCCGAGCTCCAGATCTCAATTGGTGCACGGTTGGGGGCTTCTGAAGACAGGCTCCGCACCCACCTCGCACGGTGCTGCCACAACACTGACGGATTGCGGCGGGCAACAAAGTCAAAGCGGGCCATGTTGGTCGTGGCTCGTCGGCCGTCAAGCAGGCCTGCCCGTGCAAGGATGTCGGAGCCAGTACACACGGTGATGATTGCCGTGCTGAGATGGGTAGCTATTTTGGGCAGGAAGTCGTAAAGACTCTGCACGTTCGACGTCCTACTGCCATCGCGATGGACCCTTGTCAGGCGTGACCCCATCCCACCCGGGATGAGCAGAACATCGGGTTTTGCTGTGCTGTTGCTGCTGCTGCTGCTGTTACCGCCAGATTCCAGTGCCCGGAGGTAGTCTGTGCAAGTGGCGTCTGGGTGCAAATACTGGTTGAACGTGGTGTTGAATGGATTTTGGCCTGCCGTGTCTCCTCCTGAGACATCTTGCAGATCGAATGTCCAGTCTGCAGATGATGGTGGAATGGGTTTGGCGGGCACGGGCTCAAGTGTTTCGGCGACAATGGTCAGAGTGAGGTGGGAGTTTTGCTTGGTTTCGGACAGCTGGTTCAGGATGTCCAGAGGGCCGGCCAGGTCGAGGAGTTGGAATCCGGGAAATATCACCAACACGTAGTGAGTGGGTGGTGATTGAGCCATGGTCAGATAGATATTGCGTAACCTGATCGGGTACTGGCACTGCGCCCTGAACTGTAAATGTCTGTGGACTGTACCTAAGTGTTGGTTGACAGACAGCTCTCTTACCGCCAAGCTCTCTATGATTGACGAAGATCCAACGAGGAACCAGACCCTGCTTTGGAGGTGTGGGCAGATCAAGTTTCCACACCCAGCATTCGTGAAATGGGGTTGAGAGTGTTGACTGTCCAACTTGAAGTCGCAAGGCACTCGCCAAGTGTTTTGCTTTTGATGACTCGGATGTTGGATGCCACTGCAGTGAGTGCGGTGTTCAAGTTCAACTTGAAGTTGGCAACTATTCCCAAAGGTACAAATTCCCTATTACGGATCAAGCGTAGGTTCCTAGGTAACCCGGATTAGCGGGTATCAGAGCACCGTCGTAATACTAGGACGCAGGTAGCAGAACATGCAGCTCACGGTGGGCATTTTGCTTTTGCATTTCACTCTCTGCCCATGGGGTTTGCCGTAGGAATGACTCCACTACACCTTGAAAGAGAGTGTCGATCAAAAAAGTGAGGATGGATAGACGGCACTAAAGGACCACCTGCTCACTAGTGAGATTCGATCTGGCTGGGGTAGACGGGGGATGTGAGACGACCGCAGGTATGAGAACGATTAGAACCTGAACAGGTCCACTTTAGACATGCTACTTACCGGGGTTTCTGAGAATCGAGGAGCAGTAATACAAGAGATGGAGTTTCATCGCTAGGTGTAGCATACCTGTAACCTGATACTATGCTGGGAGGTAGGTACCTACGGCGCAGGTAGATAAAGCGTGGAAGATACCCCCGGAAATAGTACTGGTTAATAGTGGTTAAGGGGATGCAGGTACCTACCTTATAGGTACCTACTACCTGTAGTACTTCACAAAGTACTTGCAGGTACGCTAGTAAGTGTGCAATACAGACTCGTACGGTAACAATAACAGTCATTCTACAACTTTCCCTAAAGCAGCCACTGGAACGCAGATCTGCAGGCTAGCTCACCTTCCCATTAGAAATAATATCTGTCATTTCACACTAAGGCGCATATAGTAACGCCAGATTCCACTCGTTTCCATCATCCCTGCAGAGTTGAACCTTGTGCGACTTCTCACACTCAACACCTTGTGCAGTAATCCAGTATTAATGCCATGGCAGGGGGCGAAAAAAGAGCCAAGCCAACCAATGAACTGCGCCAATTTCATCTTGTGATCTCAAGCTGAGCCTGACACTTCCAAACGTTCTTCTGACTCCGATTCTTCCACTTCCTCTTCCTTCCACCTGACTCTACACTACTACTGTGAACTTGGAAGATTAGGTACCTAATTGCCACGAATGAGGTTCACTAGTATTCTGCTCGTGCCTGGCGACAATATTGACGCCTGAGCCATTGGAATTTCTGCTGCGAACCATCTGATTCTCTATCACTAGCAACGGCATTGCGTTCCGCCACCCGTCCACACAGTCACTCACTCTCTCCCTCTCTTTCTCTCTCTATTCGGGGATAGGGCGGAATCTGAGCTGCTGCCTGGCCATGACTTCGACCACCGCACACCAGAAAGAACAATCAATAATATGAGTCGAAAAGGCAAAAGCAGGATGACCAACAATTGACTGATCTGACTGACGCCTCTTGCCTTCCGCCTTTCGCCATCCAGGCCATTCCGCCACTCGACTCATAGTATTGGCCTCTCTGTCTGGTTCTTCACATCTTCGAGGCGCTCACCAAATCAGGTTTGATTGTTCAGCCGTTTTTTTGCCTCACCCACCCACTGCAAGAGACAATACTACCACAATAATACTAGAGAGAGGAATGACGCATGTCATGGGATTTTCCAATGGCTTCTCAATGGCAATTCATTCCCATTCAGCCCCAATTGCCATCACTGCTCGCTCAGCACAACGAACTCATCTCTTCTGCCTGTTATTGTATCTTGTCTTCACCATTGTTTTTTTATCTGTTTTATTATACTCTATTGTCCATTGAGTTTTTACCCTGCAACAATCAATCAATAGAGCGTGAGCCAGAGCAAGGATTGGCTTTTTCTCTCCTCCGGACAATCAATTCCTCCGAATAGTAGGCAGCCTTGCCTGTCTGTCCCATTACCATTATTCATCCTCCCCCGCGCCCCATCACCACAGCACACCCCGGTCTCTACCAGTCCGAACCATCTACACATCCATCCCAGAATAAATCAAACATCAATAAACCGTTCAAATCATCCCATCTTATCCACATCTATCCTTCCTACTGAACAACCTTCTCCCATCTGAACCGTCCAACTCTTCCGCACCCTGCCAACTTTTGCCCTCAACTTGCGCCCCGTCCCCGCCAGAGAAGGAAGAACACCAAACCGCTAGACCTGCCAGGTCCTCATCCATCGCATCTCCCCAAACCCAAACCCTTGTCAGCGTGCGGTGCCAGGAGAAGTCCGAAAGTCAGAAAGGGAGGACATACCAACACTTGACATCCTTCATGTCTGTAACAGCAGTGGCCGAGGACTACTTAATCCCTTGGGACGCCACCCCAATGTCCAGCTTACCACGCAAATCCTCGTCTTCACCGAGGATTCTGAATCTCAAGACATCATCATCACCCGTCATGGCCCCAGAGCCTCCTCAATTCTCCAACAAATACACCATGCACGACTATGAAGCCGCGGAGATCCTGCTCATGATGTCTCGTTCAGGCCCGGTCAACTACGACTTGCCACCCGCTGAATCGGCACCACAACCACGGCGACCTGGGGCGGCCAAGGCCCAACAAACACAGATGCCAAAGGTCAAGCCAGAGCCTGTCCGGCCAGCAATCAGCAGACGAACAGAAACAACCACCAACGCAACCACCACTGTAACCACCCCCGCAATCACGCCGGTCGCTAGGCCCAAGAAGCGTAAGCTGGAGGAGGCAGATGAAGACGACAAAGTCCAGAAAGTGGCTGCCAGACTCAAGAAGCGCAAGCTGAAGATGGAGCTGGCACACGAAGTGGACCGACTCCTCAAGGCGGCGGCCAAGAAGGGCAAAGCCAGTCGCCGCCAGGCGTATGACGAAAGCAACAAGAAGGCTTCTCCCAGCGAAGTCTTTGCTCGGCATGTCAAGCTCACGCTCAACGCTCGCTCGGCAGAAAAGAGCGACTATGCAGCATTCGCCGATGCGGTTCTGCCAGACAATCGGCCGGGAATCGATCTCGCCCAACCCCCGCTCAAACATGCCGTGCCGGAGCCCCGACGGCTCGAAGATCTCGGCGACATTACCGGTCTCCATCCCCGCGAAGTCTGGCTTTGCACGCAACTGGCCATCACCGCCGACACCTACCGCTGCCAAAAGGCACGTTTCTTCCTCGGTCTCGCCATCTTCGTCGAGTACAACTATCGGGCGCTGAAGGACGGCGAGCCGGGCTTCAAGATCTGGAATGTGGGCAAATCGCAGTGCCAACTTTTCAACAACATGGACGTCAACAAGTCCAGTGATTTGTTCCAGGCATTCGAGACCTGGGGCTGGGTGGAGCTTATGGGCAAGAAGGATCCCAGCACCAAGCACTGGGTCGTCTCGCCCAACTACCTCATCCGCTTTCCGGAGGACCACCGTCGGCGCCTGATGGGAGAGGTGGCAGCATTTGAAGCCGAGAATGGGGGAAAGCGCCTTGCCAAGGTCGCATGAGAGTTTGTTTTGTTAGGGTTGACCGCCCAGGCGCACAATCACGGATTAGCGATGGTCACATCTTGTACTGTTAGAGGTAGTTAGCATTCATAGTCTTTAGACATAGAGGCAATTTTATGAGCAATGTATCCACTGGGCAGTCTGTTCCATTGTAGTACCTCTGGTAGCGCCGAGTATCTTTCAGTCATGCCCTATTCTGCTTAGTATATTACAGACCTGTTACAACACCGGAGGACCTACACAGGCCCTCAACAGGCTGCCGAGGTGGATTAGCATGTCTAAGGATGGTATGCTGTCCATACCAGGCAGGTTTTTGAGCCTGGTGCTATCAGAGAGGAAGCACCACGCGGAGACTGCGCATACAACGTCGCCCATGCGCCAGAGTGCACTGCACTTGCAACGAGGTCGAAGCTTGTGGCTCACACAACATGTCATTGAAGGCTGTCATATTGAGGTTGACAGGATTCCAGAAGCCACATGCAAATCATTCTCTTTGGCGCATCCTAGGGCAAGTCGGGGTCAATATGATCTTTCTGGACGGGAGCTCTGGTCAACAACCTTACGTCCCACCCACAAAGGTAACACTTCACGCTGCTCAAGTTGACTTAGCGAAACATATTGGAGGAGAACGAGACTTCATACATGTCGTGAATGAGAAGCTGTGCCTGTGTCATGCATTCCATCCTCGCCATCCCAGGGTACGACATACGCCTCCCAGGGTGGGACGTGAATCAGCAGAACCGCAGCATCGTTCGAGGTTGGGGCTTTGCGCCTCGTGCCAGGGGGGTCAGCCTGCCAACGTGGCAGAAGGCTGTGGCGAGTTAGAAAGCAGAAGTAAGACGCGATGCAAGCCCAGAATGTTGCATGTTGAGCATTCTTTCTCCTGAAGAGGACATGATGCATCCTCACCATGGCCGGCCGTTTATGCTGGGCGTTCTGATAGCCTGTGCGGGGTGCTCGACTCAGTGAACCATATGCTGACGTCCGCACCTTAGCTGGAGGTGTGCTGTCGTTGTCCGGTCCTGGACGGGACTATGCACACACCGCCCCTGAGATCGGTGACAACCCATCTACCGGCCCGTATCTTGACTTCACTCCTGCCAACCTTCTGGTAATGATGAGTGTCTGAATCCACATGTGCTGATGAGTGACACGCGATTCCTTCCTGCAGAAGGGTACTCGACTAACTGTAAGGATGACGTCTTTGCAGTGACAGTCCGTTGCTCCTTGGGTATGGCCACCAAGTACTGAGCACGCCTTCACAGTACTTGGTGAAATCTGCAACGGATATAGAAACCTCGTCGTCGTCAGATCAGCGAGTGCATGTCTTAGGTATGTGTGAGGAGAGTTGTATGGGACAGGGAGACCCGCATAGAGGAGGTGGCTTGATTCAGTGGATGCCGGCAAGGAGCCAGTAATAAAGACTTCGCAAGAACATGGCCAGTCAAGAGTTCCCAGCCTTGAAAGAGTGGTGTACAGAACGAGGTTGCCTGGGCAGCAATTAAGGCGCTGTTTAAAGGTTGTGAAACAGCATTTCGTCAGAAGAATTGATTGCAGGTCATCCAGAGTGGAAATGACAGTGTCACTTCCGATTTGTCGCGATGGGAGGCCGGCGAAGCAGTCCGGCTGTGATGGATGCTCGCTATGGTCAGTAAGCCAGCAATTCCTCGGCTTTTTCTCCGCGACATGCATAACCAGGTAGAGGGACAGCTATTATCGAAGGCGGAGTCTGCGAGTATCAGGCTGAGACCGCGGGCCGCACCACGGCCAGAGGCCCGAGATCCGGGAGAGCCTAGCCCTCGATCTCAAGGAAATCCGAGCAAAGTGAAAGTGGCAAGTATCAGTCGAAGCGAGCATATCTACCATTGGCAAGCATGAGCCTGATTGGTACGGAGAAGGCCAATCAACGCTCTCGCTTGCACGGAAGGAGGCACGACAGACCTCGTTGTACTACCTGCATGGGGGCTGCTGTTCCTGTGCTCACTCTTTTGAAGTCGACTTTCAGATTGCATCCGTCCACGTGTGGTGTACCCTGAATGAGCTCTTCGGTTCATCGACCAAGGAGAATGGAAGAATGGGATAGACGTCACTGGTTACCAAAGTCGAACGTCGAATTGACGATGGAGTTGACAGGTCGGCAGCATGGAAACAATGTAAAGCGACTCTTGACAGGTACCGCTGTTGGGTTGGCGTGTCAGAGCGCATCGAGGAGATATCTCTTTCCACGGGAAGGGAGGTCTGCCAATTGCTGGTTCAACCAGTACGTAGGCGTCGAGCAAACTTGATATGACAGGGCATTGGCTGGATGAACCTAGGCCGACATGCAGAAGACATTGGGACTGGTAGATACCCCGGGGGTGAAGGATCGAGGGTCGAGATGCGCATGACATGCATTTGGCTGCTTAGCGGTTGGTAGGCTGTTATTCAGGGTATGTCTGCGTCTACTCCTTCTCTTGGGTCGTTGTCATGAGAGTCTCCATCGCTCTCCATTCGTGTTGAATAGTCGGAATGTGGGAGGAATGGGAGGGTATATCTCAGCACGATCATCACCTGGGAAAGAGTCAAAAGCCGACCATCGGCTCAATGCAGCTCAGTATGCAATGATATCTTCCCGAGAAGCGCTGCGCCGTGCCAGTTCAGAAGACTGAGGGGAGAGGTACTGGTAGTAGTAGAGGAAGTCGAGGTACACACTTGACGTCGCAGGCTGCGCTGTTCCACTGCCATTGCCCCATGCAGATGCAGATGCACGTGATCTGCCTCGCATCATTGTTTCGCCGAAGCTCCGACGCGGCTGAAACCGCTGGAGCTTTATCCAACTATCAATCCATCATGTTTGCTACTCTGTATACAAGTCAAACAGGCAAACAACCATCTCGAATCAGGCAGCCCAGTGGCTGCTGAGCTTGCTTGAAGCTGTTTCTTCTGCCGATTTCCCAGGAGGTTGTCCTGTTCGGTGTGGGCTGGCTGAAAGCCGGCGACGGGCGAGAATGTATTTCCCATGTATCCCTGAACTTCGGACGTTACACCAACCTGAACACCCTTGCCCACTACCACAACGTGGAGGACGAGAACTGGGAGCAGTGTTTGTTGGCCCGAGCGCCCTTCGAGACACAGCGTAGGTCAGTCGTCCAGGGTTGGTCACTAAGAATTAGATGTCCTTAATGAGACTGGAGCACCTCTCACTGCGCCTGGAAGCTGTGATAACGGAGGCCATTGGGATTCTACATCCCCAGCATGCTGATCACTCAAACAATAGCGGTCAATACTTGGGCTCTGGACAATCTCTGACGATTCTCACGATGCTGCTCGAGAACACTTTGATATGCAAGACCCCCCACGGTGTCCACTCCTCAAGGATTCGCTAATGTACCTACGGCCGGATAGCAGGCCACCCTTGGGCTCCAGATTCGCGAAGATTGCTCCTCAAGACACACTGGTATTCAGGCTGTCAAGTCCGCCATACAGAGACGGCTACGTCAGATAGCAATGCCAGTATGGCGTGCAGGCGGCCGTATCTTCTTAGGAGACAAGAGCAAGCGATAACGGGGCGATCCGCGGCCGAATCGAGCATCACGTCAAGGCAGGAAGTCAGAGAACCCGGCAAATGGAACCGAACCAGCGCAGACTCCTGCCAGCCATAGCAGGGAAGGCCTCCATTGAGGCAGCATCGCCACCACCGTTATTGCCAGCGCCTTGTCTCTGCTTGTGCATACGAGCAAGGCGCTTTTCCCCTGCCTTCGACTGCTCTCCATGTTTGTGCTGGGCCAACTCCCCGCTCTCTTGCAATCCTACAGGCGAACATCAGCCTTTGTCTCGTCATTTGACAATCTCTTATCGTATCTCCACAGAAACTAGACGACGACCTACACATCCTGGTCGTTCAATATTCGTCTGCAGGGGTCTTTCCCTCTCACTCCCCAACCTTGGACTGCAGTGTCGAATATCAAGCACGCACCTTGCCGTAGTCAATCTCTGAACATATTATTTCACTTTTTTGCTTTATATTCAATCTCATATCAGACATTAAGGGCGATCATCTGGTGTGTGGAAAATCCTCACCCCTCTCCATTTTCTGAGACCTGTTTCTCTTTCCCGCCCCCTGGCCTGAGCATTTAACTCTCGGATGTTGCTGAGCTTTTCCCAGGCTCTGCTCCTTTTCATTGAGTGACCAATATTGCGCAGCAACAGGGCGGTATATCAACCCATATACGCCGACTCGAAGACTTGTCACATTCCTTCTTCTGTGACAGCCGTGACAGCTTGAGGACTTTGAAGCTGTGCCTGTATTCATCCGCCGAGTCCCTGTTTGACTGGTGTTTTCCGAACTGTTGCACTTCCAAGAATGACCGACTATGCGCCACGAAGCAGTCAGGATTACAATACCTTCTTCCCAAATCCGCACGTCGCCATGCCGCAGTATTCAAATGGCAACGGCTTTAGCTACCTCTATGGCAATGGTCAAGTTCAGTATCAGACTGTGAGCGCTCCGTGTCCAACATACTCGACAACCTACGCACCGAGTCCAGGCACGCCTTCGTCCGCGTATATGCCAAATGGCCCGGGACTCCCACTTCAATATCCCGTCACCAACAACAGAGTTCCTACCCTGCCATCTCAATCTCGAGCTCTTCCACACGCAACCTATTACGCCACGACGACGACGAATCATCGAAGTGCATCTCACCATCCACGTTTGGTACCTCCCCGAGAATTTATCCAGATGGACGGCACAGAGTGTCAAGACTCTCCCAACGAAAATACAATGCTTTCAGAACCGGTGGTGCCCCCTCTGGAGGGCTATCCTGACGTGCACGAGTTTGATGAGTTGATGAAGCGGTAGAGTCCCCCAAGGGCCATCAGCCACTGCCCTGTTTGAGGCGGCAGGACCCTGACTGTCGAGATAATAGATATGTCCAAGACCTTTCTCCCAAAAAGCAAGACAAGGCTTTGATCCATGCTCGGCGAGCGGCGAACATCAAGCAGGTGCTAATCGACAAGAAGACCACATCCATCGAGTCGGCGCAGTTTCGGTAAGGCGAACTTTTCCCACTCGTTAGACGGAAATACTAATTTCCTTACAGCTTCTGGGTCAAGAAAATGTTCACCTTGCAGCCCCCCGATGGAAAAGCCCCGGAAGTGAGTCAAGAGCATTGGCCGAGAGGACAGAACTGATTCACGTGGCAGTTACGGAAAATCTGCCATGAAGGCAAGCCAGTGGCGGTTCGAGAAAAGCTGTTCAAGATCCTTACCAAGGCACATAAACAATGCCAGCATGGTGGCCGAGATAAAACCTCTGCACAAGTGAGGCGTGTTTATTCATGGTTCGAGACCGATTGTCCAGCGACAACAGTCGAGTATCACTAACAATACCACTCAGGGTCCCCAAAGAACTTATATCCAGATTTGTCAAACTATGCCCGACTTGTCAAGTCAGAAGAGGCACGAACCGCAACTCCCCACCCGAGTCCGAAAAGAGCCCGGAAGCAAGAATGGAGGCACAATCTCCAGATACCGCATCAGCAACTGATTCGAGGAAGGACTCGATGGCAGGTCGTCAGCCGAGTCTCAATATCAATCTGCCCTTGCAGAGTGCAGGGTTCAACAGCAGTTCGGCCTTCCAGCAGCAGAACCGCTGGATGACGCCTTTACAACCACAGCAGACGGAGACACATCGCATCAATGACGTCTCGAATGGCACCAACCTCAACAGTCACGAAACATACAATACTATGCCCCCAATGCCAATGAACTGTACTAATTCCACCCTGCCTGGATTGGCCTACTCGACCGTCAATAATTTTGGGAGTGACACCACCTCATCATCCGCATATAGTTCGGACTCGCTAACGCAAGTCACACACGGGCATGTACCAACAGAGAACAATTATCTGGTCAAGGCCGAGCATCATTACATCTAGCTCCGGCAAAAGGGAATCGTCAAAGCAGGCACTCGACGTTCGCATGGACTACGAACAACGTTTCGCCGCTGGGCTGGGTGGTCTGAATAGTTGACCGGCATGCACCTAACGTGAAGACGACCTCGTGCCTGCTGGAGTTCGACGACGAAGCGGGAGCACGAAAGAAGAAAACAGGCCTGACCCAAGGGCCTAGCAATCACGCTACTGGTTTCGAAATCCGAAGATCCAGTGGCAGTAATTTTGACCTATTTCGGTACTTCGAGTTTGTGATTTGGGGCACACCTGGTGTCCTCGATGCAAACATTGACTGGTTTTCGGCAAAGAATTTAGGGAACAGGAAAAGCACTTTATGATGATGACCAAAGATCTGCTCAGCCCTAAGGGTGAAAAAAGGGCAACAACCGGCGAAAAACTATGGTCCGCCATTGACCTTCGGGTTGTCTGTCCATAAGAGCATGGCCTGGATCCAAGCTGGAGAACGATGGATAGGTTTACGGGTATGGACATGGCATGGAGGGGATGGCTAGATCAATGAAAAGGATCCTAGGGCCTGCAAGAGCACAGCATCTGTTGACTGTGCTACTCGAGAGTCGAGTCAGCCACGCGCAGAGTTGTTCAAGCCAAGTGTGATGACCACACTATCAGCACGCTTCAAATAGGCATATTCGATAAGTTCACCCACCAGCCACAGTATGTTGCACTCTTGAATGTGTCCCTCTCTGCGTAACATATCGATATAACTATACCAGCGTATGCCTGATGTTGTGTTGTGGTTGTCTTCAAGGCGTCGGTCGCTGTTGTGGTTCAAGTTGACTTTCCCGGCGCGGCTTGGCATTAGGTAAGCACTCGCCAAGACCAAATATCCACTAGACCCCAAATAGAATAGTATATTCCCTAATTGACATTGACGCGCCTGCGCTTCCCCCAAAAGTTGTCTTGACTTGTAGAACAACAGCCTGGCATCCATCCGCACAGCACCGCATGCAGTGCAGTGCAGCGCATCGCATCCTCCCAAATATTCCCAACTCTCTTCGTACACCCACGCCCGACACCTTCTGCACAACTCTACTGCCTGCTCCTCATTTTCACAACATCCATCCGACCTCCCTCATACCGTCTGACGACCCAGGGCTGATTGGCGTGAGTATCGCAGCGTCCTGCTGCCAGTTTGTCGCCCAGCATGAACATCTTCAGATTATTCGGTAGGATTACCTGCGCGAAGCACATTCTGTATTTAGCGTGCCTCAACTGGACTGGACTGACCATGACTCTCTGCAGGGGACTTGTCCCATCTGTTCTCGATATTCATCCTCCTCCATAAAATGCGAACCTCAAACGTACGGGCCTCCCTTCTCAAGTCGCCCAGCTTCAATGTGTGCCCTTGACTGACGCGACTTCTCCGGACAGTCATGTGCAGGAATATCATTCAAGTCGCAAGCTCTATACTTCTTGGTCTATCTGACTCGTTACCTTGGTGCGCATTACCCCCCAAGCTGGTCATCAGTATCCTCAAAAACTGCGAATCTCCCCTCTGACTTAGGCGAGCAGATCTGTTTTGGTCTTTCACCGACAGCGCGTGGAACACCATCTTAAAGCTCATCTTCCTGTCCTCGTCCGCATATACCCTGTACGTCATGTTGAACGACTACAGACCTACGCACGATCCGAACCTTGACACATTTCGCGTCTCCTACCTGACCGGGGGATCCGCTGTGCTGGCCATTCTGTTTCCCTACAAGTACAACATCTCGGAGATTCTGTGGGCCTTTTCCATCTGGTTGGAGAGTGTGGCTATCCTGCCGCAATTGTTCATGTTGCAGAGAACTGGTGAAGCCGAGACCATCACAACCCATTATCTGTTTGCCCTGGGCGTTTACCGGACATTGTACATCCCCAACTGGATCTACAGATGGTTTGCAGAGGGATATTTCGACCCTATTGCCGTGATTGCCGGCATCATCCAGACGGTCTTGTACTCCGACTTCTTCTGGGTCTACTACACCAAGTAAGCACTTTCCAGAGACGGCGTAGCCTGTCTGTTACTGGCTCTGCAAATGCTAACGGAATATCACAGAGTTCTCAAGGGAAAGAGCTTCAAGCTTCCTGTCTGAATGTGCTGGATCTCTTTTACACGCGACACCCTTGTCGACCTAGCGATGGATTGTCATATTCGAATGGGGCACCTTCGCGGAGCAAAGACAAGACGACACAACCACATGGTCCAAAGATGCAGGGGATGTGGCCATTGAGGGAGAACCGAGCTAGCACCGCATAACCCTTTCACCATCGCCTAGGGCGCGCAGAGTTGGGCCCGGAGTGTCGAATTTGCTTGCTGTCGCTAGATCTGCGCCCGTAGGGAACGGCACGGGAATCAGCTCAGGAGGCCAGTAGGACACGACCACGGCCACCCAGTGAAAACGGGCCGAGCCGACCATTCAGTGCTTGGAAGCAGATTTGTTGGCGTCATGGAAGCTCTGCTCACGCTACCGGCATCGACGTGTTTGCATGGCAAATGGGATTCTTGTCTCAAGGTGGTTGGAGAAGAATACTAAGGTGCATCACGCTCCAATCAAGGCATTGGAGCCGCCCTGTGTAAGACAGGCAGGGGTTGCAGGCGCGAAAGGAGAGAGGCGCGAGCAGGGCAGACCCGAAGAGAAGAGCAGACGGGATGCTCCTTGCTTGTAGATATGTGCCCAAGTCAGCTTAGGCAACTTTTCCAATCCAAATTCGAATCAGACAATCAGCCACAATGTTGGTGATTCCATCAGGGACTCTCTTTGAATGCCTAGGCCAAACTGCTATTGACAAAAGAGTACCATATATACAACATTCGCCCACGGTCGCGCCATGCATGCAATATTGGGTTGCGAATCAGATGCGCGAGTCGCGTCGACTCAAGCCCTTTGACGCATTGCAAATACCCAATAGTAAGGGTACAGAACAAGCGAGGGGGTAAGATATGCTGGGGACAGAATATACATGATATATGGCAGATATAGGGATACCTGGTATGGGTGTAGAAACAAAGACCCAAGTTCTCTTCGAGCCCTGCTAGATGCGTTGGTATATTCAATGGGGGTATATATAATACATCAAACCAAGACCCAACAGTTTCGTGAGCTTGATAGCAACCTTCCAGCCAAAGTATTGACAGATAGATAGATGACAGGCACAAAATGGGTACATGAATATCAAGAAGCTCGCTCACAATATGCTGAGGGCAACTGCCCAGGACAGTTGCCGTGCTCCATCACATTCGGATGCTCGAATCTTGCCATTCATCAAAGGCACTCGGGGATGTGACGATCCCCTCTTTTCAGGACACGAAAGAGAAGAAGTGGCAAGTCCGTCTTGGGCAGCGGACAGGGACTCTACCACTTCTGCTGCGTGCCCACAGCGGCGAGGACAATGACAATGACACAAACTACCACACCGACAATGCACATCCAGCGGTTCAGGGTGCGCCACCATCGCGCGTTCTGCCATCGAAGTTCCGCCACGCCCGCGAGTTGACGCTCGAGACGCAGTTTGTCAATGATGTCCATTGATTCCAATTCCGAGAAGGCTTGATTGGAATATTCCCGGTCCTGGTCCTGATCTTGATCCTGATCCTGATCCAGGTATTGCTGCGAACGCGAGCTGTGCAGTGATTGCGACTGTGAAGCGAATTGCAAATATGACTGACGTTGCGGCGCGGCGGCAGAGGCCATGTAGACTTGTTTCTCAATGTCTTGCATGCGAGTAGGCCGTTTCGGTAAGGGCAAAACCGCCGCAATGAACCAGGTCAATGGAAGCAGAAAACCGGCAGTGAAACAGATGACCTGTGTGGTTCGTAGATCCGCCCGCGTCCACCAGGGCCGACCAGACTCATTGATGATGCTAGGTGCAGTCCAGCGAGATTTAGTGTTGAATGGATACCCGAAACCTCGAGATTCGGTGGAGCCGGTGTTTAGTCTGTGGTCATGATGCAAATGCGGAGACGAGGCCCAGCGGTGATGTGAATTGCGATGGGCATTGGGATGATAGATGACAGATTCGCTCTGCGTCTCGGTCCGGCTGATGCTGTAGCCGTAACTTGCCGGATGGAGATTGTGGTGGTGAATGGTGTAGCTTGACCCGCGACCGTCCTCGAGAGGTCGTTCATGGATCTCGATCATACCCGCCCAATGAGCTCGAGGGTCCAGCGGAGGAAGAGGCGCAGAGACAGATCGACCGTGGTGGTTTGGAAATGACTGTCGTCGAGCGTCCCGAGTGGCGCTGGTGGCGGCGGCTGTCGCAGGTCCCCGAACCGGGTTGGACACGAGCGGTCCGACTCCAGGAAGGGTATGCGATTTCCGCGCCTCGATCCTTGGATGTCTCTTGGGTCGCCTTAGTCCCTCTAGACGCCCAGCCCTGGGTTGATGGGCATGAGTTCGGGTAGGGCTGTGGGCTATTCTTGAGGCCTCCGGTCGGGATGGTGCTGAATATGCTGAATGTGAGTGAAGATGGCCAGCCACGGCCAAATGATGTAGGTTCGAGTGCGAAGCGTTGGCGTAAAGATATTGGAATGAGTCCCTGTAAAAGCCGGAATAGTACCTTTGAGCCCAAGTGGGCACTGGCACAATAATATTGCTCGCTGTACTGCTGGAAGATGATGGCCGAAGAGAAGTCGAAATGAAACTATTGTGTCGTGACAGCGTAAATGACTTCATGGAATTAAGTCTTGATTGTGAGGAATTAGGAGATCCGACATAACTGCCGCTACGGGCATGTCGACGAGGAGGTGATATGTACGTATAATCGTTGCTGGGAAGGGCTGAAACTGCATCTGCGGCTTCGTGGGAATCTCGGCCATAGAGATCAGACTCGGAGTCCCGAACAATTCGGATTTGAGACTGATTTGCGGATTGGTTGATGATGAAGGCCGACGCTGGTGCTAGTTCGTCTGAATTGAGGTATTCATTAAGATCGTCTGGAACAAAAGATGCCTCACTCGCCGGCCTGGTCTTGATCCAAGAGCCTTCCGACGGAACGGCTGATAATCTCCATGAGTTTTTAGGCCCTGACAATTCTGTAGACAGAGACCGCGATGTTCGTTTTGGCACATCAAGTCCGGCTTCCTGGCTTGCAGGAGGAGCTCGAACAATGGGATACTGAATGCGGAGTGGACTTGAGCTCAGCGCAGCTTGAAGACTGGCATGAGTATCGGCAACTGAGCTACCATCGGAGCTGGGCTCATCCTTGCCCAACACGTGAATGACCGAACTCGACTCGTCGAGAGACTCAGTGTGGCGAAGGCTGTAAGACACCGAAGAAGGTACGATTCGTTCCTGAGAAGCGATGCTGCTGGGCACAGCGGATGTAGAACCGTAGCGATCAACGGGCGGACTCGATGCCAATGGGTTCCTTGCACCAAACCTGTCCACATACGAGCCTCCTTCTCCTTCTCCAGTGCCTGACCTCTTCCTCTTTTTGGAAGCGCCCGATGAAGATCTCGAGCGTGAGAGATATGATGGAGCCCCTGGCCGTGCTGCAATTGGAGATGATGTTCCTAGCTTAATGACGTTCGGGCTAGACGACTGATCGCTAGGGTGGAATTGTTCGGTACTAGAAGTGTGGCCCAGACGGATCACATTCGGACTCGAAGAGCTATTTTCGGCAGAGCCTGTCCTAGGGATCTCGTCGAACGGAGGAAGGACGGGACTCGTCAAGTCTTTGAAAGCTGCAGGCCTTGGACTTGACGAGACACCCAACACTCTGTAATTCGGACTTGAGGTGGCAGCAGTCTTCCCGGCCGGCGACGTAAAGGAGGATCGGGACGATAATCTCTTCACCACCCGGCTTCCTGCTGGCAGAGTCGGCAACAATGCCAAATCATCGGAAGAAATCTTTCTCAATGCCTCCCAAGCGTATGCCCCATAGAGACTCTCACTAGAGCTAAGGCTTCTTAACCGAGAAGAACCTGCAGTATTAGGTCGGAGAGGAGGCGATGTCGCCGTCGAAGGACGAGAAGCTTCCCCGGCCTGAGCCTCATAGAGGTCCCGTAACGCCTTGACGGATCGCTTCAGCTTCACCGTAGGTTGCGCTCCGCCCTTCAGATTCCTTTGAGTATCGCCACTTCTTCCTGATTTGCTCGCGAACGGAAAGCCGATAACATCTCCAATCGGACTGGAGCCACCCTTCTGCTTCTTGAGGGAACTCGGGAGGAGAATATGGGCCGCTTTCGTTGGAAACGGTGTAGTGGTATGTAGCCCCGATTGCTCTTGCTCTGACAAAGCATCTCTTGACAGGCGCGAGGAGATCTCGTTGGCTTGAGACGAGGTCCTTTCTTGCAGAGGTGTTCTTCTGGCTGAGGTCCGCTTCGGCGATCTCTGCTTCACCGACGAAGGGGACGAGGACATTGCTATCTCATCGTAAATGGCGACTGGAGAGAACCCGTTTTCGGCGTTGAGGACGTCTTCTGTTCTGTGAGTAGCCTGCGACTGTTGCTGAACAAAATATTGGGTTGGTAACGAGCGACTGAGGGTGAGGCTGTGTAGAATCAACAAAGCTCGACAATCGCAGCTGTCAGAAAGTAATTCGGAAGCGTCATGGCATGAACGCGACTGGGATGATGACGGGGCCGAGGCGCATATGCACGCTGCAGGGCGAGTTAAATTTGTCTGATGGGTAGACGATTGACGGGAGGCGTTGAATTGACCGGTGGTTCTGGAGATTGCCTCTGGGGGGACAGGAATGCTCAATATTTGTTCCTCCCAAAGTATGCGCAATCAATAGATGTCTGTTGAATAGCCGCTGAGCACGAGTCATATCATCATTCTGGCGCTGTAGTCGTGTGCTTCTTGTGCATCGCTCACATTTGTACATTGTCAGGGAGGGCAAAAGACTCGCTCCCAACCCATGCCCCGGCTCATGAGGACAAGGTGGACTCGCGAATGGATATTGCGCCAGGTCCAGTAAATTAGCGAAATACGCCGTCGCTTTTTCCGTGTGTCAAGTCAGCCGCGTTGCGTCTTGAGTCGCGTGGGAAATGCTGAGAATGGAATTCGCCTATTGGTGACAGCGGTGGACATAGTGTCGCGAAATCAACGCGTCAATCTGGCTGCGACCAGGGGGAGGTGGGTTTCTAAGATGATGGTGATGGTCAGGAAAGCACCGAGTCCATTCGATGACAGGTTGGTATTGGGTCGTGCTCTGTATGCCAGTGTATGATGGTAAATTCCAATAGGAGTGTGTAGCAACTGAAATAACAGAGGGGTGAAGGGAGAAGAGTGCGTTGTTCGACGACAGATCGAAGGGGCGCAGGCTGCCATCCGCAGGCAGGGAACTGCGTCTCCTGCGTTCTCCTCAAACTGCGCTCTACCAACATCCTTTCCACTGCCAATTGTTACCGGTGACCGCGACCTCATCTCTAACCTTATCGTTGCACTACTGCTGCCTCCTTTGGCCTTCAGGCCTTGTTCTCAATGGCCCCAGTCGAGGTGTTGTCCAAGCTAAGGGCAGCGTACTTCGGCCACCGGGGTGTGTTGCGTTGTCTAGACCGCATTGCATTGGACGACAATCTGTCCCATACCCGCTATCTTGGTACCTGAAACTAGTCGTTCGGCAGACCTCAACCTCCAATGGACCTGGCAGACAGACTGGCTTCTTCAACCTTCTTGTCCACTCACTATCTTTACCATCTTTCCATGGATCCCCTTCTCTACCTCTACGATCTTTATCGATAAGCTGCTGATTCAAAATGGCGATAGACCAGGACACGCCCCTCGTCTCGACCGCAACTGCAACCGTCCTTTCGGTAGGCTGATACCTCCAATTCCGGCCCTCTGTCCCCTTGATGGTCCGGTCTTGAGTCTCTGACTGTTCTGTAACCAGATCGCCTTCACTCTCGTCTACGTGGTTCCCTTCTACTTGTCCGCCTCGACGCGGCCGTCGCCCACCCTAAACCGCGATGCACCGTCTGTAATCCGAGCACGAGTCCGGACTGTAACAGCGGCCTGCATTGTGGCTTCCTCTGCAACATTATATCTACTTGTTGTGACAGCAAAACTGACAGCCTTTGACGCACTCCACCTACTTGGCTGGTGGCCAGTTCAGCTGGTCGATGTGGCCAAGTGCTGTGCACTGACCCTTCTCCTTTATACCGGCCCTCTATTTGAGAAGATCTTCATCGAGGGCGATCTGGATGACTTCCGGCGGGGACGCGGCGTCGTCGAGTCCCTAAGCAGTTGGCAAGGCTATCGCAACTTTGTGGCCGGTCCTATTACCGAAGAAATCATCTTTCGCTCGGTTTTGGTGCCCCTGCATCTGCTCGCAAAGGTGTCGCCTCCCAAAATTGTCTTTTTGACGCCGTTATATTTTGGAATCGCTCATGTCCACCACTTCTACGAGTTTACGTTAACTCATCCTCACACGCCATTAGTCCCGGCTCTTCTGCGCACAGTCTTCCAATTCGGCTATACCACACTCTTTGGCTGGTTTGCTGATTTCATTTACTTGCGGTCTGGGTCGCTGTATGCCTGTATTATCATTCATGCTTTCTGCAATTGGGTCGGACTTCCTCGGTTCTGGGGTCGTGTGAAACGGAGAGAACAATATCCTCTATCGCCAGTGACCATCAGAGGGAAAGACGACACGGATGCGATTCAGCCTGGTGGAGACGCGGGACAATTGCAATTGAGGTGGACAGTGGCTTACTATGTACTGTTACTGATTGGCGCCTACGTCTTCTATGCTGGACTGTGGCCGCTAACGAACTCCTCTCTGGCTCTCGCCGAATTTGGAGGCTCGAAGAAGTCGAAGAAGTCATGGTAGCACTATGGTCTGATTCTGAAAATGGTAGTTGGACAGCACAATGAGGAATAGAAACTCCTTACGTACTATGACAACAATGTCTTCAGAAAAGTGCTTGTCAGGCTGGCCGCGGGCTCGCAAGGCTTACGACCGAGCTGACGGGTCTAACTCCGAGTATTTGGAGAAATAAGTACGTACATATTACTACTGACGGCATCATCGACATTCTGTGTCTTCCTCCATCATTTGACTTCCATTCCCCTAGTTTCTTCGTTACTGGTATAGCTGGAGACTGTAACGCCTTGCATGCAATAATCCTCATCGATCTCATGCCTCTCTTGAGGCCGTCTCTACCTCTGTGGGCTGCACAATCCGGCGGGTCCAGCACTCGTGCCGCCGCACGCGCAGCTCTCGACTCTCGCACGCCTCCCTTCCCCGTCATACCGACATGTCCTGGGCCGACATGTGCCTGTTCACCAATGCCAGCCGGACTGGACATAGACCGCACCCACAACCTGAACGGTAGCATGTCGCCGTACGCTCAGCATCTGATCATCTCCACCGGCCGGGCAGACTGGACCAGCAGAATCGAAGACGAAAAGGACACTGCAGTGTGGGGACGGTTCATCGCAGAGACAAAGTCCCTACTGGGCAGAGGCGGAGAGTTTCATGATGTACGTTACACCCTTCCCACCAAGGCCCTGGACTCGTTGTGTCAGACAACATGAGAAGAAGGACAATAGACAGCGGCGAAAGGAAAAGGGCCTGCCTGCACTGCCCGTGGAGAGGTCCCATCGAGGACGTACTGGCTTATCTTCATATGAGAGAGGACGCGGCTGACTTACACCAGCGCTGAGAGCTAGCCCTTCAACAACATCCTCATCAGCACATCGTCGTTCAAGCCATGGCAAGTCGCGGAACGCGAACACCAAGCCGGCAAGGCCAGCGTCCAAGCGCAGAGCGAAGTCGACGCTCTTCTCTTCCCGGCCTTTGACCATGTCCGAGGCCTCAATCTCGACGCAGACCCTGACCTGCCGAGGAAATTCGTGCGGTCGTCCCTCCTTCCAGACCCGGCCCACTTGCATCCCATCTACAAGGACTTGTCTGAGGCCGAGCGACGAGCCAAAACCCGTGACCCCGACGCCGGGTCGTCATCCCTGGTGCGCAAGTCGATCGAAGCACCCACCATCCTCATCTGCAGCCACGGACAACGTGATAGCAGATGCGGCATTCTCGGTCCTTTGCTCCATGCCGAGTTTGCGCGATACATGGAGCAGCGGCAAGACCAAGACGGTGATCCAGCAGGAGGGGTACGCCTTGTGCCGCGATCTAGCGAGTTTGTATGGCGACAAAATGCCTCAGGGGGAGATGACAGCGCCAGCAACAGCGATGTCGTGTCTTCGTCATCACGGAGCCGGGAATCAGATACCGGTTCCGATTCCAGTTTGTCCTCGGTGGTGTCGCCAGAATCAAATATCAACGTCAATATCGGCATGGTCTCCCATATCGGCGGACACAAATGGGCTGGCAACGTGATTTTCTATATTCCGCCGACATTCACGTCGCAGCACCACCAACACCGGCGGCACCCCCTGGCGGGCATGGGCATCTGGTACGGCCGGGTCGAACCGCGTCATGTACAGGGGATTGTCGAGCAGACTTTGATGCAGGGCAAGGTCATCCAGGATCTATTCCGGGGCGGCGTGTCGAGGAGTGGCGAGGTCTTGAGGCTGTAATGTAATTCGCGCCCAACAGACTACCTGGATGGTAGATGACAGATGGGTCAGGAAAATAGTGCATAATAGACTGTCCATTTGTGGTTTCAAGTTGTTGTAAGTTTGCATGTTCTCATAAAAGCACTAGATGGAGAGTTCATGAGACTTAGAGTGGAAACAGGTATACAGCCAAAACAAACATTATAGGACGGGTTTGAGGAGAGCCTGTAATGAGTCTGTTGGTAGAGCTTTGATTATGTCTATTCTGTTCTAATTTGATCTCCGTGAAATCATGTATCATCATGCATCATCACCAGTTCGATCTTCTCCTCAGAGCATACTGGACGAATTCTGCCAGAGCCAGCCACGGCAGCCACCAACTGAATGCTCGAGTCGTTGGCTTTTGTTAGACCAAATCACTACCGACCAAGATCCCTCCGCCTCAAGTCGTGGACAGCTATCAGATCGAGTTCCTCGTCTAGCTCGTCACTGTCCCATTCATCCTCCTGGTCCTGCAGCGCTAGTTGGAGAAACCGCTCTAGCCCCATGGCCCGTACGGGACCGGGCTGTGCTCCTCCGCCACGTGCGCCGGGATGGTTGCCCTGGCCCGGTGCAGCGAAGGGGAGGACAGGGAGCTGGAGCGGAGGTACGGCACCGTCGAGCTGAGGTGGCACGTGAGCATGGTGATGAGGAGGTTGGTCGACGTGGGCACCATTTGCACGGGGTGCTGGATTGTTGGGTGCTTGCTGACGCCGCCCACGATCCTGAGCCTGAGCGCCGCCCCTCGCGGCTCGGGCTGGTTCGTTCATCATTGGCCGTTGGCGGTTTGCCTGCTGGCCTCCGCCTCCACCTCCCCGGCCTCCGCGTCTCGCTCGAGGCGGATTTGGCGCAGGCGGCGGCGCAGGTTCGGGGCCTCTGGGTCGCTGCTGGGGAAGCGCTATGATCTGAGGATTGCCGGCACCGGGACGGGCGAAATTCACAATCTCAATATGCATGTTTCTGTTCCGCCGCTGATCGGGGGCCGGCTCTTCATCGTCGGAAGAATCATGAAATGGGAATCCTGGGGGAACCACTCGAACAACATTGCCGTTGTCGTCATCTTCGTCGTCGGAATCCGAGTCTATGATTTCTTCCTCCCAGTGGGGAAGTTCAGGGTTGTCGTGGAATCCATTGAGGTCGACACCTTCACCATCCCCAGCCTCAAGAACCCAAAGTCGCATATAGCATGGACTTTTCGTGTCGTTGAAATGCCTGTAAGGGTTGTCGGGCATCAAGTAGGACGAACATAGGTAGCAAAAGTGTGTCTTGCATTTGAAGCAGATCATGTGGTTGCACCCCATGGTCTTCTGGCAAGGCGCATTGCAAGTCGGACATCCTGTCGAATACTTCTGCAAGTATGCTAATGTGGCGGCTTCTTCCTCGTTCAGTTCATTCTGCCGCCGCGGGCTGCAGCGCGCCAGTTCACCGTGCCAGCCTTTACGGCAGACGCAGCAGAACGCAAAGTTGCAGTCTTCACAGACGGACAGGCGTTCAGACATCGGAAGTGTCTCAAGATCGAATTTGTCCTTTTTGTTCTTGGAAGATGCGTGAGACGACAGTCCCTCCCCATCCTCCGATTCTGAACTGTCCTCGGCTACATCGCCCATCGGATCTGACGGCTTGGGATGCCTCTTCGATCGTGCTGCACCTTGACACCATTGCCGAGGACAATAAATGGTATTCTTGTCCGCCTCGAGTCGCTTCTTCCGCTTGAGACGCACATATCGCTGCACCAACTCCTGCTCGATGGGAATTTGCAACAGTTCACTTGGACTTAACGTCCGATCTTGTTTGCGTCTTTTCGAGGCCCAACCATCTGGCCCCGCTCTGGGAGCGTTGTCATGACCACAAGTAGGAGACAAACATTTCACATTATCAACATCGCCCTCGGTGATGCAGCTCTTGTAGAAATCTTGTAAGCATGACACGCAGAAGACATCCCCACACAGCATGAGTCTGTGACAGTTGACCCCCTTCTTAGGTTCCAAACAGATCCCGCAGTCAAAAGTCTCTTTCTCAAATATCTCTCTCTTCGTCTTTAGATCGAAGTCGAGCAGTGCCAATTTAAGATCGCTAGGCAGCTGCACATCCGTCTGCCCAGATGAACCAAAGGCTTGTTCCGCCTCTTGCTGAACATGATCAATGTACGTGTAGACCACTTGATCTTTGCCGAGCTCTTCCCAGAGCCTGGCGCAATCCTCTTTTAACTTGTCGAGCACTGAGTGCGAGAGCCATGGCGGGGTGACAGATACTGAGATGATTGGAGGTTCGTTGGTAGGATAACGTTCAGGAAGAGTGATTCGGAGGGAGACAGGCGGCAGATGGGAAAGTTCGTGGGCATCGAGGTGATGAGGCTGCTGTACTTGTGGTTTGACAGTCACATGGTCCTCGTCTTGTTCAGTTGATGAGGGTGGCGTCGGTAGGGTTGGTGGCACACCATCTGCCGGGGGTGCGAAGAGAATACGGAGAGGTTTGACCGGTGCTACCGAGAGTTCAAGCGTGGCAGTGTAGGGGTCTTGAGGGTCGACGACCAGTTCAGGGAAAATGGCCGCGATGGAAGAGAGTTCAATTGTTCTCTCGTCGTCTTCTGTACCCAGGTCATCTTGCATTCTGGATCTTGAGTATGGTGGCGCCGGGCTTTTGTAGGAGAGACGGTAAAATGAGCGTGCTAAGGCTGTGTAGAATTTCCAGGTACCACAGTGAAAACACGCAGGCCTCTACAAGCAGAGAAGCAGAAGACAACCCAGAAAGATAAAAAATAAAAGGACATGGGAGATACCTGAGAGTCAGAAGCATCGAAGGCGGCGAATGACTGAGTCAGTGAACAAGGTGCATAATGACGGTCCGGCGAATCACAGAGCAGACCTTGAGTCGCAATCCGGGGGAACAAGGCCAGCAACAACCACTGCACTGCAGGCACTTGTCCAGGGTCTTTGTAACCACCACTGCACTACGGATGTTTACCTTTCAGCCTCGTCCACTGCACCTATTATCGACTTCCACTGAGGGTTGCTCTCGGGTGACTGAACTATGGATCAGTATGATGATCCTGCTGTCGCCTCATTCTCCCTCACACATGTCCGCTATGTAGGCCGACGCCTCCAATCCTGTTTCAACTCCAAGCTGACTCTTGTAGAACCCCCATGATCCGTTATCATACCTCTCAGCATGGCTGGCTTTGGTTCCACAAGGGCTCTGCGTGGTGTACGTTACGCTGATATGGGCTACGCGAGAGGTTGAGGTCGTTCTCATGTTTGCGGGCCAAATGGCTTGTGAAGCTCTCAATTTTGGGCTGAAACGGTTGATACGCGAAGAGAGACCGAAACGTATGTTCTGAAATAGGTATGGACTCTGTTGGAATCTTCATCTCTGACAGCTCCCAGAAATGTATGGGAAAGGATATGGCATGCCATCATCACATTCGCAATTCGTGGCATTCTTCGCCGTCTCACTCAGTTTGTTCCTGATCTTTCGGCACGTGCCTACACCCTCGATGAGCTATTCGCCGTCAACGCTCCCAGAGCGACTCCTTCTTTCAGTCCTGGCGTATGTGGGCGCTGGAGCTGTGGCGGCTAGTAGGGTTTATCTAAACTATCACACGCCGAAGCAGGTCTTTGTTGGTGTGGCTGCTGGGGTCAGCTTTGCCATAGTGTGGTTTGTGTTCACGTCCTGTCTGCGGCGGTCTGGCTGGTTGGAATGGGGCTTGGACACATGGCTGTCACGCAGATTGCGGATTCGGGATCTGGTAACCACGGAAGATCTTCAGGATGCTGGTTGGGAGAGATGGGAAACACGACGACAGGCGAGGCGGGGGATCAAGGCTAAAAGAACGAGTAAGAAAAACCGGTGATTGTTATTGTAGCAAGAGTTATACTATATCATTACGTTGGTGTCCAATCCAGGAATTGGGATGGAGAATGTGGTCTTCAGGAGATGGCGGATAGTGATTTGTTGTGTCCTATATTCAAGTTGTAGGTAAACAACTTTGTAAACTGCAGCATAACATTCAACGCAAGGCTGTGATTGCTTATCTAATCAATCACGTGGCATAATCCCCCCTGGAATCAACGCGTGCCAAACTATCTCTATCAGGTTTAGTGCCTTAGATCTTCGCCCGGACCGCGTCATAGCAACATTCCCGTTGCATAAAGGGGTACAAGCGTATCGACTAGCCCTGATATGGTTAGTGGATGATTAAGCGTAGCTGGTGGTGGTTATTCTTGGGCGGCTAGTCGTCCAAATGTTGCCGCATCCGATCCATCCGGCGCATGCGACAATAATGAACAGTTTCTCTGTGCTTCCTTTCCTCCAGCAACCCGAAAGCAGTGACCCTCGTCGTTGTAGCAGTCACCGCAGGCAGAAGAAGGTTGTCATACCATTCATCCACACCACTACACACACCATCCTAGACTGCAATCCTCCCTCGCAACCGTACTCTTCCTTCTATCCTCTCTCTTGCTCCATCCCATATTGAATCCTCCTCTCTTCTATCATTGTGACTGCTCGTCTACCTACACAGTACCTGTCTACAAAACAAAACAACGACATCATGCACCTAACCTCTGCGCTGCTCGTTGGTGCTTGGGCTCTCGAAGCCTCAGCATTCCTCGTCCCCCTCGAAATCTCCAAGGCAGCCCAGCAGGCCAAATCCGAACTCGCCGCTCTCCTAGCAAAACCAGCTCATGCCGTTGACCTCGACTGTCCGGGCTGTCCTTTCTTTGGTGTTGACGATACGACAGCGCTTCAATATGACGTCGAGAACAGGATAGTAAGCACATACCCGTCCGTCCGGAGGGAAGTACAAATGCTAATCACTGTGTCTTCGTGCAGCATCTTGAACTGGAGGTTGATTCCGACCAAACATTGACCGTCAACGGCTTCCCCGTCATGCCCAAAGATGCCGCCACTCCATTTGATCCGGTCATGGCTCCTCAGATAAGAGTGGAAGATGGAGAACAAACAGCCCCGATCCAGCTTGACTACGCATATGAGAGACTGCCACCAGTGGCGTCCGCAGACGAACCCGACATGTCCATCCTTCCCGTCAGACTGACAATCTTGGGTCTGCAAGGTCAGCCAGTAAAGGTCGACACTCTCGAAATCGACCTGGTCCAATCGCCAGACCAGACCTCGATTGCACGCGTCTCCGCCATTCCATTCGAGGAGACTCCAGGTGCCACCACCTGTGACACGTCTCCCAGATGGTCCCTCTGCCGACTGAGAGCGATTATTGCCGCACGCCTGCAGACCATCATGGAGTCTGCCAAGGCACATGCCCATGCTGCTAAAGGTTGGGTCGGACGCAAAGGCTGCAAGGGAAAGAAGTTCGGAGAGAAAGGCATGAATCATGGAGAGGCACACGGACACGGACACGGACACGGCCACCATATGGGCGGACATCACCACAGCCTTCACCACTTCGGACTCATGCTTCATCAAACTCTGCGCTTCTTCATCATCCCGGCCCTTCTTGGCGTTATTGGTGGTCTTATGGCCAGTGCCATCGGCATGCTTCTAGGTCAATTGATCTCTTTCCTCTGGATCAAATACCGCCGCAACAGCCAACCCCGCCACAGAGACGTTCGCGTGGTTGAGATTGTTGTCGACGAGGAAGAAAAGGATGCCTTGTTGATTGACAGTGAACTCCCTCCTCCACCACAGTACGAGGATGTGGAGGCCAACAACGGTGAGGTCATCAATGATGAGAAGAACTGAACCACATTCATGACATCAAACACGGCCGGCAAGGATCGAGCTGAGACACGTCGGCAGAGCTCAAGCAGAACATATTTATGAGATACACTAGGCATTGCGGGCGTTAAGAGAGGGGAATTGAAGGGGTTGGATTGTAAACTCCTCCCGGGCACGAACGGAAATCAAGACTCAATAACGAAAATCAGGGGTTGGTACTGTGGTTCTATGGTACCGACTGACTCTCACTCTTTACAGTTGGGGGACCAAGTCAACTGCCTCCCACCTTCACGCAAAGTTGTTGTTATTGAATAGGGTTTGGATTGTATCCACGACTTGGAATTAACCGGTCTGATCCCTACCGACGGTGGCGGAATATGGCAAACTTGATTGTGTTGTTCGGAGGGTGCCCTTGATTGTAGTGAGTCAGAAGCGAGTGTACGATAGATTTGGGACGAATATCAGGTTATGCTATAAATACCATTATCCATCACATTCCATGTATTCGCGACCCTTGTCCCTGTCTGTTTCTCAGCCATCCCTGCCTTCAACGCCTCTCTACAAAAATGGGCCAAAACAGAAGGAAGTCACATAGACAAACAAGATGTGGTTGATGGGTAAATTACTGTATCAAGTGCATCTATGCCCCTGACATCGGGGGCGCGTCGCGAGTCATCTTTCTTGGTATTTATTATAGTCAGTAGTCTACATATCTTGGAAGCCGTACAAGAGTTGATGAGACCCCATCCATATGTCGCACTTATATGAGGATTAGAAGGCGAATTTCCAAACCGTAGATCTGGATATTTTAGACCCTAGATACGACGGCAACCGATATTTGTACTTTACTCGGTAGTCTTTGCAGGAAGGGAAGACTTTGCTGTTCGCGAGGCTGAGATATTCAGGGGTTGTGGTCTGAAGACTCACTCGATCGGCACCCTCTAAGGACCCCGTATTATCGACTTCATTTGCTTCATGGAGAGAATCGAATCCATTTGAGTCCCAAGGCACCCTACAATGAGAAAGGAAAACAGAGAAAGAGAAAAGCAGGCAAATACCATACTTGTTTGGCGTGTCTTTATTCCCTTAGACAACCGCCCACTACGTCTGTAGTGTCTATAGTGTCTATGTACTTTGTATACTCTATGACTCCAACTCCATCCTCAGCCGGAGTAGTCACGGCTTACTCTATGTCAGAAAACCCACACATATTGTGTATGTGTATATGTGCGTGTCCTACAGCGCGGCCTTGAGCTGCTGCTGGTGGTGCGGCCTACTAAGCCCTCGCTCCCCGAAAGCCAGCTTCGCAACCTCCCTCGCCACGCCCCATGACAGTTCATACCCCGACCCGCCCGCACCGTAAGCGTGGATGAGCTTCACAGGGCGCGAACCCGAGCTGGAACTCGAACTGGAACTGGAAGCAGAACCACTCTGCAACTCCTCGACACTCAACCTGAAGCCGCCGATGCGCGCCGGTCTGCGTCCCACGATATCACGGATGACATGGAACTCGCCTTTGGGTTTAGCTTTGCTTGATTTGCCGTCTTTGCTGTCCTCGAGGATCGCAGGATACATCGCTGCGGCTTTGGACAATAGCTCGCGCCTGGTTTCCATGGAGGCGGTGATAGACCAATCATGGGGGACTTTCGTTCCGCCGATGACTGTGCCGCCTTCCAGCGGGCGCGGGATGATGAACGTCCATGTTCCGTCGACGTTTTGTTGCGTGATGGTCCTGTCGCATGGATTGGAGACTAGACATGTTTGGCCTGTTGAGAGAGGAAGGGGAAAGACCGACGTTAGCGCAATTCAATCGACTCGAATCCAATGTATGTCTGACCAGGTGTCGTAATGTCAATATCACGTATGACTTTGGCCTAACTCTTTCTTTGAAAGATCCGTGGCAAAACAAGAGGTTGGGGGAAGAGTTTGATCAGGGCAGGACAACTCCGGGTCAAGGCAAGCCAGGGCAAGCAACTTTACTTCGCATTCGACTCTCTCTTTACCTTTGATTGGAAAAACATCCTTATCTCCAAACCCAACACCAGAACAATTCACCACGAGATCTGCCTGAGGCGCTATATTGGGCACCACTTCCGCCAGGCTCTGCAGTCGCACGCGCCGCGTCTTGCCGCCTCGCAGGATGAATCGGCGCAGCAGGAAGGCGCAGTAGACCGGTGGATTCAGGCTCCACGTGCGATACGTGCAGCCCCATTTGATGCCGGGTGGCAGCTTGGACGCCGTGAGCACGCGGAACCCGGGCGCGCTGCCGATCCCGTCGCGCAGTTGCGTGTACGACTCAGACGGGTGGGCGAGGTACTCGTAGCCGTCCATGAACAGGACCCCGGTTTCCGGGTGGCCGGCCGATTGGGCTTGCAGGACGTCGTACGTCGTCTGCATGTATTGCGCCAGTTGGCGGTCATGGGCCGTCAGCGCTGGCGAGACTCGGCCGTGCGCGCCGGCCCAGGGCGATGTGTAGTTGATGGATTCATCGCCTGGGAAGTGGGCGGCGATGATGGTGATGCTGCTGCTGTTGGGGCTTTGTTCTTGGAGTGTCAGGGCTGTGGTCAGACCGATGATGCCGGCGCTGGAATCAATGAGAGTATAGTTAGGTAGTTGGACATAAGGGTCGTGGAGAGGTTGGGTAGGCGTGGGTGTTTGGTAGGTAATGGGATATGGAGGATAGAGGATAGAGGATAGAGGATAGAGGATAGAGGATAAAGGGTAGAGGATAGAGGATAAAGGGTAGAGGATAGAGGGTGTTGTAAGTGACTTGCTTACCCGACAACAGCTATCTTGCATTCGTTAGCCATAGTGGGAGTTCGCCCTATGAAAGCGTCTGGCGATCAACGACTTGGTTCTATCGACTCTTTTCTTTTCTTTTGATGGGCACGAGGATCAAGTGAATGACTGAGTGACTGACTGAGGGCATTCCTGTAATATCGCTCCAAGATGTAACAGGGCGTGAGTGATCCATATCCCTCGACGAGACGCGTAAAGATGAAGTTGGATAAGACTAATGAGGATATCTTCCGCTATCGGGACTTGTCTATCTTCCTCCTCGTCAGAAAACAGCATTGATCGACTATTAATCGCCGTGGACTTCAAGCTGTCACTGCTGTACTGTAGGTACCTAAGGTAGTCGGAAGGGAAGAGTGTATCCAGGTAAGTAGCACATTGCCTCTGCAGTCCAATCTGACCCTTCAAGTTCGATGGGCGCTGCTCAATCTACCTCAGGTTTCCCCTTATTCGCCAGCCTCGCCTTCCTTCCACTGTACTACATACAGCCTCGTCACACACAACACCTATGGCGAATACGAGGATAGTGATAGTGATACCCGTCTGGCCAGTCGCTACAAGGTATGCACTGTAGCTACGTTACCGACAATAATTAGGTATATTAGGTATTTCAGTATCTATCTACATAGGTAACCTAGAAGCTTGAGGACTTGTAAACTTGAATACCTCGACGGAGACCACAGTGAGTCTACTAACTCTTATTCACGTCAATCTTCTCTTTCCGTCTGTGGTGTTGGTGGCGTTAGAGACGGCTTGATCCACCATCTTTGGAGATCTGAGAACTTCCATTTCCCTGTTGAAGACTTCTTGAACCTCCAGGTACTTCACGGTGTCCTTGAATCTCCATATACTTCCCCCTACCCTTAGCTGGACTCCTTCCGCAGCTGGCATAAGGAGGTTATTTCTCAGTCTCCAAGTAACTCAACTTCCGTTTCCTCGTAGTAGTATTCATTCCATTCATTCCTCTCCCATAAGCCAGTTCAGGAGATCGAGTTTGAACATATCAAGTCGTCGCTCGAGGCCTGGAACGAACCCCCAATATGCGGGGCCTACGGAGCGGGAGGAGCGACGTTGGGACTGATACTGATACTGATATTGAGAATGGCTGAAGTGGTCGTTGCGGTTCGAGTCTTTTGCGGGAGTATAGTGGTTATGGTGAGATTTGGTATTGTCCTGTCTGTGGTCGTGATAACTTTCAACCTGGTCTGGGTTTTGGGGCTGATTGAGGATCTTGGTCCAGAGCGTCTGGCTTGGATTCTGCTTCTGCTTTCGATTCTTCTTCTGCTTCTCTCGCTCTTTCTGCTGCATTTCGAGAAGGCTTTGATTTTGGTAGCTAAACAATGGCATTGAAGCGGCATCTTGCGGTGAAAGTGGCGTCAAGGAGACAAGTCTTGTCGTGGGTGGAGATACTGTCTTTGAAGTGTCGCCTGTACCTGTGTCTTGCTTTGATAATGCTTCCTTCGGGTCTGCCTTGGGCACAAGAGTGAAAACACTAGTCCGGGACCTCGATTCTGACGTGCGGGTGGAGTATCTGCGACTGAGGTCTGTGATGGACTTGATCACCCAGGAGTAGATACTCTGTATATTGTCCGAGACTTGCGCGTGATCACAGTGAGACTCAGACCCAGCTTCAGAGTCAGACCTAGACTCCAAGTCTGGCATTTCGTTGGGAATGACGCATGACGTGGAAGCGTGAAGAGGCGTAAGAGTGCAGAGTTCGTCGAGATGGTTTGCTGGGCTCGAATGAGCAGTGCCACCAGCAGACTTAGGATGTGTATGGTCATGCGCAAAGCGTGTCTTCTTGGGAACGGGTGTGCAGGGCTCGACCGGACGTGGTATCTCCGTTAACGTCAGCGTCAATGTTGATGCGTCCATCTCGGTTAATGCAGCCTCATGAGCTTGTGTCTGGTCGGAAGGATATGTACTCATCATCGAATCCTGTCTGTTCAGCGAGCTCTCCATCGTATGGCGCGGTATACGAGCAGTGGTAGGATTGGTGCTGGTACTGCTATAGAACGTCGCCATAGGTCCGTACTTGAGGACGAACAGGGCCATCGTCACGTATGCCACTAGGATGACGATGAACAGATGTCGACGTCTTCGGGTGCTTGGACTTTGGCTCGAGGGCGTGACTGTGGATGTGGATGTAGGTGTGGGTGTGGGTGTTGTGGATGTGATTCTTGAAAGACGGCCAAATGACGAGCTGATCTTATATTGTTGAGCCCACTGCTTCCATTTTGCTCCAAGTGGTGATGGCCATGTCGAGTATGACTTTCCTTCTCTCGCTGTCTTTGATTGAGAAGAAATATTTTGACCTTGGCTGAATGGTCCTGAAGATGAGTTCTCTCTGTGCATTGTCCTCGGCCCTAATCTTGAAGTTGAGTCTGCCGTCTCTGTTCGGTCGCTGCGCTGAGGTGAAGTCGGGACTGGTGTCTTGTAGTCATCTTCTGTTTCAAGCTCACTTTCACTTCCAATCTCGGGCTCACTCTCGCTCTCCCTTCCACTTCCACTTCCACTTCCACTTCCACGGGCAGGGGAGTGACTCCGGTTGAGAGGGGAATCCGAATTGCGGCCAATGGAGGCGATGGCACTGGCTAACGATGCCATCGTCGAGACAATCGGGGTCATCACAACCTCTAGTGTTCCGCTGGAGAGACTGGGACTCATGCGAGGATCGACAGGAAGTCGTCGAAGAGCGCTTACACCTTTGGAGATGAACCCTGGTGTTGTCCCATAGTTCTCTGCAAGGATTATGGTACCACCACACACATCATCAATTGGCTCCATGACCGGATGGCGTTGCGCAGCGAAATCATCATCAGAGGAGACATCCCTTGGTCGGCCATCAGTATGATGTACTTGAAATGCCTCACCCGGCCTTGGGGACAGCGTCGGACTTAAAGATATGCTTCTCAAAGTCCCCGCTCCCTCGTCGTCCGGAAAACAGCAAGCGTGCCCACTGCCACCATTGTCTGAATAGTCCGATCCAACGATGGTTGTACCAGGAGAAACGTCTTCCGAAGATTCGGCATTGATTTCTGGAGTTCTCAGTCCTGCAAATGGCTGCGGCGGCGAAGGAGTTGACATAACGTTCGCTTGGAGCCGCTCTTCGAAGGGGGTCGATAGTTGAAGATGAGGTGGTTGGTAGGACGCATTCAGAGGCGACATGGGCGCACGTCTCCGCAGACCGGGAGTTTGAGGATACCCAATGGCACTGCTAGTGGCTGCGGTATCGTCGACCTTCACTAGCCGCGGAGAGAGCGATGTCGTTCGAGATATTGGTGCTTCATCAGCTGAGCCCAAGAGCCGAACGGGAGTTCGGAGAGGCGAAACTTTGGTCGGGATGCTACTCTGAAGAGCTTGGGGTATGGTTTTGATGGGAGCCAGATTCCTGGCTGCTACTCGTGGTCTCTCGCTCATGCTGGTCCGGCGCGATCCATTTAATAGTCGCATGTTGCTGGTGGAAGAAGATGTGGTGTTGTTGTCCGCCTTTAGATATCGAGGATTGCTTAACGACGAGCTGGATCTTCTTTGGATCGCCGTTTCTGGATTGCTTGTTCTCGGGGGTGGCAGCAGCTCTTCAGAGGAAACCAGGTCCTGGCTGACGCTGTTAGATCCTGGCGATGGTGCAGGCGTGTTTCTTCCGCTTGAGGCTATCTGGAGTGACTGAGCATGACTCTCTTCGCTGACGTCTGACAGATCACCGGCCGTTGCAGGCGTTCGAATGCTTTCAATCTCCGCGTCTGGTTCCTCATCCTTGTTGTTCGAGCCAGGAATATTCATAGAAGTCAGCGATATAGGAGAGAGGGTTTCCAATCGTGACTGACTCTCCAAGTCAGCCGCATCGTCACTGCCGCCGTCACCTCCTTCCGCCGGTTCTGCAGACCGGCCTGGAGGGCTTTGTCTGTTCACGGCAGGTTCAACCTCGTCTCGAGAGCCAGTCTGCCCCGGCGAACGCTGCGACCCGTTGTCCTCCCTGACTGCTCCGGCCGAACTGATGCCCTCTTCCTCTTGTCCTTGGCCTGCAGCGGTCCGAATTCTCAAGGGTGCCGGACGGCTAGGACTATCCAATGAGCGTGGTAGAGAGAGTCGATTGGAAGGCGATCCCGAAAATACCAGACCTGAAATATTGATTTGTTTCTGAAGGTCCGCAAGATCAAGCGACATGCGAGAGGGACGAGGAGAAGCATTTTCTCCATTACCTTCCGTCACCCAGTACGGCAGCTGAGGACTGGACGCTGCTGACTCAACCTGGGCCTGGCTCGAGGCTGGCACACTGTTGTCCAAAGCAGCAGGCTGAAGCGGTCGAGCTGGTGACGGGACTGGGTGTCGAGGAGATTGAGGTAACGAGAACCGCATGTTGGACAGCATTGGTCCTGTGGAAGCCCTATTTCTCGGAGGAAGATGTCTGACTGTGGCACTCCTGGGCGTATTGGCTAGGCTTTTGATAGACGGAGGGACAGTCCCCATGGGCGAACTGTTGATATAGTCTTCCAAGGTTTGGTATTGAGTCGCCGACGATGTTGAAAGATGTCGGAATGGTTGTTTCTTGGGTAGGAGGTCCATTAACCAGTTATCACAGAATTGAAGTTGATCTCGGTCCTTTCGAAGCTGTTCTGTGCGTGCCTTGTCAAGCCAACGGCGACAGCCCTCGAGGTCCTTGCGTAGGCCCTCGTATTGCTTCTTGGAGGCTTGAAGCTGACTCTTTAGTCGCATATTTTCTGTCTTAGACTCTTCCAGCATCTTTAGAAGATTCGCCATCTCTTCGTCCTTGGAATGGTACTTGTCCAGCGCTTCTTGCTCTGTTTTTCGTGCGGCCGCCGCCTCTTGCAGACACACATTGTTTGACCGCTCGAAATCCGCATTGCGACGTTTGAGCGCCTCGAGATTCTGTTTGATATCAAGGTAGGAGTCGTACAAGAAGTTAGCGGTACCCGCGATGAGGACAACTTCCTGTTTTGTCTGAGCCACAATATCTTCGACTTGGGAGAGCTTTTCCGGATATTTCTCCAACTGCTCTCTTTGCGTTTCGTATTCACGTTCAAGGATGTCCATTTTGTTCCCAAGCTCTTTCTGCTCCTTCTGCAAATATTCTTTCTGAGCAAGCAGCGGTCCATATTTGGCCCGCATTTCCTCATCCGGGATGTGCTTCTCGGCTAGTTTGTCTGTTTCTGCATTGCCCTGCTGCAGTACTGGAGGGACTTCTGGCATGGACGTTGCTGATGCCGAGGGCTCATATGGTATGGGTCCCGGCGCCTCCTCGGTGTTCTCGACAAGCTGGTCTGGTTCTCGCTTCGTGTCTGCGGCGGCCTTGAGTAAGGGAGATGCCTGCGCGATGATAGAGTTGTAGATACGTCCGCTACCGCTTCCGTTCGAGGTAGGTGGACTTCTTCGTGGCGGGCTGAACTCTGCACGTCTGCCGCTTGCTCGTGGACGCTCCAGCTTACGTTGGGGCGACGTCAATAGCCCGAGACCGCTGCCTTCTCTGGACACACTGGCCACTTGTTGTCCTGTTGGGATTTCCGTGTCCGCGTCTGGGGTTTTCGGGGTAGACTCCATTTTGACAACCTGTAGCCGATCTGAAAGTTGAATGGGAAAGTCGCGACCCTCCACCAATATCCGTGCAGTGGTGGTTATGACAACCTGAACACTTTGTTAACCTTTGGCTATAAATGAACCTCGGGTGTAGCTCTGCTCTTGTCTCGTGGAAAGCGTTGTCGAATGCATCGTACGAGGTGATGGAGGGGCATTGTGGTCGACTCAGGTGAAATGGTATCTAGTGTGGTGGCAGTGACAGACAAGTGCAGACACAAAGAACCATTTGCGATCAGATAGACAATTGAAAGACCAATGAGCTCGACTCTGAGACAACCGCATTCGGAAACTTTGTCGCCTCGAAAAGACCGCATGTGAACAAAGAGCGACACGGACCAGGCTCGCATTCCACACACTGTAGCAACCCGCCATGAAGACTCTTGTCGCAGATGTTGACTTGGAGGTGTCTAACATGAGCCCTTCCCAGTGTTTCAGACGACTCACCTTGTTTCTGGGGAGCTCGCATTGGTCAAACAGTGCCAGTCTGGTGCACGACCCGTGTCCCATGTTCTGCTGCTGATCTATTTTCGGTCAGCAAGTCATCACTCCATGCAAGGGATGCGACCAGAATCGAGAATTGACAACTCCAAGACTCCGGAGCGAAAAGTGTACATTGAACAGTGGTATCCTAAGCCCGAACCCGACCGCTATGCCATCTCGAGCGAAACGTGAAATCAACCCATCTTTCAAGCAGACATCTAATCCGCATCTCCGCCGAGCGGCGGCCCTGTGATCCCTTTCCGGAGGATATTGTCGACGTCGACCTGAACGGGTGGCCGCTTGCGACTGTCCTTGCACCCGACCTGGACAACCTTCTGCTTTCCAGCGTCATCCACGACTAGTGCGGTGAGTTTGCCTCCGCTCACACAACCAGTGTCAAGTCCCTTTGAGAATTTCTGCAGTCGCAGACCCTTTTTGGCGTCATGGCCATAGATGACGGTGATCTGCCCTTCACCTGGCCTCGATTTGCCTCGATTTTTCAACTGGGCCAGCCGTTGCTGCGCTGGGATCAACTGTTGGTATTTATTCCACAGCTTGTACCACGGCACACTTCCTTCGCGCTCGTGCTCCTTCGAGGGTAAATGAGTGGAGAGGTCAAGAACGCGCATGTTCATGACCGAAGATGGGTCTTGATTCTCCAGAGCAAGACCCGGGACAAGGCCGGCGTGTACGACCACCACCTCACCGGTAAAAGCTTTCAACTGTCCTACTCGAAGCATGACAGGACACGACTTGAGCCAGGCAAGTTGCTCGGCATTGAGCAATTGCGCCAGCTTTCGTTCCTCGTCGTCGGCTTTCACGGTTCCCTCTGAGTCGTGGCCCGAGTTCTTCTTCGACTCTAATGAATTTGACTTTATTGCGTCCGCGACCAGGAGAAGTCGGTCTTCGTGGTTCCCGCGCACGCAAGAAGCCTTATAGCCGCGCAGGAGATCCACCACTCCAGGCGTGTCTGGCCCTTTGTTGACAATATCTCCCGTGGCCACCAGGTGATCTGTTTTGGGGTCAAACTTGACTTTCTTCAGCAGGCGCTCCAGTTCCTCGCGACAGCCGTGAACATCTCCGACAAACACCAGTCTCTTCTTGGTCGAGGATTCTCCTTTTTCATTCAATGACCCGGGCACCAGACTGCGATCGAGAGTCTGCATATAGACCATGTCGGAGAATTGCGGGCGGACATTGGCTCCAAACAGACCATCGCCGGCCGATTCGGCGTGTTTGTTGAGTGACGACCATGCTGCTCGCTCCTCCTTCAGGAACGGTGCCATGACTTTGATCCATAACACGGTCGAAGTGAGTGTGAGGACCACCAATAACAGAGCCAGTCTTCGAAATTTCGGCGCCCGTATTACCGCAAGAGCTCTGTCCACAAAAATCTCGAGCCGGTCCACGAATCTGTCCTCGTCAAATCTCGACCCGAACGGAGGGTCATAAGCCGCGCCATTCCGCCATTCATTGGTACAATATTCGATCAGAGGTTTGCGAAGCCGTTGGCTAGACCTGAACGATGGCAAGTGTATGTCCGGCATCTTGTCCTATAAGCCCTGTCTGTACAGGCCTGTCTCTTGTCCGAACTCAGTCCCTGCACTCCAATGCATGGATCGCGTCGACTTCAAAGGCTCCACTCGGAGGTTTGTGGTCTCTACAGACGCGCTCGAGGTTCGGAAGACTCTGATGTCGGAGACTTTGGTTCACAATAGGCAGGCTCGCGGGGAGGATCGGTACAGACGCGGTGGAAGTTGCTTTACCCCTGGATGCTGTCTCATCGGCTCGTGGTGTGTGTTCTAAGGTAACATGAAAACCATCCCGGAGCTTCCGCCCGGGGAGCAATGGAAATGGGGTCTAGGACAGAATCGGTGTTCAGGAGATATACAGAGACATACAGAGACGACAAAAGAGGATGGAACAAAAGGAGGCTCGCACTAACTGTGAATAAGACAAAGATAGGGAACTCTTGGTATAGTAATGCACGACTGTCAGCCGCGGCAATGATCTTTTCTATACATTTATCTACTATCACTGGTGCTATACCCTATTTATGCGCGTTGGAAGGGTCCAAGCGGGATCTGCAAAGCCGCAACTCAGATGGGAAACGTCAACGCCAAGGGGGGAAACGGGTGGCGTGCTGTGCAGTCTGCAGTGGTGGCTTGGGAGGCCTAGGGTTACCTAGGGCGCCTAAGGAGCCTCATCAGGCATACCTGGTCCCTGTAGTTTCTTCCTTCCTCAGACCTTGATCCTTGATCTTGATTGTGACCAGGGTGTGGATGGTGCCAGCATCGACAACTACTACTACCACTTGGTCCCTGGGTACCTTTATACCTGTGCTACATTTTCTGGCTACGCTTGGCCCCGATCATGGTGAGAATATTCATGTTGCCGCAATCACAGAGAGATGTTATTATGTGAGCCCCTCGCAGGCATCCTCCTGACAGCAGAACACAGCTCGAGAAGTGACCTTGATGCAGTCTTGCTTATCCTTCTGAAATGGCTACAAGCTTTCCTTGCATCCATTGACTCCATGCTGCGATCAGATCGTCCTCGATCCTACAAAGCTAGGCCTGCAATGACCAGACCAAAAACTGCGAGTCCGATCTTGCCTACGTGAAGCCTGTCGGCCCCTGCCCCCAAGGTCGAAGCTACAGAGTCACTGCTGGCTGTCGCACCGGAGCCAATAGTGCTGGTAGAATAAGAAGTACGGGCTAACACAAGAAGCCGGGCAATCGGCGTACTGTTCGGTCTCAGATTTTGGGTACCAGTACCTTGTGGACACTGCTCTACACAAGCCGTCGTTGCCTTTGGCTGGGTTTGACTAGGACATGGCACATTGACGCAAGCAGCTTGACAACAGGCATCATCAGAACCGCGTATATCACAGAATACACTCACACTGCTGCAGATATTTCGCTTTCGCGCGCAGCGTCGGCGAGGCAGACGTGACACTGGTGCTGCTGGGTAAACACAACGAACGCTCTGCAAATCTTCATTCGGGGCCTTCCTGAAGGCGACGACTGAATAGATCAAAGTCCTCACAATTTCCTATAAACAAGGACTCGGTGTTTTGGATGGTTCGCAGGAAGTGGTCCCTTTGGTCAGCGTCCTTGGTCAGTTCCTAGAGGCTTCCATATGCAACGCAGCATCGCTAACAGAAATAGCAGGAATAGAGGCTCATAAGCTCCGCTCGTCGTCCAGTTTCTTGATTGCGATCCTCAGGACAACACCGCGACTGATGCTCATTCGCCCGCCGCCAATGCAGCGAGACCTCAGAGGAACCCTTTGAATGGCTCACGCGTGGGCTGCCCCAGTTCAGTGTGTGGTGTTCGCATATATCTCAAGCCAGCCGCTGTTATCTTTCCCAAATCACTGTGTCCTCTTTGTTTAGTCAACGTTGTGCTGAGTATCGAGGTAGGCATTCCTTCAATGTCGCTCGCATTTGGGCTCTATTGAAAACTTCGTACGACATAGCGGCGATACTAGAATAGCTCATCTAGTCATGGTTATCGTCTCATCGGCAAGGCCGTTTAGATGATTCCGACGTTTGACATGGAAAGGAAGACAACATTGTAGTCTTCCATTTCGCATCAGTCGCAGTGAGGGGTGCGTTATGCAGGAGCCTCGCAGTCTGCGCGGAGCCTTCTCCAGATGGGCTGCTATAAAACCGTGACACTGAGGTGTTATATTGAACCGTCATCGAGAAGAGGATCCTGGTGGGACGGCACAACCCCAGGAAACCCCAGGAAAAGTGCCAGATGAATTTGAGAGCGATGACTTGATTGTGGAGGAGTGGGTAGAAAGAAGCGTAGATTGAACGCGTTTGCAGCCTGACTGAAATAAATCGGTCTGGTCACATGGTGTCGCGTGCGTCGCGTCCGACGCGTCTTAGTACGTCACGGAAGCGCGTTCCTGCGCTGCTTCCGACGCCTAGAAATTGTCCGCTAGCAAATGAACTTCAACGGCAACAACCGCCACATATTGTAGGCATCAATATGGATTTCATCGACAACGAAGCCGAAGGCAGCTCCTCGGATGATGTTCTGGTCCCAAGCTCTCAGACTGACGACAATCCGCGATCTCGAAAACGTCGGCGCGTTAAGGACCGCCCCCATGACTTGTCAGAGGATGAAGAGTATGATCTTCCTTCCGGTGAGACAGCGGAGGAAATCAACAACGACGAGGAGAATCAGCAGAACCAAAAGTCGAAATACGAAGACCGGATCTACGTACCTGTCTGCGGTGATCGCCAACCAGATACCTTCGTCACACAATTAACTCAGCAGTGGTCGAGTCCTTCGAGAATCAGAGGCGCACGATGGATGAAACCCCGTCAAGGTTTTCCTGCTCCATCGACCACACAGAATCCTGATTCTTGCATGAGAACCTCGAACCAATCACCAGTGGTGTTCCCCCAAGATGACGAGTTTGGTATGGATGACGACGACGACATTGCTTTACTTGAGGCGCTCGAGGCCGCCACCAACGCTCCAGAGGCTGGTCAAGGAAATGCAGGCACGCGTGAGGATTTCCAGTCCAATGGAGGCCCCCCTTCCCGTTCTTCGCTTCAAAGAGCGTCATCTTTCCGCCAGACCACTTTATATGGGATTCACACTAGTACCCAACAGGAGCCTCGAAGGACGCAGTTTCAAAGAACACAGACTCAAAGCAGAGCCCACAACTGGCCACTGGCAAACAAGGACGAGCCTCCTACGCATCACAAGATCAATCGAGACGCGATGAAAACCTGGGTGTATCCGACAAACTTGGGCAGAATCAGAGATTATCAGTTCAATATTGCTCACCGAGGCCTCTTCCACAATCTCCTCGTTGCCCTGCCCACTGGTCTGGGGAAAACATTTATAGCCGCCACCATCATGCTGAACTGGTATAGATGGACAGAGAGTGCGCAGATGGTCTTTGTGGCTCCTACCAAGCCGCTCGTGTCCCAGCAAATCGACGCATGTTTCCACATAGCCGGAATCCCACGATCGCAAACCACGATGCTTACAGGAGATGTCCCACCCGCAATCCGGGCCGAAGAATGGCAAGAAAAGCGTGTCTTTTTCATGACCCCCCAGACTCTAATCAATGACTTGAAGAACGGCATGTGCGATCCGAAAAAAATTGTCCTCATCGTAGTGGATGAAGCACACAAAGCGACGGGAAACTACGCGTATGTCGAAGTGGTCAAATTCTTGAGGCGCTTCAATCCCAGTTTCCGCGTTCTCGCATTGACTGCTACTCCCGGAGCTACAGTCGAAGCGGTCCAGAAAGTCGTTGACGGTCTTGGGATCGCTAGAGTCGAAATCAGGACAGAGGATTCTCTCGACATTCGTGAGTTCGTCCACTCTCGCGAGACCGAAATCGAGTTGTTCGAGAACAGCGATGAAATGTCGATGGCGCTGGAGCTCTTTTCTGCCGCGGTTCAGCCTCTGGTGAATATTGTGGCTTCGCAGAACGCCTATTGGGGCAAAGATCCCCAGAGGATCACCCTGTACGGGCTGAAGATGGCAATGGACAAATGGAGGGTTTCGGAACCCGGTAGACGTGCCGATCCCAAGCTCAAAGGTAAGGTCCAGGCAGTTTTCGCCGTGCTGATGAGCCTGGCGCATAACCTGGAACTCTTGAAATACCATGGCATTGCACCCTTCTATCACAAAATGAAAGTGTTCGCCGACGAGGCTTCCGGTGGAGGAAAATACGCAAAAATGGTGGCGAACGACGAGAATTTCCTGAAAATGATGAACAGAATCAGGACCTGGATCAACAATCCCGAGTTTGTCGGGCATCCAAAACTGTCCTATCTGAAAACAGTCGTGTTGAACCATTTCCTGGATGCTGGAGAAGGACGGGGCAATACTAACCAGCCTTCGAGCACTCGTATCATGGTCTTTGCACATTATCGCGACAGTGCAGAAGAAATCGTGAGAGTGCTCAATAGACATGGTCCTATAATCAGGGCCCATGTCTTTGTCGGCCAATCTGGCACGAAAGGATCGGAAGGGATGGACCAGAAGACCCAATTGGACACCATCAAGAAGTTCAAAGCAGGAACATACAATACTATTGTCGCCACTTCTATTGGCGAGGAAGGTCTTGACATAGGTGAGGTTGACATGATTGTCTGTTATGACTGCTCCAAGTCTCCCATTCGCATGTTGCAGCGAATGGGTCGTACAGGCCGGAAGAGGGCTGGCAAGATCACGCTGCTGCTGATGCGCGGCAAAGAGGAAGCAGATTACCACCAAGCGAAGGACAACTACAAGAAGATGCAGGAAAAGATTGAAAGCGGTGATGGCTTTAAGTTCCATGAAGACGAGTCACCCAGGATCGTGCCAAAGGAGATCAGCCCAGTCGTCGACAAGCGTGTGGTGGAGATCCCGATCGAGAACACGCAGGACTTGCCTTTGGAGCCGAACCGACGCAGAGCAAGAAATCTGAAGAAACCCGCGAAGAAGTTTCATATGCCTGATGGAGTCGACACGGGTTTCAGCTTCTTGGGTAATGGCAAGAAGGCAAGAGAAAAGAAGAAGGGTTCGAAAAGGAAGACTGTTGTAGAGGTCGCCTCGTTACCACCCCTCGAAGAAGTCGTCTTGACCGCAGAAGAGGAAGACCAGCTGGACCAACGATATGTTCGACTCGCCGGACTACAAGACGAGTTCATCAAGTATGTGAATTTTGGTGCGTTTCCCGAACAGCAACGCCGCTTGGGAAAGTCAGTTGCAGTCAAGCACTCCAGAGCCACCAAATCTCTAGTGAAAGCTTTCAAGGCCATGCACGAACCTGGTAAGGAGTGGGAGCGCCCCTGGGAATATGATGAAGTGGAGGACTTAGCGGGACCGCAGTCGAGTCTGGAGGTGGATGGTCCCGATAATGCGTCCAAGAAAACGGCAAGGACCTCGCGTCCGTCGGCTCGTGGACAAAGCTCCGCTCACAAGCCTCGTGGCCCAGCATACAAAGCTTCGACTGGCAAGAGACCACCGGCACCTGTGCGGTTACCAACCCAGAAATCTCGACTAGCAGCCAACATACGCTCTTCCAGCACAGGCGGAGCACCACTCATCAGCAGTCAATACGATGGCAACGATAGTTTCATCGATGACGAAAGTGACAGAGGCCCTGTCCAGGACGAGGTAACCTCGAGCGAGGATGATATTTCCCCATTCTTGCCAGATCCGTTTCCTGTGCCAGAGAACAGAGTCTGCCTATCTCAGCAAAGCCTCGATCACGACGGACTAGACTTCCCGGACCTGGAAGCAATTCTGGGCCAGCCCACCAAACCAGCCATATCAAAAACGCCGAACATCCGCGTGTCTGTTGCGCCCAGGGGGAACCGAGCACGACGAGTCCTGGACAGTGATGAGGACGATGATTAGTGACGGGTGAGACTCCGACCTCTGGGTCGTACTAGGGTCAGCTCCGAACATTCAACATTCTTCATGCAAGTTTTGACTTTGCTGGAAGTCCGTCATCTGGGCATGATTAGTGGCACCCACGTGGATGTAAACCCATACTGTGCTCACGGGCTGCGATGGACAGAGCAACGAACATGTCTCTAGCTACTGACCACGTCGTGCCCTTGGATAAGGCACCGTTGGGAAGTTGCTCTTTCATCACGATCACACCAAAGACAACAGGGAGACGATGGCATTTTTGCCACAATTACCACCACCAGTATGGCTATTGCGAAGGGAAAATAACGATACATTCTCTAATGCTTCCAGCCCTTTAGACAATCCCTCGCCCAACAAGAATACCTGATTGCCAAAGCCAGTGGAACCAGGAGAACATGCTGGTCCATCGCCCGAAGAGGGACCGGAACACCTATTCATTCTTGCACCACAAGAGAGGGACCACATGGGAAATGTTGCCATGACACGCATGGAATTGAGATGGCTTGTAAATTCCGAAAAAGCATCTTGCTCGTCGAGCCTTCGACGGTCCACCTCACAGAATCGGCCTCGGACGGCGGCATGGAATAGATTGTTCCTCCTGTCTCAGGGATTCCAAACTCTCCCTCGAGGACTTGGTGCAGAGTACACCGAATTCTGAAGGGGCTAGACAAACGTCTAGCGCGCGAGGGCGGCAACAAGATAGCTAGACCTTGCTGTGTGCACAGTGATCGCCTTGTCCTTGACAATGCAGAAGAGGCAGGACTGGCTGTAGATGGACCAACAGATGGGCACCGCTCACTGCATGTTGAGACAGGTACATAGCCCAGCCATGGCTGACCTGAGACCGCACGAGCACGAACGAAGCTGTCGAAGGCAAGCTCAACTAGAAAGTAACAAGCCAATGCATCGACTGGACACCAAGCACCGAAGTTCAGAGTATTCTGTTGTCATAATAGTCCTTTCACAGGACCCCTTTCATTGAGTTCTGTCGTCATTTCCCACAAAGATCGCCTTTCCCATATATAAGGAACCCTAGTTGTGTCAAGTTCCATCCTCCCTAGTCAAGGGCCCTTCCATATGCGCGGTATAGGAATGACTCGTATTGACTGTCTCAGCCACCTGTCGACATCTGCGAGAGATCGAGAAACCTCTTTCCAGCGCCGTCGGGCCCAATGTTCGACCCGGCGATCCTTGTCACCCTTCCACCTCGCCCACAGGATAAACATCAACACCAGTCCGGCATCCATGAGAAGCTGCCTGACGAAGATCCAGGCCAACCATTTCATCCACGCGGACATCCGATAGAGCAGTCTCCTTCGTCTGGACGTCAGGGACGGAGAGAGTGACGACGGAGACAGCAGATAGTGAGCTGATAACTGCTCGCGCAACGCGGCGACCTCGGTGGAGAGATGTCGTAGATGTGATTCAACTTGATGCCTCCATTCGGCTTCGATAGCTGGTGGCTGCGTCGTCGGAAGGGGGTTGATGACGGCGCCGGTCTCGGGATCCACCTCTTCTCCCTCCACAATGCTGTCGCTGTCTCGTTGCGAAACAGGCGATAGTACTCGTAGCCGATTCGGATCGGAATTCAATCTGCTCAAGAGGCCACTGCTTCCCGCTACCATACCGATACCAGCTCCAGCACCAGTCCCAGCACCAGTACCTGGCGGGATACTGATCTGTGGTGTCTGTTTCAGACCGGCCCGCTCCAGTCGCCTCGTGGGCGGATCTGCATCTTCGTCCTCCGAACTGCCACTCTGGCTTTTGATCTGGTTCCACACGAATTCCAGCTCCGCCACCAATTCTCGAGCCTCCTGTGTCCCGCTCGCATATTGTTTCATGGTCTCGATCAGCGTGCTGATATACCGCCTCTTGGCTTCGGTGCGGGACATGCCCGCACAGCTGTGCCATGCATCCCACTTCTCAATCTCGGCTTCGGCCTCGCGTATTCGCAGGTCCCGCGAAGCGTAGCGGTGGACGTTATTTGATTTGGAGTTATTGGGATCCGGGGAGACGGAAGGGAGCGTCGGTCGCGGTAGGATCGATTCGACGTCTCCCTCCATGGATTGTTTGTAGAGGCCATACAGGCGGAGACGGGCAGAAGGGGGTGGTCGTGAAGATCCCGTGCGAGGTAATCGTCGGACGGTGGCCAGGGCGTGGACGAAGACGCGATCTATGTTTGGAGGGGTTCATGATTAGAATGAAACGGCAGGCGTGCAATGGACTCCAGGTTATGAGCATACCGACGGAGTCAGACATGGCGTGCCGCCGCGCCACAGACCGGTAACTTTGGCTCTTCAGACAACTTCCACGATTCCTTCTCAAATTGTGCGATCAAGGTGCGAGCGGATGTTGTCATGGAAGGACGGGGGGCTTGTGTCGTAGTGGTGATGCTGATGATGATGCGGAGATTCGGGTATTGCACTCGCTTCAAAGAGGGATGTTGATGGAGGGCGGTGAAAGCGGGATAATCACTATGCCATGGCCACTGAATGGGAGGAGAAACTAAAGGTTTCTGTAAGGCAGGAGTCCATATATGTTGGCAGGGTAGAGGACCGAGGTCGTTCAATCCCTTACCTGAGGGTGCGGTGGTGGATGGTATATGGTTTGGTGATCGTTCCACTATGCAGCATACAAGAGTCCGGCGTATTATTGACACGTTGATGCACTTCGAGTTTGTCTCTTCGGTCTCGACTGCGCGAGTGAATGGGCCTCGGCCCTGGTACTAGGGTGGTGCAGACACGTGATCTACGGTGGAGCAGAGAGTGATATATTGCAACGAAGTGCTGCATGCGCCTGTCAATTGTGAATATCCACTGTACCAGGTATTCAACACCTACTGCAATGCTAGTATGTACCTACCTATGTGCAACAGATTCCGTTCAAGCCGCTTCCTCATTCCCCATCCTTAGACGTCCGCACCCCGACGCCACCGGTTGTCTCTGAATTCCCACTGATGTCGGTGCTTGTCTTTGCAATACCTTTGGATGACGCAGGATCGTGATGTGTATCTTGCCTGGATCTATCCGACTTTGGTGCTTCTCCCTGCGCCGCATATTTGCTCAGATCGCCGTACTTTATCTCCTTCAATGCGCTTTCGTGGGAGGCGTGCAGATGAACTCGTGGCACCGCTGATTGCGACAGTTTCCCCGTTTGTGCTGCTTCCATAGCTTCCTTCCACCGGGTTGCACAGAGACACCACTTCATCCCATCTTTGACTCCGGACTTTTTCAGATTGTTTCCTTTCGAGTCTGTGAAATCGAGGAACTCCTTGTTGACAGTGGCCGCCACGGAATGATTGCCCTTGTCTTCTGGGCCCGTCCTGCAGTATCCGTCCCGATAGAAGCCTGTCGGAGGATCTGTAGATAGTATGCCCAGTTGACCGCCCGCAACTGGGAATTGTCAGAGTCATCTCGAGAAAGAGGATGCCAAAGGACGAGCACCCACCGTTCTTGTTCTGCATCAACTTTTTCGCGTTGCTACTCATTTTGGCTGGTTCGCTTCGTCTGGTCCCGAACAATGCTTCCTTGATCGAGACGAAGAGTATTCCTGCAATTTTGGTAGACTGGTCTGCAAGCTGGGAACGTGGATGAAGAAATTTCTACTGTATCTCACCGAGCAGCTCAGGAACAGCCGCAGCAGCACGCTTTACAAGGATCTTGGGTCCAAACACGGGGTGGCCGAATCATGACGTCCCTGATCCCGTTACATCACCACCAGTTGTGTCCTGGCGATAACTTGATCTCCACATAGCCGATTGGAAGGTGTGATGATGCCGACCAAGAAGGCTGTTGATGCGGTGATTGAGGAGAACAAGGACCCTGCTGACTGCTTGTGGCGTGGAGAAGAGATCATGTCTGACGCCTTGAAGCCGCTCTAGGTTGAAGCAATAGATGAAGATGAGATACAGGGGAGATAAGATAAGATAGTACAGGATGCTACTCCGTGTACAGCAACAAACCTGCGCCATTCAAGATGACCGTGGACACTCACTCCTTTACACATCGTCCACGAAATGATATCCTCCTCCTCGACATAAGTTAGTCAAATCGAAAGACCACTGCTGCGAAGGGTTTGATGCGATCACCTGCTGTAGTGCACCGTTCATTGTTTTAAATGAGCTGAGGGTTCGTCCCACATCCTACCAGACACGCAGCTCGAGTTCCTGCTCAGCGAGCGCCCTTCATGCCTTGCGTTCGCCTGAAAGAGGAGCCATCCTGGACACGGTCCGACGGTCCGACGCTCACAGCAATCCAAACATGGTCTATATACGTACCAAGCACGCCCTTCGACGAATAATGTTCAGCCCGACCGATGATCGGACAGGAGTCCGGGGAGGGAAAAGCGCCGCGGGGAGGAGTAACAGTCTCCGAATGGTCCAAGAAACATCGGGTTTTCTCCAACAAACGCAAACATCCTCATTATTTGCCGTACTGAAAGAGTAACCCGGCTATCGGCAAGATCGCGCCAGCGATTCGAATGACCAAAGTCCCACTGGGAAGAACATGATCCGAAATGCCGTCTTCCCCAGATTTGTTGTTATTCGCCATATATCTTGTTGACCCGGCCAGGGTAGAACTTCTTGGCCTACTGCAAACCCTGGGGCTGGCACCGACCTTACCATGCGAGACCAGCAGGATGCACAAGAAAAAGGCCTGGCCACGGATGGGAGCACCATGACTCCGAACACAGACGACACAGCCTCTAGCATCATCCAAGATGTTCCCATATCCGATAACCCAACGTTCCACACGACCAAAACTTCTATTGACTCTCATGAGATCGAATATCGCTATTTGACCTTCCAATCAGACATTCCCCTGACTCCCATCTTCCCACCCGACTTCAAGGGACAAGTACCACCATGTCCGAACCTACGTGACTACGAGGATCCTTTCACCTGGTCGCTGACCCGCAAGAGATTGATGACATATCTTTCATGCTCTGTCAATATCACCGCTTCCTATTCGGCAGGCTCATACTCTTCGCCAGAGTACATACTCAGCGAGAAATGGGGCGTGTCCCGGGTCGCCTACAACGTCGGCATCACCATCTTCACGTTGGGTTTCGGACTGGCTCCGATGGTACTGGCACCCTTCTCCGAGATCAATGGCCGAAGACCAGTGTTCATCGCCACCGGCTTCCTGTTTGTCATCTGCCAGCTCTCTTGCGCGCTCACCGACTCCTATGCCGGAATGCTTCTAGCACGGTTCTTCTTGGGCGTCGGGGGCTCGACGTTCGCCACGATGGTTGGCGGAATCCTGGCCGATGTCTGGGAAACAGCTGAGCGAAACACGGCCATGGCCCTGTTCACCGGCGCGACCATGCTCGGAACAGGTCTGGGACCTCTGGTCAGCGGCTTCGTCGCCCAGCGTCTATTGTGGCGCTGGGTCTTCTGGATCCAAGTCATCACCAGCGGCACGATGGTCTCGCTAGTGGCCATCTTCTTCAAGGAGACGAGAGGCAGTATCATCCTCAGCCACAAAGCAAAGATCCTCAACAAATGGTACAAGAAGCTCGAAGACGCCGGCGCTCTCGGCATGCAAGTCGACGAGACCGATCCAGAAAAGACGACCCTCCACAACGCATGCCGCATCCGCTGGAAGGTCCAGACAGACGAGGACAGATCTTCTCTCGGCAAGATGATCGCCGTCTCGCTATACCGCCCGTTCCATATGCTGTTCACCGAGCCTGTTGTGTTCTGGTTCAGCTTGTGGGTCGCATTCTCCTGGGCTGTCTTGTACATCCAGTTCGGATCCATCCCGTTGGTGTTCGAGGCCAACCACGGCTTCACGCTCGAACAGACAGGCGCTGTGTTCGCCGCCGTCTGTTCCGGGGGCGTCATCGCGACTTTCCTCAGCATCCTCCAAGAAAAATGGGCCGTGAGACGCTACCCCGTCAAAATCAACGGCAGTCCCGAAGGCCGGCTGTTGTTCTCGTGCATCGAATCCCCGCTCATGCCCATCGGCCTGTTCTGGTTCGGATGGACCTGTTACTCGTCCATTCACTGGATCGTGCCGACTTTGGCCCTTGGCGTCGCTACCATGGGCATCTTCAGCATATACCTTGCCACATTCAACTATATTGCCGACGTCTACCATGTCTACGCCAGTTCTGCGCTCGCGGCGAACGGACTCTGTCGGAACCTCCTGGGTGGTTTCTTTCCACTGGTTACCGTGCAGATGTTTGACGGCTTGGGATTCCAAGCCGCGAGTAGTCTGTTGGGCGGTATCGGTGCGGTCTTGACGCTGGTGCCGTGGATTTTGGCTTTATATGGTCCCAAGATCAGAGCCAGGAGTAAGATCGCTAGTTCTTTTACGCCGCCTGGATCTTAGGTCAGCTGGGGACATATATTATATACAGACGCCTATTGGCATTATGTACTTATGGCCTCCTAGCGTCTATGTATTGGAGAGTGGTGGTGGTAGACCTACATCGGCTACCTTTGGTGGTATACTATATAATCTAGACTAGACAGAGCGGTCTTCTACAATTACAAGCCTTCAGAATTCATATAAGTCGGGTAGACATTGGTTCATTCACAGTTGTTAAAGATAGACTCCCGGCTCATAACCAGTCCTTCGAAACCCGATACAATGAAGGCGTCTACCCTCCGCAATTACTTATAGAGGATATCTGTACAGGCGATCGTCCCGTACACAATTCTCTCGATCAACGATGCAGTATGGGCGGTTGCCATTATTTCAAAAAGGGGGATACTACTCCAAGTTTCTTCCACACTCTAGGAATTCACGAATACTCCTAAGGCAAATCACTCTACTTGCCTACCTGTAACTACAGCGACACGCTACATGTTCATCACAGACGAGACAGAAACGAAGACGAATGATTTTAGCAGTTTTTTTGTTCAGCTTAACTAAGCTATGGAGCGGCCAAGCGCCCATTCAAGAGCAAGAAAAAAACAAGGCAAAACAAGCCCGATGCTCATACTCGAGAACAAAACAGACGCCGACAACGGCCACACTTTTGTGTGTGGCAGCGCCACCACCAACGCCAAACGACACAGCAACGAAGCAAGCAAGCCAGCCAGCCAGCCAGCCCAGGGCAAAGACAAACTCCAACAACCCACACAAACAGACACACCATCCCTGCACCCACTCAAAAACCGGCCATTCCCCCGGCCCCCTCCCCGACCTCCCAATCACCCGTCTACTTGGCCTGTTCAGGCAAGTAAGCGCCAGCGGCCAGGACCAAATTCATGTTGGTGAATTTGGTCAAGTAGACGGGCGACTGTTTGGTGAGGAACGCCGAGATCTGGTCGTTGCTCACCCCGGCCTCCTTGCCGCGCTTCTTGTGGCCCGACGCGGTCGAACCACCCATTCCACCGGCAGTGGCGCCATTGCCGGCACCAGCACCAACACCGACACCACCAGACGCCGACGAGGCCAAGTTGATGGAAGATGGCGGAGCAGCATTGCCACCGCCGCCGACATTGTTGGCGCCATCTGCCTTGCCAGCAGCAGTGGCAGCTGTGGCTGCAGCACCACCAGCACCAACCGAACCAGCACCATCGGCCTTCCCTGATGCAGGCGCAGCAGCAGCTTCCTTCGCCGGACCGGCGATGTCCCAGGCACGCACAGTGCAATCTTGGCCGCCGGAGACCAACACATTCGATTCGACACTCCAGGTCAAGGACCAGATGCCGCCTTTGCCGTGGCCGCGCAGTTTCTTGAGCAGGCGACCTGGCGCGAGGTCCCAGACGAGGATGACACCGGTTTCGTCGGCAGAGGCCAACAGCTTGCCGTCGCGGCTGCATGCCAATGCGGTGATCGTGGCAGTGTGACCGGTGAACATGCGCACAGGGTTGCCATTGGTGACGGCCCACATGCGGACGGTTTTGTCGGACGAGGCAGAGAAAACGTAGCTAGAGTTTGGATGCCATGCGACACAGTCGACGTCGTCGTCGTGGCCGGCGAGAAGACGGACGACCTTGATCTTGTCGGTCTGCCAGATTCGTGCGGTTCGGTCGGCGCCGCAGCTGGCAAAGTAGTGGCCAAAGGGTCCCCATCTCACATCCCACACGGGTCCGACGTGGCCGCGGTAGTGGACGATCTGAGCCATGGCGTCCAGACTCCAGAGACGGATGCTGCCGTCGCCGCTGGACGACAGAAGCCAGCGCGCATGCGTCTGTGCGGCTAACGGGTCGGGCTTTGGGTCGGCTCGATATGCGGCCGGGGCGAAAGAGACGCTGAAGACGGGGCCGGTATGGCCGATGAGACGATGGTTGTTCTGTTTCTGGCCGCCTACTTCGGGACCGAAGGGCTTGCCGTCCATGGACCAGATGCGGATCACGGATTGGTAGAAGCCCGCTGCGACGAAGTTGGAGTCGCCCGAGATGTCCATGCAAGTGATGCTGTCTTTGGTGTTGTGGAACGTGTACATGACCACGCTGACGGCTGGTCCGACGCCGCCGGTGCGAGACTCTATCTTCACACGGTCGCGGACTTCACGGACCTTCATCACTTCAATGGCAACGTCGCGTGCCGTCGATGGAGGGTATGGGATTTCATTACGGGTTGGACCTTCATCGTCGTCTTCTTGCTTGATGTTGAGTCGTTCGTGGGTTTGTATCAGAGACTCTCGTCCTGCTTTGGTTTCCACTTCCAGGTCGAGATCCATGAGGTCACCCCGTAAGTCTTCCTCCAGATCTTTCTCCAGGGGTAATTTGCCCAGCTTGAGAGTGGCGAGGTTGTTGCCGACGTTGGGGTCGGTGGAGGAGATGGCGTTGCCTGGACGATGGCCTGGGATGCCCTCATCTTCGGCCGGCATGTCGTTACCTTCCTTGCCTCGTGAGATGACAGAGGCGAAACTGAATCGATCATCTGACGCACGGTCAACCTCGCGGATGTCAAGGTGGTCCTGGATAATGGCGAGCATCAGCTTGAAACCGGTGTCGGGTAGACTTTCGAGGAAGGACATGAAGGCAGTGAATGCGTGGTGGGTGAGATAGAGGCGATATCGGTTCTCGCTGTACAGTTTGCCAATCTTTTCTTCTCCATGTTCAGGTAGTGTCATGAATTGAATACCGCGCAGGTCGTATTCATGTTCTGGCTTGAAGTCGTCCGAGAACTTCTGGAACAGACGTTGTGCTTCTTTGGGATAGAATAGCTTCACCAGGTCGAGGTAGGAGTAGACGAACATTGGCCAAAGGAGTCTCTTAACTTCCGGCTTGTATGTGTCAAGAACGTCGTCGGTCCATGCTCTCATGCGTGAGAAGAATTCGAAGTAGCGTGGTGGTCCCGCAGGTGTGGGTTTGGCTTCGGTGTCTTTTGGGAGTTCTTGGTTGGCCGATTCTGCGCGGAGCATGGCTTCGGTTCGGTAGTAGCCTTTCTTCGCCAGATAATCAATTACCTGGTCGAAACGGTTAGCTTTCATTCGACCATTGTGTGACTGTCATCAAACAAAAGAGAAAGGAAAAACATGCAACATTGATCCAGTCGCTCAAGTATTCGATCCTATCTTCCAGTGCCTGTTGGTTTCGGGCCTCCTCCTCGATATCTTCCACGTATGCGTAAGGATAATAGGGATTGAAAGGAGGCGCAGGATGTTGTGGAGGTGTAGTGGGAGGCCATACGTGGGCCGGAGAAGGGTGACCAGACGTATGACCAGTTGGAGGTAAACCAGCGGGAGGTGGACCCATGGGGCGGACGACAGGCAAAGGAGGGCCAGCATTTGGAATACCAGTGAGAGGAAGGCCTGCCGGAGGAAACCCAGCGGGAGGGAAACCAGCAGGAGGTAGACTAGCAGGGAGATAGCCAGTGGGAAGATAAGGCGAGCCGGCTGGAGGGGGCAGACCAGGTGCCGCAAGCGCAGTTGATCCTGGCATACTTGGCATAAGAGTGATTGGGACAGAGCCAGTTGTAGGAGGAAGCCAGGTCAATGCAGGACTTGCGGTATTACCAGGTGTATTACCAAGCAGCGGGCCGTTTGCGAAGAATGATCTCTGAAGAGGACTTCCCGGAAGCGGCGCCGATGATGACTGCACTGGGCTGAAAATATTGTCTCCTGGTAGAGGGTTTGGTGATGTGCCCACCGGAGTTGATGGTCTGAAGACAGAGTTTCGCGGTCTGCCCACCCGGTTTCGAGGTCTACCCCACGCGTCCAGAGGTCTACCCGCGGCGTTTGGCGACTCTCCCACCGCAGTCTGTGGAATTGGTTGATCTGGTAGATACGGCGGATTTGGTCCAGAGTCAGGAGGGCCTGTTCTCCCTTGCGCAGGCTTCGGAGGTGCCATGATCGAGGCGCGAGGCAAATGATGAAGTGGCTTTGAAGAAACTTGATGGATATGGTATGAAGAGTGATAGAGAGGGTGAGAGAGTTCCGTGGGAGGCAGAGAAATGATCTATCGTGGGCCAGCGAGATACCGAGAGAAAAGGCCTTGGCTTATGGCACATGAATGTCACAGGGTTGAAGGTGCGGGAGACTGGACTGCCTTTGTTGTTCTTGTGCCAGGACATTGCTCGTGGGGCGCCTCATAAGATCCATTGCTGCGATGGCAGCCGCCACGACAGGATGTGTTTCCAGGGTCCCCATAGTTTCATGGAACAAGGCAAAGCAGAGCGCACGCGACAAGGAGGATGTACTCACTATTTGATTAAGATTCTGCTGCGACATGCCACCACCACCGCTTCCCGAGGCAGTAGGTGTTGGTGCTGAAGGCCCAGTTACCGAGCCATTCGGGACACCATTTGAGTTGGGGTTTGTGGTAGATCCATTAGGACCGTTACTTGCGCTTCCCGGCGCCGGGTTGGGCACGTTTTGCCCCGACATGGCTACGGTTCGCTCATGCGCTGGAGAAGTTGTCGTGACGATAGCTGTTGATGAAGAAGGGTTGTTGGGATAGACAGTAGGAGAGAAAGGTGGTCGACGCGACAGGTGAAAGTTGTTGTGAGAAGTGAAATGAAGTTCAGATCGATTCAAGAGTCGCGAAGTGAAATACAGCGAAGACACAGCGACGACGCAAGGCTCGCCAAGGATTGATACCATGCTAACCGGATGTGAACATTTTACCGGCAAACCTTCCATAGCAGGCCTTCCCCCCTGTTATTGTTTGCTCTGTTTGTCATGTTTGTTTGACCTTTGCCCAAGCCATCCAACAACATCCCCTTGCGACGCATTTGAGTGTCCAGGGCGACAATCATGTAGACCACAAGAATATCTTTCTCCACGCACAGCGACTACATCTTTGAACATGGATCTCGACTCGCCGCGCTCTTCAGCTGCAGCGCCATCTGCATCCTTCACCCCCGCGAGTCGCATCGCTGAACTGAATCAGATTGACCAGTCCATTTCCACACTCCTCTCCGCGGCGTCTGATGCGGTTTCCATCCTGTCCAACACACCAGCTTCAGAAACATTGCGACAGGATCTCAGGACCGCCGAATCCGCCCGCAGTGCCTTTACGGCCGCAGCAGAAGCATACTTCTCAAATTTGTCATCGATCGAAGTTCGACTACGGCGCCAAGTCTATGCATTAGAAGAGGCGGAACTCATCAGACCAGGAAATGAGAGAGATACAAGAAGAGGCCGGACATTAGGCGGTGATTCAGAGTTGCCAAGAGTCGGAGGCGGGCCTCTTGACCCGAGCTGGTTGAATGCAAGGGCAACGGACAAAGTCGGGGCTAGCATGAGACAAGAACTTCTGGCTCAAGCGCGAGACTTTGTCGAACGAGCAGCACAGTCATCACAGAACGGTCAGACAAAGACAGGAGATTCAGAATCTGAAGGACACAAGGATAGCGAAGATCATGAACTGGGTTGAAAACACCAACTGCTGAAGATACCACGACAAGTGTTTTTACATCTCACCAAATGCTCTTGGGATCTGAATTATTGGGACCTTAATCAGAGCATCTGTGCAAATGCACCTGCTAGCATTCACGCCACAATTTCCCATATACGGGAATTTCCACTCAGGATGGCTCTCCCGCTCAGATGAATGGCCCAAGGGGTACGTCCCCGTTCGCTACCTCTGGGTCTCAGGAGAGAGTGGGCAGTGCGGACCGTGCGGAACACTACAACAGCGCGCACAATGATATGCCAGCCGCTTGAGGATCCTAGAGCCAAGACCTATCGCTGTAAAGTCAGGCTCGAACTGCCTGCTGAGGGGCCAAATCTGGGCACCACTGTGCCATCATAGAAGCTTGATAGCCGAGTGATGTGCAAATAGCAATCAGAATGAAACTATTGCGGCGCACATTGCTATTTGTATGCTGACCTTGTAGTTGTCCATATAATCATAGTATAACATATTGTTTATACTGTGAACAAAGAAAGATGCCTGGTATTAGTAGTACTATGGCAGTAGAGACCCTTGACCTTGACGTTCTGTTCCGCCAATAAGAATGCAGCTTGGCACAACTCCCCGACACTGCAGCGCGACACTGCAGCATCACTTGTGACTTCAACCTCCAGGTTGAACTTCAAGAAGTTATTTAATGTTGGAAGTGCACATTGGGAGCTGCAACTTCTCTATCCGTCTCCATCTCCCATCTGCTGTATGTGAAGCTACCTGCCTCCTTTCTTTGTGGCGACAGCTGGTGAACGTGCGACTTGCGTTTTCATGTTAGTCGATAGAGGAGGTTGTACCTGGTCCGACGCCTACGTTTCGCATTAACATGACCGCTGAAGTCTAAACAACCGCTCGACACTCCCTCATGGCTTCCGATCCGCCAAAGCCCCAGCCACAGGAGCTTTTCGTCAGAGCCGATGAGGTAGATGCGGGCACGTCGATTCTCTCTTCCAGCACAGAACTGCCGCTGAGTGCGCTGACTCCTTCCGATGCTGCCCCTGCGGGATCACGACCAAAGGCGCCGCCGCGGCCAATCTTAAGGCGCGAAGGTTCGGCACCACCGCCTCCTCCGCCATCTCAGCCACCTCCTGCTCCTCCACCGCAGACTGATCCTACAGATTCTCTGAGTCTGCCGCAATTAAGGCAGCTAGTGTCACAGTTCCCGAAGACCGAGCAACGAGCCTATGCGTTCCAGTATCGGGATACCGATAGTTTTGAGTCCGAAATTGACGAGTGGTTTCACTACACTGAACTCGAGCAAGACCGTGACTACCTTCTCGTGTCCCTTGAAGCCTTCGAGCAGAAATGGAGAGACTTCTGCCAGGATCAAGATATCCCCGAAGACACGACCTGGATCACGGTGAGCCAGGATCAACGACTTCACTTTCTCGCCAGTCTGGTGCACGATCTGCAAGACTCGGATTATGCTACTCGTGTGACAGCGCTCGCTTGTGTCTACTACATTCTAACCGGAGCATGGAGTACCACATGCGATTTTGAAACCAAACAGGCGCCGAACGAAAATGAATCTGGCTCTCAGTCGGAAGATGCCTGCACCAATGCCGCCCAGATTCAATGGATGCACAAAGGGGCAGACATGATTCAACAGAGCTCCATCATACCACAGCTGTATACCTGTTTGATTCAAGCGGCCAAGGCTGATTCAACCAATCCTGCGCCAATAGAAGAAGGTGGAGAAGCCAATGATGGAGCGTTTGGTGAAAATGAATATCAAGAAGTCAGCCTATGTCTTTCGTCCTTCTACCTCTTGGTGGAGTCTTCCAGAGTCAGGAGCGACACAAAGCCTGGACAAGACATACGTCGGAGTATCGCCTCTCTGCAGCCTAATTTCCTCGTTTTCCTTGCCAGGATGATTTCACGGTTACGATGGGATGATTCCTACAATATACCCCTCATGCATGCCTTGCAACTGTTTTGGAAGTCGATTCTTTTGGTTTTTGGAGACGTGACAGAACATCTGGAAACGATCAAAAGTATTTTGCAGCCACGAGATGACCCTTTCTCGGCCGATGCAGCCCATCCAGTACTTACAGCATCGCCTTTGGACTATCACATGTTTCGACAAGAGATCACATCGAAATATCCCGCCTACAATCCGCCATTGCCGCTCATACCCCTGGAGACCGATCAGAAGACCATGTTGCCTCCACTGCCACAGCGATCATCCAGACCTGACACCATTCCTGGGGTCTCGAGCCCGGGAACGGGTGGTGGAGGGACTCATGGATCCATTTTTCACCAACCTGTTCACATCGCTACGCCGGCTCCCTCGCCTCCACCATCCCCTATTGGTCCCGGCGGTAAGGCTGCCAAAAAGCAAAACTATCAGACCAACCAGAATTTCCCGTTCCTATATCCGCCTCTAGATGATTCGAGCAACGTGATTGGCGGGAAGGGGTCAACCGAGTTCCAAGATTCGATGGTAGGGAAGAAGTGGGGAGGCAGCGACGTTCCTCGCTCCATCATCGAGGCAGGAGAACTCTTCGCCAGTCGAATGAGGATGACACGCGCAATGCGCCAGCTCTGGCGGGAGCGAGACCTGTTCATGAAGTATGAGAGAGGCTGGACGGGTGCTATGACAACTATTGGGGAGAAGGATGGAGATGGCGACCCGCTGACGGAAGACGAGAAAGGAATCGACAGCTTGGACGATCCACAACTCCGGGATCGCATGCATGCAGTCGAAGAATTCTTTCGGGATGCGCTGCCGGACCTGCAATCTCTGGTGATTGTGATGATGAAAGTTATGCTCACAAACGTTCAAGACATTGCCCTCCGCAATGGTGGTTTCCAGGACCCGGCGCAGCAAGGTGGTCTTAATCGCACCAAATCGAATCCTAACATGAATCAGAATCAAACACTGCCCATGCCACCTCCGCCACTCCGTCCCGACGAAATGACACTCGAGGACCTGGATAATGTCCGGTCCCGCGAGATCAGCCAGAAGGCAGTGTCTGGGGCCATTTTCTTGATGTTGAAATGGTTCAAGCTGTCTCACGTCTTGAAGTTTGAGTACCTCACTCAACTACTCTTGGATTCAAACTACGTTCAACTCACTCTGAAGTACTTTGCACATCAGAACTTGGAGGATCTGGTGGCTTTCAAGTACGATCGTGACGATTTGAGTTTCTGGCATTATTGTCACGTCCACTCCGACCATCCACCGCTTTCACCCACCAGTCCGGACGAGAGATCAGAGACTTCAAGTGTCGACGAAGCCATGCCACCACCTATTTCACGCCATCGAAGATCTCCCACCTCCAGATCTGACGTTCAACAAGGTTCGGATCAGCCTCCTGCCGAGCAACAGATGTCTGACGGGCAACGTCCTTCGGTCGATGAGCTCGGTAATCCTCTATGCCCTCTTCCAACCACTCCTATCACGACCTACTCATTCCGCCAATTTCACACGGCGATCCATCTCCTCAAGGTCCTGCAGAAAGTCACCCGGGGCAAGTCCCATCGCATCTTGTTTCTCGTGCAGTTCAAATCATCTCAGATTCTTCGGCGTATCCTCCGTGTTCCAGACCAAACGTTGCGCCTATATGTGTTGAAGCTCTTCAAATCTCAAGTCCCCTACTGTGGTCGGAAATGGAGACAGAGCAACATGCGGGTGATTACGGCGATATACCTCCACTGCCGACCGGAGCTGAGGGACGAGTGGCTGGCTGGCATGCACGACGCTAATGTCGAAGGTGAAGTTGACGAGGCTGTCCCCTTGGAGTGGGCTCTGAGAGGTTTGACATTCTGGTGGCAGAAACGCATGTATCCTGGAGTTATGAGGCGAGGAAGACGAAGCGGCAAGGCCAAGGGCAGGAAAAGCCAGAGACCGTCGAAGCCACTGGAAGCATCTTCGACCACTGTAACATCCGGCGATGGACAAGGGTTGGATTCTGACGCCGACCTCGACAAGCTTCTCGAAACCGACCTCGCCGAAACAGACCTTGACGAGTTGGATGCTGATGATGAGGACGAGGAGGAAGGAGGTCAAGAAATTGACGACGACGAGCGTGACTTCTTCCAGCGCGAGCTTGACGCCATAGGCTGGGGCCTGGCCGGACTGCGACTGGCTGAAGGGTCAGAGGAGGTGGCATTTGGCGAGGAGGCTGCCTTGGGCGTTAATGGTGCCGGAGGATACGGTGCCGAAGGATATCCTGTGGCCAATGGAGTTGCGGGAGGGAGTGAGTATGGTGGAGTTGCCGCATCAGGGTCGGCCGCGCCATTGACTCCCGTAGCGCAGATGCAGTCGTACTCACAACCCCAATGGGTGACGGCGGACGCCGCATCGCTCGAGAACTGGCAAAACAGTTAGGAACCGTTACACCCTGCACCCTTGTCGCATGATGAGTATGGAGGAGAGGAAGGAGAAGACTACAGTGGGCGCTACGACTTTGACGACGATAACGACGACGGCGACCAGAATGGGCATGAGCAGTTGAGTGGCCTTGGTATCAATCTTGATCAGTGGCTGCCGCCGGGAGGATGATTGTGATTTTGGGCAAGGCTACGGCTTAGGCTTGAGTTGGGTTGTGGTTGAACTGAACACATGCCTGAGAAGGGTGACAGTGGCTCAGTCAGCCGAAAGAAGAAGACTTATGATGCATAATGCATAATGCATGATAGAGGGAACAAGGCACAAGACATGACAAAGGGAAAGGGAAACCAGCGAACAAAGTCAATATTGTTACGAGTGAACGGGAGGAGCTGTCTTCGACATAACATTCAGCATCACACACAACGCATGACAGGCCGGATTGAATCCACACACCTTTTACTACTTCATGACTTGACTGTACGCACCCCTGGCCATGTGTGATGGTGGTAGTGGTGGTGGTACATGCCCAAGATACCTACTTATCGCTACCTACCTATTGCTGGGGAATGGTATGGTATGCTCTTCAACTTTGGAATGGGCACAAACAAGCATATCCAGCAACCCATTGCGGACAGTGAATTAGGTACATACATAGCCTGTGAAAGTCTACCTAAGTCATTGAAGACATCGTTGCTCTCTCTGTCCCTAGCTGGTGCTCTTAACAAGATACATGGCAATACCATAACACTTTCATGTCTCCTTATAATTTCGAGCCTGAGCCAGACTGTTTTTTGATCCCTCCCACCCCGGTAACCTGGGCCCCGGAGAGGATGAAATCAGGATACTCAAAGCCCTTTCCCGTGCCGGTACCGGCGGTGCGCCAGGCACCGCCATCGACTACGAGCGCGCTCCCAGTGACATAGTTGGCGGCGTCACTGAACAAATAGACGGTGGCGTCGGCGATCTCCTTGATCAGACCCCAGCGACCCAAGGGAATGCCTTTGCCTGGATAACCGCCGGGCGTGGACTGTTGTTTCTTGGCCAGTCGATCCATGCCTTCGGTGCCGGCGATCGGGCCGGGCGCAATCACATTGGATGTGACTCCCAACGGACCGTACTCGATGGCGACATTGTTCGAGAGGGCGTCGACGCCGGCTTTGGCCACAGCGACGTGCGTCTGCATGGGGAGGCCGGTGTAGTGGATGGTGGCGGAGACGTAGATGATGCGACCGCCGGGGCCGGGGGGACCGGATGAGGACGAAGAACGAGAACTGGATGTCGAAGTGGAGGGGGAATTGGGGGGCTGTTTCTTCGGGAGGGATGATGAGGAATTGTGTTTCTTTGCCGAAGCCACCAGGTGTGGCAGGGCGAGTTTGGTCACGTTGTAGGAGCCGAGTACGTCGATGTCGATGACGCTTTTGAATGCGTTGGGTGACAATTGCGCGAGAGGGGCGAGGAAGTTGCCTGCTGCGCCAGCACTGCCAAAGCCCAAGGGCGGTGATGTTAGTATGGTCAATAATGATAAGGGTCTTAAAGAGAGAAGGTAGAGAAGGAGTCATGCTTGATCCGGACATTCCCAACCTGCTGTATCTGACACTTACATGAGGAAATCAATGCCTCCTAGCTCTTTGACGCATGTATCAATCGCCTTTTGGAGACTGTCGATGCTGCGTACGTCCACGGCTCCGATCCCTAATACTCTGCTCCCCGGGCGAGCGGTCGCTATGTCTTGAGCCACCTTCTCCGTCTTTTCTACGTTGCGGCCGACGATGCAGGCGTCTGCGCCTAGGTGGACTAAAGCCCGCACCTGGGCTGAACAGATGCTGCCGTTGCCGCCGGTGCAGAAGACCACTTTGCCGTCGAAGAGGCCGTCACTCCATACGTTGGATATGTATTCATGTTTCTCAAGAGGCATGGTTAGGTATGCGTATTGTCGTCGACTCCGGCGGAAAAGGTGGTTTCAATGGACAGGATATGGGGTTTGATGAATCGGGGTGCTGATGGTATCGTGCGGTCGGAGGAGAGGAGTCAATGGGAGTGATCAAGCTGGGTGGTCAGCACGCATCTCAGGTGGTGGGTGTTGGGTGTTATTGTTTCGCTGTTATGGAACCATCAGCAACGGCCGTAACGGACTTGAGGGGAGTGTCTCGTCCACCACTCGGATGAACTTTGTATTGTGCTGAAAAAAATGTTGATCAGACAGGTCGAGGTCGCGGTGTCAGCATTGTTTGTTGGATCATCTCCACCCAAGAGTCTGGGGGAAGATGGAAGATACCGAGGCATATAATATAATGGGTGGAGCGATAAGCACTTTAGTAATACTAGTGTTATCATCAAGCGTCTATCGGAGGTGCGCAAGGGCGGCATCACCCTATTTCTTAAATAGATTAACCAGGCACCGCAGGCGAGCAGCTGGAACATCATCGTCGGCACTTCGATCCAAACCCGGTAAGGTATTGAATCACTGGCATTTGACTTCCCTTGCCTTCACCATCTCCAACAACCCATCATCACCTCTTCATCCAAGTCTCGAAAAGGGCTTTGTCATCCCTGTCATTCTCACTCTCACAGACCCGTTGTCGTCGATGATCTGATACCAAGGCCCCCGCCATCACTACTCAAAAGCAGATCGCAGATCGCAGATCAAGTATCCTACTACCTACTACGTACTACGTCGCGGAAGGCCGAAGGCGGAAAGCTCTCGATCACAGCTTCATTCCGCCACTCCGCATCAACCCACGAACCCAAGTCCAATACAAGCCAGCCCTTCTCTACAACAACTTACTCCCAACAACGACACACTACTTACATACACACATTTACTCACATACACACAACCGTCCGCAACCATGCCGTGCCCGATAAGCATCACCAAGTTCGTCGGGACCATTTCGCTCGGTCTGCTGACCGTACGTTGCTCCCCTGTGAAGATGAATAGTCAAGAATGCGCCCCAATTAACATCTTATATCACTGTCTCTAGGGAACAACATACACTCTCACCACCATTACTCTGCCCTCGCTTGCCCTCCTCCCGTCGGCGTCGCTAGCATCACGCACGCTCGCCACCATCCAGACCAAATCGACCCGGCACATCCTGACTTTGGCCTCCATCTCCTCACTGTCGCTCATTACGGCGTTCAGCCTCGCCTCTCCGCGCGGCCGGCACCCCTATCTCCTCTACACCGCGCTCGTGGCGTTCATTGGAGGCCAGGGCGTCGAATACTGGTACAACGGCCTGTCACGGTTCCCGCGGGTCAGCCGGGGAGGGAAGAAAGCGTCGTCTTCAGCAGCAGGATCTGCCTCCGCTAGAGTTCCCAGCCCGGGAGGCTCCGATAGCAGCGGATTCATCGAAGTCGAGCCGCACGCTGGCGACGACCAGGTCAACGGAGAGAAGGTCGAGATGGAGATGGCCCGAGAGCGCAAGATCCAGCTGGTCAGAAGTTGGATTTCTGGCTTGGGCTTCGCCATGGGTGTTGTGGGTATCTGGGGCGATGGGGCCTGAATGGGTTCTACAAACTCCCCAATGTTTATGCTGTTTGCTGTTGATGTGGTGGTTTGGCTGGAGATATGCGAAGGCGCAGAGTGGGCGGCGCAAAAGTGGAAACATTGGAAGGAAGTTGTGCACACTCTTCTTTTTCCTACCCTCTCTCTCCAGGGCGCTGAAGATAGGCTCTGACCATGGAGAACGACACGGTGGAGAGCTGGAGGAGGAGAGAGAAAGAAGACTGCCTTTGTCCTGACTGACCCTCCGACAAAGCATCGTCAATGACTACGACATACCATTCGTTCTATGCACAGCCACTGATCGAAGGCTGGCTTACAATTTGCAACATCTGCTCCAACCGCTACAGACATACCTATACCAGTTACCAAAGTCTACATCTCTACATGACAATGTCACCAACTTCCTCTCTGTATTGGAAACGCCGCTTCCGCTCAGCTCAAAACTTGCCTCCTCCCACCTCAATCGGTATCCCTGGTGTCTTCCTGGCTCCACCTTCGTGAAGAAGCAAAAACCCCTGGCTCCCAGCTGGCGAATTACGGCGTACTGGCAGTACGGAGGGAAGGAGGTCTTTTTTAATTGCTCGACTCACATACTCTATCATGCATGGTGGCTTTGCATTGCATTGCATTGCTTTTCCTTCACACACAATAGTCGAAGCTTACCCCTTATCAAGAACGAGCTCTTTAGTGACAACGGAAAGTATTTCCAGTACCTACATGTGTCTGTCTGTGCTCGTAAAATTTGATCTTCGTCTCTTCTCAGTCCCGCGGCCCTACGTGGACCAGCACTGCAGCAGTCTCCCCATTCACATGTCTGACATTCGCGACAGCCTCGTCCCATTCCAATCTTCATTTTTTCCGCCAGTGACTCGACCTGCCTGCTGTCACTCGACTGGAAAGATATTGTAACAGGATGGTACGTGTCCTGTTGTATGTGTCGTACTCTGAACCGGCAAGACTCGGAGCGGTTCTCGCAAGGCCAAGGAACTGTCTTCTTCGAAAAGCAAGCCTCAATTGGGCCATTGCCAGGGGTGTCAGACTGGATAGGACAGTTTCCATGTCAGACGATTCTAGTGCGTGCTTTGTGACCAAGTCGCAACGAGAACAAAGTTCGACCGATTCGAGTCAGCCGGATAGTATGGTATCATCTCCTTGTCCGAGTTCTTGTTGTACGGTGCGTGTTCGGAACCACCAAGAACTCAACCACGTCTAAAGCGCGATTGACTCGCTCGGGACGTAGCCACAGCTGGGATCCAATCTCTCCTCACCAAAAGGGTTGCGGCCTCCGGATTCGATCACTTAAGCGCGTGTAGCATTGTATTTCGCGGGTGTATAACACCAGTCATGCAACATGGGCAAATTGTTGAGCCACAGTCATGGCCGGAAGAGAGAGTTTTTCCAAGGAGATAACCTTTACTGGTCGAGAATGATCGCTCTCCTTGGACTGTGGCTGCCTTCTCGCCGGCCATTTCTTTTCCGACAGGCCGTTGGCTGTGAAACTGGTCTCGGCCCGTATGCATATGCCTGAAATGGTAAGGCCATGCCTCAATCCTCAATCCTAGATGTTTCGACAGAGTCGTATTGTTTGTTGTATTCTCTCTCCCTGTGCGGTCTGCCAGATCATCCAGGGTAGTCATGCAAGTGGACTGCCGCTCCCACAACGGTGGGCACGCTTCTCGGCACAGGAGGTAAAGGTAGCTGACTGTGCAGTTGCACTACAACATTCCCGGGAGGGCCCGAAGGCATAGGCGGTGTCCCCATCGGAGACGGAGTCATGGTTGTTTCACTTTCCTGCGAACTAGAGCTGTATGCGGGTAGATTCAAGGCTTGATCATTATAGGCTGGTCTCTGTTGTGCCTGTAAATGTTGCACAGTGACCACACCTGTCATGGGCCGTCCGAAACTGCCGAGTCCGGCAGACAAGGGGATCTGGAGACCTTTCGGTGGTATGGGTGTTGGAACGTTGTCGCTCGCTCCAGCATAGCCTTGCTTAATGCTCAAAGGCATTGGGCCGATCGGTGGTGCCATGTTTGGCAGGTTCTCAAATACCTTGGTGAGCAGCAGAGGCAAGTAGCGAGAGGCACCGGATCGGAGTTGTGAGATCAGATTGAGAAGCTGGTTCAAATACGCCAGCGGTGTCTCATCTTCAGGGGTCGTTGCTGCAGGCTCCAGAGGCACGCAAGAGATAACATCCGTCAACGTACATGCCACGTCAAATAGTTTCTCAATCAGTCCAATTCCGTGGACTTCCATGGCATCCAGAGATATGTTCGCAACATCTTGGATCAAATCCCGCGCTACCTGTATTGGAAATTTGAAGGTCAAGGACAGATCCAACGAACTCGAGGACAGACAGCCGTTGGTGATGGAGAGTTGCCAGACCATGATGCGCAACCAGTGCAATGTGACCTTAATGTCCGCTATCTGACTTTCGGTTGTCTCGGGCGTACTGGGTAGGGCGTTGCTGAGCCGTTGCTGCAGTTGTGAAAACCAACTAGCCGTACACTGGCTCTTCGCTTTGTTCCATAACGCCATGAATTCATCATCAATACAGCGGAAAAGGCTGATGAGGTGCAAAAATCCGGAGATGCTTTCTTCTTCCGCGGTTCCTCTGGCGTCCGGTAGCTCGATTGTAGCGTGAAGGCTCAGAGGGCGATGTCTTTCCAGAGCGTACGCTCTTTCTGTGACCAGCAGTAACCAATAGGTTCTCCTTCTGTAGATACTCTCGATAGGATCCAAGGTCAGATAGGAGGCTTCCTCGTGCATGCCCATGATCTGTGCCAAGGTGGCGGCTTCACGTAGATGAAACCAGCACATATTCTGTTTTTCGAGAGTGAAATAGCAGCTGAATAGGAAGAAAGAAATCTGGACAGAGCTCAAAGTTGGCGATCCTATATAATCGACAGATTTCCGCACACGAATGATATCGTCCAGGAGCATGTTTGCGTACCCATACCGATTCTCCGGGGGTTCGCCTTCATAATGGCTACCCGGCGCGACGGCGAGATTCATGCCAGGCTGAACCATCACAAACGCGCAGAGGGATGCTGCGAGACAGTACACTTCAGCGTCGTCGGCGAAGCGAGATGTAATGAGGTCTGACAGCGTCTGACGATCCAGAATCCAGGCCGTCGTACACATCTTCACGAAGAAGAAGTCGACACAAATCTCCATCGTATCCTGGGAGAGAAGGGCTGGCCTCCGTGCGGACGGAGGAGACGTAGGTGGGCTGTTGAAGTCGAACACAAACGGGTTTGTCGCATGGTTCGATGTTGGTCGGGGAGGACTCGACTGCTGTTGAGTGCCCCGGATCTCTGAAATGACTTTGGCCCGCGACCCTTTAGGACCTTTCTTCTGTGGCACAGCAAGATATGTGCAGTGAAGAGTGGCCTGGCCACAATTGTTGCATGGTTGGCCTCCTGAACAACGTACTTTCCGTCGATGGCATGCATCACATGCCTTCTTGACCGGCGGGGTCGACATCATCTACTGCAGCCGACAATAGAAGCAGATATGTATGTTCATTGGTCTATGCATAGGAAAGGGCAGCCGGGCAATGGCAGAATAACAGTATTCGGTCCTGCGGGAGTTCGAACAAGGCTGCGGTCAGTGGCCACGCAGGAAGCCAGGCCTGCCCTGGGTCCAACGATCTTTTCTTCATCTCTCGAAGGGGGAGGGAGCCAACACTGGGCTCGTTGGAGTCATATCACCAGATGAGGCCATGGCAGCCAAAGTAGAGTTTCGGTGGCGGAGGCTTGAAGAGGTCGTTGGATTGGAGGGAGTATCTGTCGCCGTCGAAGCCTCTCTTGCGACCCCGCGCTCGCGGCCATCACATTGAGGACGGACAAGGATGTCGATACGGGCCAATCCTTGGGCAAAAGGAGGATTGCAGGGATGGTGGTCGGCTGAGGATGCTGAGTTGGGCAAAGGAGACAAGAAGGTGACCAGGGTGCAGAAATTGAAGGTCAGAAGCCGTGTTTACTTGCAGATGCCGATGGAAGAAGGTGAGCTACCTATACCAGTAGTACTTTCCACTGCATCTCTACCATCGAATTCAGCGTGCTTCCTCGGACTCAACAGGAGAACTGGAGTAGATGTTGACACTTAGGTTTACGGACCTTGCGAGTGTCCAGGCTCGATGGACATTCCTCGCGTTTGACCATTCCAGATCGTACCTTTTCATTAAAGGATTCACTTGAGGCTGGAGCTGCGGCTGCGCCCATCGACTCACTCAGCCAACAGCTCAAGTGTATCAACTCCTTCTTGTCCGGCAGCTGCCTCCCTTTGGATTGATCACGATCATGTCGACAATCACATATCTGAGTCGGCAGCTCTCAGACCATACACCGTGACTCCCCGATATGCCGCTTCAGCCGATATCTCTCCCATCGAGTGCCATCGTGACATGCCAATATCAAGCCAGGTCTGAGAAGTCTCATTTTCCCATGCTGGATATCACATCTCTCTGGGCCTGTCGTTCCTGATTGATGTCCGTCAAAGGTGCCACGCTCCGGAGGTCGCCCACGACGTCCTTCGCTTTCCCAAAATATACCTCTTGCAGCATATTCCTCATCTTGCCCTCCATGTCTTCAACAAGACGACCGATGTTGCACACGTGGCCTCCGTCTTTCCCTTGTCCGCCGACATTGTCTACCACCAAGTCTGCCTCCACCTGCCTGGTCATGCTGCCCGCCAACTTTAACGAACCGACCGCCTCATTCTCTCGACCCAGATGCAGAATCACAGTACTGGTCAACTTGTAGTGACATGTGCGGCCACTGCCTCTTCTCTCGTCAACCTCGAAGACATGGATACTGTCCCATCCGGCTTCTTTACCGCCGCTCTTTTTCAGTAGAACGACCCCAGCAAAGCCGTCGTCGAGATCCCACAGATATACGCTTCCGGTACCACCTTCGTAGTACATTTGGCGGTAAACGTCGAATGCAGTGTTGGCCTCCACCTCCATCTTTCTCACCCGGTCGCTAGGATATGTTGCGTCGTCGAGTGGTGGGTCAAATTCGTTGCTCCATGGACTTCGATACGAGTCCCCATCTCTATTGTAGTCACACAGCAAGTAGTCACGGCCCGTCTTCTTGCATCTCGCCGAGGTCAGGGGTTGGTCCACAGAAGAGAGCAGGTCTTCGGTCAAGTCGGGCACGAGGGTCGTGATCGCATTGAGGTTGTTCGATACTTTGAGCGGAGATAACCTTCGCAGGAGATCTCTGATTATCAAAACATTGGGTTAGCTGTAAGTCCTTCTGAGGCATTGTCGTCCAGGCCGACTCGAAACCAAACGGCACTGGGACCATAACGGCAGAGGGATCGGATCACTCACAAGGCCGCATCGAATTGTGCCTCGCTCGCCATCGCGAGTTCTGGGTCCAGCAAGACTTCCTGTTGCACCGCTGGTAAAATACGAACTATCCTTTACCACGAAAGGGTTGTTGTTGGCGGTAGGTGATTGCAGGCGCTGGGGCAGGCAGAGAGTGGTAGGGTGAGAGGTGCGTGAAGCTGTGGGGTTCAGTTGATGCCGCAGTCTCTCTCGCGCACTCTTCGTCTCCCTTCAGAAACACCAACAACACTCGGTGCTGAAAGCTTTACCTCATTCTCCCACTACACCTAACACAGAGAGACCGCTATTATGCCAATAAGAGTCAATGTTGGTCCATTCTACGAGGTTCCTTCTTAACATATGGAGCATGGAAACACATACACAGACACATACCAAGAGCGAGAAGGCAAGGCAGCGAGAGAGCAAGGAAAATGCAGAAAGAACGTCGTCGACTAGTACTGGGACCAACATCAACTGTATTGGTACAATAACCCTGATCTGAGTTTCCAGAACGAGTTGTCTCGATTCATCAAGTAGCTGGACGAAGACTCTTTTCGTCTTGCGTCCATGTCTCCTATTCATTGCGTCGTGGAAGAGCCATTCTGACCACGGTGCTTTTTCCATGTCATTCAGCATGATTTCGTAGCTCAGCAACATGTATCGCTATCACAGCGAACCCTCCATAGCCGGCCATGTGCACCGAGAAAAAGAAGACCTCCCTTTTGGCACGTTCAACGCCAGTACAGGCAAGCAATGCTGAGTAAATCAAGTGCAAACCCACGCCATCGCTCTTGATACAGGACAACATCCCCAAACCGTCAGGCAAAGCCAGCTGCATGGCGACCTCATGTTTCATGACTGTGTAGCAGCCTGAGTACTCGAGGCGTGGTTCTCTGTCTGTCCTTGGCCACCACGCCCTCGGCCTCCTCGATATCCACCGTTTCCATGTCCGCGATTGTAGCCACCGCGGTAGTTACCACCATACGGTCGCCCTCGGCCATATCCACCACCTCGACCTCGTCCACGGAATCCAGAGTCAACATTTCCTTGTCCAAATGTCTCAATATTCTTTTTGAACTCTTCACTGCGGACCTGTCTGCCATGGAACCGCCCGTCAGACCCTTGTTCACGATCCCTGGCCTCGGACGAGATATTGTCGAAGAACGAAGTGGACTTGTTGTACGCCGCTCCAGCACCAGTAAGACTATCTTTTCTCTCCGGCGCGGCGTCGGTTGCGCTGTCGTCGGCTATTTCTGCAAGACCGTTCTCTTCCTTTCCGGCCACGGGTGGAGAACCCGACGCGATTGCTTCCTTCACCAGATCTTCCTTCTTGAATTTGGCGTTTGCAGATTCGAAATCGAAGTCTGACTTGGGAATTTCCATCTTCTTCGGTCCACCACCACCGCGCGGATAAGTGCTGCCTCGTCCACCTCGAAGGCCGCCTCTGCCACCTCGTGCCGTGCCGTTGGCTGTGCTCGACGTTGACATTTCTGCAACTCGTTTGGACAAAGCATCAACAGCGGCAGCTGAGGGTGCGGACTTGGTCTGCGAGCCAGCCGTCTGTGGGTTGAGTTTTGCCATGGCCGCTGCAACAGCCTCCTTCGCCTGTCGAGCGGCTTCATCCATCGCTGCCTGAGATGGCATTGGCTTTGAAGGCTTGGCTGCCGCATTCCCATTGGCCGACGTATCTGCTGTAGGTTGGACTGGAGGGGTGAATGACTTCTGATTGACTTGGAATGGTATTGCAGGTGTGACTCGATTAGTCTTTGGTCCTGGAGGAGCTTGTGTTGGTGGAGGAGCGGTTGCAGTTGAGGCGGGGGGCTTAGGAACATTTTCCGTTCGTGCGGTGTTCGCTTGGGGAGGGATTGAAGGCTGAGCAGTCTTCGGAGGTGCAGACGGTGCCGATCGCCCAGCTTTGTTGTCTGGCAGTTCTGAAGTGAGGGTCGAAGAGGGGGCAGGAGCGCGCCCCTTGGGTTCAGGAGGTTGCTGTTGTTGTGTTGGCGGTGGCGGTGGAGGTTGAGGTTGCGGCATGTTGCTGCGTTGTCCAGGTGGCCCGATGGGAGCCTGACCGTGTTGGAAAGGATGAGGACCAGGACCAGGTGGAGGTGGAAAGCCCTGACCTCCAGGGGGGCCAAAGTAACCTGGAGGTGGCGGGCCGTATGGCGGGAAACCTGGCCCTGGACCAAAGCCTCCTGGGGGAGGTGGACCATAGCCTCGTCCAAATTGACCAGGAGGAGGGTAAAAGCCACCGAAGCCAGGATGAGGAGGATAACCCGGAGGTGAGAAGGGAGAGTCTCGTGGTGGGCCATCGATGGATGGACCTGGCCGGGAAGCATTCTGCATGTCACATGCGGTTAGCAGGGGCTTCAATGCACGCAGATTGTGATCATGAGCTTGGTTTTTGCCATAATATCAGAAGGAAGGCAACGGAAAATATCTACACGGGTTTGCGCATTCAGAACAGGTCTGTGAATTTACATCCGAAATATTTCATCATTTAAAAGGCTGTGAGCAAGAAGCAGAGACCAACATACCAGTATGGCGGGATCATTTGGCATGGAAGGAGGGGGAGAAGGTTGTGATTGTTCTTCTTCGGCGATCTTGATGTCCTTGACGTCGCTTCCACGGAAGACAATGAAGCCATATTTCTGTTGTGAGGGAGGAACGAATTTTTCGGCATTGCGATCTTCTGTACCGAACGAATAGACATTTTCCAAAGCGATGGTGGATTGCTCAGGGTTGATCTCGTGGAGAGTACCGACATAGCTAGAGCCCGAAGCTGTCAGCGAATCTCTCTGTTAGAAGAGAGGCACACCACCTACCGGATTTCGCTTTTGGAAATGAGGTTAAACCGTTGACCGATGAGGTGATCCATGTCCGCGACAGGATACACACAAGCGCAGGCAAAAAAAGACTATTGTTACATGAAGAAGGAAATGCAGCAATGAAGGGGTGAGATAGATCCGAGTTTGGAGTGGTGGTAATTGGTGAGAAGTGGAAGACGAGAGATGTAGAAAGAGAGAAGAGGAAGAAGAATTCGAGGCTGCGCTGGGGATCGAAGGTTACGGTGGCTTGTAATTGAGGTTACTGCTGCTAACAAAACTGTCGGTGCGTGCCTGTGCATTTTGGAGCAGAGCAACTGCTCTTCGGCCAGTCAGTGCGACGTGAAGTGCTGCGGTTATAGCTGTATGATTCACTGTTTATTGTGCATCTGACCTTGTTATACTCCCCTGGAGTCTTGGCGATTCCTCGGGGCGGAATCCTCAAATCATGACATGACACGCGCGAATGCCCCCCCACTGCATACCGTGGTATTTACATTCAATCTTCATTCTCACCCAGAGACCGCACCTTCCAATTCAGCGGTTCTTGTGGTTGCCAACAAATCATGTCCTTCAATACCGCTTCCAATGCAGGGAACTTCTTTCAGACAGAGTGAGTTGTGGGGGAACGGCCGCCGAAACTCCACGTACTGATTCTGTTCGCTCAGCACTTCCTTGGCCGAGAACGATCGAAAAGGCCGTAAGGCAGCCAACACCCTCGGCGACCCTGTCAGATTCTCTTCTAAGCTATTAGATGTCGAGGCCAATTACTTCTTTGATGACAGTGGGGATGTAGTCTTCGTTGCGGAGGCTTCAGGGTCGGTCACCGGCCTCCGTCTGTCTACCAATGAAATATCATCCACTCCCAGAGGACCACAGGCACCTCTGACCAGCCTTGCCTATCATGCCACCAAAAGTACTTTAGATCCTTTTACAACCATGTACATTTTTGCCGGCTGCTGGGATAAGTCGATATGGAGGTATACGTTCCGATTTGCAGACGAGACGACACAAGGTCGACAAGTCACCGAACACACGAGTTTCCCCGCCCACAGAGACTTTGTCAAATGCCTGCTTGTCGCTCGCACACCCGACGGGCGGGACATACTGATTTCAGGCGGCACAGATGGAGACATCCGGTTTTGGACCTTGGACGGTCAATCGTTGGGTTGGCTCAAGCCTAACTGCCGGGGCATTGAATGCATCGTACTCGATCCTCTGTCCTCGCCCGACTCACCCGTGGTGATGTTTTCCACCTCGAAACAGGAAATCTTTTTCTTTACATTACCGGATTCGACTGATATTGCGTCGGGCAAGCTGGGACTCTCACCGCCTCTCCTAGTGCACGAAACAGGTGTCTACCAGTTACACTTCGACGATGACGGCGATCTATGGACCGCGTCTGCAGACAACACCGCGAAACATCTCTCGAGAAACGACAATTGGAATGTGGACACGACCTTGGTGCATCCGGACTTTGTGAGAGACGTCGTCACCCACGACACGTACGGTTGGGTAATAACGGCATGCCGCGACGAAGAGGTTCGCGTATGGAACAAAGCAACGGGACAGCTTCACCATATCTTTACCGGACACTTCGAGGAGGTGACCCGTCTTTGCCTGGTAAATGACTTGCTTATTAGTGTAAGCATTGACGCGACGCTGCGTAGATGGAGCCTTGCCCCTACAGATTTGGAGAAGGCCGTACAGGAGGCCAAGCAGCCCAGGCCACTTGAGCAGGAGCCTGAGCCTGTGACTGAGTTGCCCATGCTGACCGAAGAGGAAGAAGCCGAGCTACGAGCATTGATGGAGGCGGAAGAGGAGGAGATGCTAGACAAGATGGCGAGAGATGAGCAGTGACACTACCAATTTGTACTGCTGTGGTCCGTCCCCAGTTCCTCCTGCGGAGTCGAGCCTTATCAGTTCCAGCCTAATCACGTGCTGGTTCCAGCTGATTAGATAAGCGCTTATCTCTCAACTTGATATCGAGTCGACGCTGATTGGCTTCTCGACAACTTCCCGCTTTTCCCAGTCGCAACCAGTATTGATTTCTCTGCTTCTTGTTGTCAAGAGGAAAAGAAAATCTCTGCTGTACACTCAGTTTCCTGTCTGGCCACTTATCATCGCATCTCTCGAATAGTGCAGGATCCTCGTGAGAGTCTGGCCCATCCTCGACACATCGCCCGCTTTCCTGCATTAGCCGGTCTCTGCCGATCACTGGGGAAGACTTTTCACAGCCTTGCACAGACCAGGCCGATTCTTTCCTCCTCAATTCTTTCAATTCAACATCTTCCGGCAATTCTAGTCAGACTTGTTCTCTCACATTTTCCCTCAACTGTCCTAGCTGTGCCATCGGAGATCTTGAAATCTCCATAGATCATCTGGTCCGATGGGCTACGAGGAACCCGATCTTGTATTGCAAAATGCCCTTGCAAATAGCGCATCGCCTTATGTGAGAATTCCACCGTCGACTCCATGGTCAACACTGACAGCATACAGCTTCGAGCGCACAAGGACAACCCGGTAGCATGGCAGGAATGGTCGGAGCAGACTATTTCATTAGCCAAGCGGTATCAACGACTCATATTTCTGAGTATTGGCTATAATGCGTGCCATTGTAAGTAACCCCATTACGACCGATATTGCTTACGCTCACATATCATGCGCAAGGGTGCCATGTCATGGAACGCGAATCATTCAGTTCTCCTGAAGTCGCCGCTCTACTCAACAAGTCCTTCATCCCCATCAAGGTGGACCGGGAGTGCCGCCCTGATCTGGACGACATTTATATGAGTTATGTCACCGCGACGACCGGATCCGGAGGCTGGCCACTGAATGTCTTCCTTACGCCCGATCTCAAACCCGTCTTCGGCGGGACATATTGGCCGGGGCCGTCACAAAGCACGAATCTCCAGCGATTGCCTTCTCAGGACGAACTTCCCCTGACATTCCTCGACATCCTACACAAGATGCAAGAAGTCTGGACGACGCAACGCGAAAGGTGTCTCCAATCATCTTCCGACATCACTGCTCAATTACTCGCATTCGCAGCAGAAGGGACCCATTCGCAATCCAGTGAATCGGTCCGCGACGCCGGACCAATGCAGACAGACGAACCGGAACCGATCGAACTCGATCTCCTCGACGACGCTCTGAACCATTTTATATCACGATATGACTCGACACACGGCGGGTTCAGCGCGAGTCCGACCTCGCCCAAATTCCCTACCCCTTCCAACCTCACATTTCTCCTGCGCATCGGCGCGGCCATCGCCCAACCTTCGACGCACACGCGTTTTGGCTTCTTCAGCCCTGTCCCCGGAATTCTAGGGCGAGACTCGTGTCTCCAGGCCGCATCCATGTCTCTACACACCCTACTGGCCATGTCGCGGTCCGGCCTCAGAGATCAGCTGGGCTATGGATTCCACCGATACAGTGTGACACCGGACTGGAATCTTCCTCACTTTGAGAAGATGACGTGCGACAACGCGCAGCTCCTCGGCTGTTACTGCGACGCGTGGGCACTCGGGCGCGACCCCGAGATCCTCGGCACCATCTATAATCTCGTAGAATACTTCACGAACCCGGATTCGCCCATCGTCCGGCCCGGCGGCGGCTGGTACGCCAGCGAAGACGCCGACTCTCGACCGACACTCAGCACGCTGGCGAACGGCGTGACGGACGACAAGAAGGAAGGCGCGTTCTACGTGTGGACATTCAAAAAGCTCGAATCCATCCTCGGCGAACGAGACGCGGCCATCATCGCCCGCCATTTCGGCGTCAAACCGGACGGAAACGTGCCGGCGCAACACGACCTGCACGACGAATTCCTCAGTCAAAACGTACTACACATCCAAGCCACGCCGTCGGTGCTCGCCAAAGAATTCGGGCTTGCCGAAGACGAGATTGTGCGCGTGATTAAGAGCGGACGCGCCAAACTCCTGGAATACCGCAAGACCAAACGCGAGCCTCCAGAGGTCGACACCAAGACGATCGCCTCGTGGAACGGGCTTGCAATCGCAGCCCTCGCGCGCGCGGCCAACACACTCGCCACGATCGACAAGCATCGCGCAGCACGGTGTCAAGAAGCCGCCGAGCGAGCGGCCGCATTCGTGCATACGGAAATGTATAATTCCACGACAGGGAAATTGGTCCGGGTTCCAAATACCAACACTCCTTCTAACAACGACAACAATGCATTCGTCGATGACTATGCATATATGACACTCGCCAACCTCGCCCTCTACGATCTCACTCTCTCGCAACCGTATCTGGATTGGGCCGTCCAATTACAAGGGTACCTCGACGCGCATTTCAAGGACGACACCACCTCCAACAACGGCGGATACTACCAGGCCGAACCGTCCGGTGAACAGATCATCCGGCTGAAACCGGGCACGGACAATTCTCTCCCGTCGCCCAACGGCGTCATCTGTTCGAACCTGCTGTATCTGTCGTCCTACCTGCTCGACCGACAGGCCGAGTATCTCGCCAAAGCGCGCGCCGTGCTGGCTGCATTCGCGGTGGAGATGATCCAGCATCCTTTCCTCTATGTCACGCTGCTGTCGGGCGTGGTGATGGAGCAGGTGGGCATCAAGACACTCATTGCGCCGATGACGATGCGCGACAGCCAGCTTCGGAGATTGAAGGGATACGGGCGCACGGTGGTCAGAGGGTTCGTTCAGGATGTCATGATCTGTACGAGGGAAGGGGTTTGTCGGCCGCTCAAGCAAAGTGATTTGGAGGATGTTGACGACGACAACGATGATGTGGCGCGTGAGGGTGGAGAAGGTGATGTCGCGGGTTCGACTGAGGGCTTGTTGAAATCGAGGACAGCGATTGCGGCATAGATCGTGTTACGACTTGGATTGGATGATGGTCGGCTATCGTCTATATACGTGAGGTTGGCAGGTCGTCTACATGGGAGACCTTGAATTGGGAGGCTGGCAGATGGGGCTTGCAACTTTGTTGCAACAACCTAGTCAGGTGTTATTGAAGTTACGCGGGCTAGATGGGTGTTTTGCTTTGGCTCTACTTCATTCCTGCAGTGGTTGGGGCCAATGTTATGACATGTTGAAGATCGGGGAGTATTGCATTGATAGTGGTACTGTCGTATGTTATGTATGCTATCTTAGATATCTGAAGCACCTAGTACCTCAGGTAGTTCTTGTAGTTTATGCTGAGCAACCCTATGTCACTATTTATCGTATGCGTTTTCTTCTATCTAGTCTGTCATAATTTCGTCGACATCGTGGCAGCAACAATTGGCGCGGATCTGTCTCATTTTGGAGAGCTTTAGGGCTCTCGCATTTGCTCAACTGACCCAGGAACGCTCCCTTCTTCGTCCATGTCATAGACGGGGGTAAAATGGTAGAGATATTGGCATTGGTAAGTCGTCAGTCATGGATCGTCATGGAGGTCGTCATTGTAAGTTCTTTCGGCGAAGACTATATCCTGGCCACTTTATTCGAAGACAGTGCATTCGCGATGCCAGGTAATAAAGCAGCGGGAGCGGAGGTAATTGTGTCTTGAGGTAGCAATGTCCCACCAAGGCTGAGTTCTAGGGATTGGGAAAAGGATTCGGTTGACCAGGCAATGTCAACCCCCCAATGCGAAACCAGTTCAGACCCCAAGCCATAGCCAGCTCCTCGAGACAAGTCTCAAGATTCCGCTGCACATCGACCAGTCGATCATCTGGGTTAGTAGTGACCGGTCTCAGGTCTGGTCGGTATACCTTGACAGCGTAGAATTCTAGCATACTGCGTACGATATCGGCTGTCTTCTGGTCAGCAACGGGCAGGAAGTCCAAGCATATAGGCAGGGTTGATAGAGCCACTTACGGCGGAATTGCAGTTCTTTGAATTCCAGCACTGTTCTTGGGAAATCTGGGTGGACTTCCCACACCTCTTCGTGCCGGATGAGCATGGTAGGGTCTTTGTCGTCTTTCAGAGGGTTCGCGCCTCTTCTCTTCAACAGCCGTTCTCGTTCGGCTTCGACCACCCGTTTTGTCTCGGGTGTGAGGGCAGTGATGGGTGTGATGGCATGCTGAGGTCGCCAGGCCAGATTGTTTTTGCTTTTTGCTTCGTGGTTCTTGACTCGCTCTTCGATGATGGCTAAGCGGAACCCGATTCCTAGCGTGGATCGGTTGTTTTCGCGTGATAGAAGCTCGGTCTGGAGGACTTGGAAGATACTGAGGCCTCGGTCCATGCCAGGCGATCTAGATTGAAAGTTGGGCTGGAGCTGGCGTCGATGAGCGCAGGCATGCTGGATAGAAATCGAACCAGCCTGCGTCAGGAAAGATGAAGACAATCTACCCACGTGTCCATTCACTGGTGTCGTCTAGAGACGCAGCGAGGACTTGAGCTTGCAGCTGTTTGTCGGTTGGCGTTGGTTGGCAGACGTCATCAGGCATTGGCTATAACCTGTGTAACATGAATGAATTAATGGAAGACGGTGGACATGACTTCTTCTCAGAGCATCTCCTTCAACACTGAGGTTCAAAAGGACCGGAACAGCTGGTCCCTGGGCTTGAGGTAAGATACGACCAGATTTCCTACGTAGGTACCGCTCCTGTCGACCATCTGGGTCTTGAATCGTCAGGTCACTTACTAAGGTAGTAGGTATTTTTAGGTACGAAGTATCACGTAAGGTAAGTAGTAGTAAATGGGGTATCACATGATCGTCGGGGAAACTGCGGCTCAATCAGGACGTTGGAAACTGCGGGGGAGGGGATAATTTCCTAACGGTCGGTGATGAAGAGGAGCAGGAGCCGGCATCATTCTGATGAACTTGATGGACTTGAACCTGAACGTCAATTATTAATGGACATTCAGTTTGACACGCTTGTCACGACCCAAGAACAGCTGGACGGCGTTTCCTCAACACCATGTCCTCACGCGAGGTCCGCATAGGCTACGTGCCAGAACACTACCTCCTCCCTCTCCATTTCTGCAACAAGCACAACCTCTTTCCTCCCTCCGTCCAGATAACACTCGTACCGTTCCTTTCCGGCACAGGACATATGATCACATCGCTCCGCTCGAAAGAGATCGATCTCGCAATTGGATTGACCGAAGGATGGGTCGCCGGGCTACTGAACCCGGACATGTACAACAAATCGCCAGAAGAGAAAGGATACTCAATAGTCGGGTCCTGGGTGACGACGCCCCTTCGCTGGGCCATCGTCACAGGTCGCAATCGCGACAACATAAAATCCGTGGACGATTTGAAGAGCCATCGGCGAGTGGCCGTCAGCAGAATTGGAAGTGGAAGTCATGTCATGGCATTTGTGCTTGCGCAGCAAGAAGGCTGGCTGCATCAGACAAAGGACTCGAAGTCAGAAGGATTGACCATCGTGCCGCTCGGTCCGTTCAAAGACCTTCGAGACGGAGTGACGAGCTCAGCAGCCGATTTCTTCATGTGGGAGCATTTCACGACGAAACCATACTTTCATGGCGAAGATACTCCCCTCAAAAAGATTGGCGAGATTTATACACCGTGGCCCAGCTGGCACATTGCTGCATCCCGTTCGAGCTTCCCCGACCCGGCCAATGACGATACCTTGAAGCAGATCTTCAATTCGTTGGATCAAGGCATCCAGGCCTTCAATGCTGACACAGAATCGGGGATCCGTATGCTCAGTACTGGCGAGGCAGGCTGTCATTACTCAGAGGAGGATGGGAGAGAGTGGTTGAAGGATGTCCAGTTCGTCCAGGGCACACGGGGGGTTGATGTTGGTGTCATGGGTGGAGTGGTGAGTGTCTTGAAGACCGCCAGCGTTATCGGTCGTGAGGTCAGCATCAAAGACGGAGATGGCGTGGTTGGTGTTGCGAGGTAGAGCAGACCTGTGACAAAAGCATGGGCACGAAGGAGACATTCACATACAGTCTCGTCGCCCATCTGGTGTATGGTTCTGAGGGCTTTGGTGGGTGGACTGCACCAGCCTTGTGTCACTTCTCCTCATCCTTAGCAGGCGATTTATTCATTACCTGCCCTGGCCATAATGGTAGGCTTCTCAGGGCATATTCTACGCCGAAGTTGCCCTTTGAAACAGGATATCAAAAGCGCTCAATGCCTTCAGTGCAACCAGAGTCATAAGAAGATTCTGTCTCTTTTGTTTGCTGTGTATGAAGGCTGGAATGGTAGCAGATGAACATGATGGGGAAGCATACCTACCTTAGTTCTCACCAGAATGAGCAAGTTAAGAAGATGAAGGGTATCCAGGCTGAAGCGCTGGGCGTGCCCTTGCCTCTGGGGGCCCTATGCTCCTTAGGTCCTTAGGCCCTTAGGCTGCGTAATCGCAATTTAGGCATCAAACTTGCCCTTAGAACCCATTTTCGGCCCCTAAGCCCACCTGCGCTCAATAACTGTTGCCTGCGCGCCCTCCTGCGCCTCTGAAGTCTGAACTTCTTTTGCTTTACTTCCATATGTCTATTACAACGACGTACTTGATCACAGCTGCTGTTGACAGCATTGAAAGCGCTCGCTACGAAGAGAAGGCTCCCTGTCAATGATCGTCTGATCCTGCTTAATACGGATCGCAGGTTGATTGCTCGACTTGCTGACCCGTTGTCAAACTCTTCGGGTTGGCAGGCCGCCTCAGCTCCTCTCTCTCTACAAAGTACGATCGATCCGGGCTGGCCGGGAATCTATCTGATTTTCCCTTCTACTTCCGTCAGCAAGCCGACACGGGCGAGCCTTTACGCCTTGACCTCCTTTATTTTCCTCTGCTTCTTCAAGAGTCAATAATACGACGCCACAACCGACCATAACTGCCTCCGCCGGCTCCCTTTTCCCGTCTGACCACTCTCGTCCTTTTCCAAAATCGATCGCTACAAGCTGACAATCCTTGAAGAATCAATCACCAGTCATCCGTTTCATCGCCATCGCCATCGCCATCCCCTTCGCCATCGCTGCTGAGATCTATCACACCGTTTCCTTCTCCAACCACGACTATGATGGCACTCTCTCGCCATCTCCGATAAGATAATCAGAACAATCCTCAGATCAGCCATGACTCCCCATTCCAATAACCCTTCTCCCAGCGTCGGGCAGCCCACACCCCCCGCGGTCCCTCCATCAACAAACGCCACTACAACAGCAAATACCAACGATTCCGACAGCGCCAGTAGTCCCGAGGAACGTCCAACCCATACTTCTGAGATTGGAACCCTTAAAAAGCTGTCCACTCAGGGCACCGCCTGGTTGGGGAGTTCGTCTGGAGTCTACTTTGTCAACACTGTCCGGCAGGCATTCTCCGCCGCGTTTGCTTCTTCCAATTCCGGCGGGCCCAACGCTGTCCCCGCGAGCGAAGATATCTTGACCGGCGAAGACGCGGAAGGCCGATCATACAATGGACCTCTACACGAAGGTCCGAGTGCAACTGACCAGTTTCCGCAACTTCTCTCGTGCGCGCTGGGGAAACCACCGGACAAGAAAATTGCCATTGAACTCGTCATGTCGTTCTTCACAGCATGGCATCCTCTATTTCCATTCCTCCATGGCCCCACCTTTCTGAAGGACATGGAAGTGATCTATGCCAGCCAGGGTCGGTCGCCAAAGACGGCCAAAGAGAATCCATCTGCAAACGAGCTCAACAAACTCATCACTTTCCAGTTGATCATCAATATTGCATCGCTCGACCGAACCGATATTCATCTTCCCATGGAATCACGCATCAAATCCACTGCTGATGTAAGCCGTGTAGCCGGCTGCCTGGCTTTGCTCCATGATCTATCCACCATCCAAGCCATCCTTGCGGCCGAGCTCTATCTTTGTGCCACCCTTGCCATTCGACAAGCCAGCACGGTCGCCGGCATTATCGTCAAGCTGATCTACCATGCCGGCCTCCACCGTTGTCCCCTACGCTACGCTCAACTGTCGCTAGAAGAATGTGACATTCGAAAACGCATATTCTGGTCTGCCTATGCTCTAGACCGACATTGCAATTTGAGCCTGGGTGACCCCAACATCATTCAGGATGACGATATCGACGTCTGTCTTTCTGGCCCTGAGCTCCACAAGGCCGGGGGCCGGGACATGATTTCCAATGCCAATATGGGCATGCCTATGCCTCCACCCCGTATGCCCTCGGACGATCCTCGATTGGCAGAGCAATACGACGATTCACCGGAAGCACGAGAGAGACGCATCAGGGAAGCGGCATTGACGGCATACGTGCAATGGTCGAAGTTGACGGGCCAGATCATCGAAATCTTCCACAAGAGCATTAATCATCGCTTTCCTAAGCACGAGCAAATTCTGCGTCTAACAAGCGATATCGAAACCTGGTGGAATAATCTTCCTGGCTTCCTGACCGGTGAGACCGATCAGCTCGATCTTCAGTGTAATGCCTATGAACCTGTTGATGGAGGTGTCAAGGCATCTGCCGCCAACTCAACCACTGCCCCCGGTGGGCCAAACTCATCCAGCGAACCCCCCTTTCTGCCTCCTCAACAACACCTGGCTAGCTTTTTCAAGATTCTGTATCATCGACTTCTCTTGCTGGTTAATCGTCCACGTCTGTCACTCGACCAGTCAACTCCGGAGTTTCAACATGGGCTTCAGCTCTGCATCCGAGCGTCCCGAGGGATCGTTACCGGTCTGAAATCTCATAGAGCTCACAGTCAGTCAATGTTTCTCCCAGGCCTGCTTTCCGCGGTGTGGATGTCTGGCCTGATCATTGCCTTTGCATGCCAGCTCGGGAAATATGCCAAAGCTCGAGCGCTCAGTGACATGCAATCCTGTCTGTCCATGCTCGAGAGCATGAATCTGCGCTGGTACACGGTTCAGAATTGTCATAAAGTACTAAGTTTGTTGCTGGACAATATTCAGTCGCGAAAGGCCAACAGCAGTGGCTTCCTCACCGTCCCGAAGCCCGAGCATGCGCCTCATTCCATGACGCACGACTTCGACCAGGCACAGCCTACTTCGAGAAAACGACCACGGACAGGGGGCGCCGAAGACGCCAGTCCTCGAAAATCGTCCATCACAGGCTCCGTGTCAGGGTCGCCGGTCCAACAACACTCAACAATGGCTGGTGGGGCCGGCCAACTCCCCAGGTCGAAACGACCGAAACAACCATCTACCTCTGGGAGCACGCCGTCCTGGGCGGCCTCTACTACCTTCGATCCCACCAATTCTTCCGGGTTCGCCGGCATGCCTGGCGGACAACCGTCCAGCTTCGACTTCTCCAACTGGGACCGCGGCCAACCTACCACTCAACCGCACTACAACCTCGGAGTCGGCAGCGCCGTGTATGCGACGCCTCAAGACCTGGCGTTCGCCCGGTCGACCATGAACATGGCTTTTCCTGGCGCCAACAATACGGCCAATGGCGACATGGCCGGCGGCAACAACAACAACAGCAGCACCGCGAATACCGGTATGCAGGAGTACTCGGACCCCATGTTCTGGGGAAATATGGACTACAACGTCGCCGACATCTTTGGCTCTGCCAGCTGGGAGAACATGACCGGTCCGTTCGCGCCTGGTGGTGGCGGCGTGAATGGCGGTTGGGAGTTTTGATTTCTCCTGTCGATCAAAGGTCGATTTGGTTCCTACCTCAGAGCTGTTGCGGCAAGCAAAGCTCCGGACTTGTTGGATAAGATAAGAATAAGAGGGAAGGGGAGGGGAAGGAAACGAAAAAGCATCTATGTGTCTTGAGAATTCCTAAGAGTTAAGTGATACCCACGGTTGTTCTGGTATATATTTTTGAGTCTGGCTGCGCTTTGAAGGATATAGGTACTACGTACTGCCTTGAGCCTACTTAAGGTACCTTACCTTGTCTATATATGATCTATGTATTGGATACTAGTACATTGCATGATTGGCCCGTTTGAGCTCTGGGGCTAGTACCCTTGCCTTTGATCCTCTCCCACTGTCGCAACAGCTGTGCTCTGTAGACTATTCTATCCTATGTATAGCCTTCTCTTTTTGGGTAAATGTCCGCTGCGAGTGGTCCCCATATAAATGGAAGTTGAACTATACCGAGAATACTGCCCTGTCTGAAGCTAACATGTACCTCAGTATATTGATATGTCAAGGTCACAGAAAGTGTACTAATTGCTTTCGATAGAGGTAGAAATAACAAGCTACCTTACCTAGTACCTGCCTACTCTCTTGTGACTAGGTACCCGATTTTTGTTCTTTCTGAGAACTACCTAAGATAGACAGGTACATAATATATACATTGTAGTACTACAGATAGGTACGTACAGTAGTTAGTTATATGTGTCTTAATATTAGTACCAATATAGTAAATATGTGTTTAGCATGACTCCACGCCTTAAAGGATCTATGTATAGGTAGCAAGAATGTTTCTCGGGATTCGGTATCAAAGTCGATATCCGAACCATACCATGCCATGCCATGCCATAAGCTAGACTGAAGATTGAAAGAAGAAAAGGATTCAAATTCAGATACCAGCCCAAGGGTTTGGGATTTGAGATATGTATCTATCAACCGCAAATGAACCAAACACGGGCTAGCATAGGGGGTATCTCTCTATTATATATATGTGTGTATGTGTAATTCACCAAAATAGTCGTCGCTGGAAATCATTCGCAAAGAATCCCGTATCGATCTCCATAGGACCACTGTCAACGGCCGTTGTTGTCGATGTCGCCGTTGCGGTTGCGCGGCCCACACCCGTGCTCGGAGACAATCCTGGTCCCGTCACCAGCCCGGGCATGGAGGTGCTTTGTGATTGAGACTGCTGCTGCTGCTGCTGCTGCGCCCAAGAGGTGGAGTCGGCAAAGTTCTGGAGAAGAAGGGCTTCGGCACTGATGCCGACACCCATATTCACACCAATTCCCATGTCGGAGTCCGAGATACCATTATTCGCGGTGTGATTTGTAGTGTTGTTGGGGTTGTTGCTGGTCGAAGGTAGAGGAGAAAATAGGGATAAAGACTGCCAGCTCGGCTGGGGCTGTTGTAGTGACTTGGAGTGTGTGTGCGAGTGTCGTTGGCTATGTTGTTGCATGGATGACGATGATTCGTTGGCCGTGGTTGTGGTTGTGGCCGTGGTCATGGGGATCGATTGTTGAGAATGTGTATGTGAGTGTGAATTTGAGCGTTGTTGCGGTACGTTGACAGGAGTAGTTGTTCCACTGCGGTATGATGAGTCGGAGCTCATGGACCGGTACGGAGCAGAAGTAGAGCCGGTAGCAGAGTGGGAAAGTGAATGTGAATGCGCCTGGGCCTGACTATGGCTTTGTCGATTGGGGCCGACGGACCCGGCTCTCGATTGGCTTCCTGAGGCCCTGTTCAGGGCATGTCGAACGGTCGATGAGCGCCGCTGTTGAGAGTGAGAGTGTAGATCGTCACCGGAGCTGCTGAACATCGACTGATGAATTGAGGATAGTGGTTGATTAGAGTGCATGGCGCAATCTTGTTGCCATTTTCGAATGTTCTCGGCTGTATCTAGGGGAAACGAATCCCAGTAATCTATTCCGGTCTTCTTGTTTAAGATTGGTGGACTCGTTCGCATTGTACGAGGTGTCGGGGATTCAGAGTCTCGCGACTTTAGGCCCATCATGTTTGTCTTTTGTGCGTCGGCGTTGAGGGATTCAGTGGCCAGGTTCAGTTGTTCGGGGGTCACAAGGGGGAGGAGAGCGAGGAGGAGTGACTCGGCTTCGTGGAGACGGTGTTCTAAGCCCTCGATGTAGCCTTTCGCTGGGCCTCTGGACAAGCATAAAGATCAGCGCAAGGCTTCCAGACATATAGGAGGATGAGAAGAGAGTCAGACTCTCTGCCCAACAGAAGGGGCAAAGCTCACCTTTTTCTTTGCTCGGGCCATGTACATTGCATACCGGCAGCTGCACATTGTGCGCATCCTGACCTATTGCAGAACGTCAGTATCTCGTCAAGTCGGGGTCTGAGGACAATATGGAATGCAGAAGACAGGAGAAGAGACAACTGGCTTGCGTTGCGCAAGTCGGCACACTGTTCTCAAAGGATTGTTCAATGAAGTGTGGACAAGATATGACCGCGATTGGTGGTTGTGCTGGCGTCGAGTCGTCCCAAACCTCAGCTGCAATCGTTGTGCCAAAACGATTTAGCCGTCCGCGTGGACTGTACGCTGGAGAACATCTGGGGTAGACATGATCCAGCAACCAGGAGATCGGGTATAATAAGATCGGGAATTCCCCTCGAGGTCGGATTGTGTTTACTTTGAAGAAAGTGAGGTTCAAACTTACTTATCACCACTGCACTGTTGATCAATATCCGTTAGCATGGCTTCTTTTCCCCATATTGAAAAGGCATGGTAAGTTGCAAAGGTATGATTTTCTCTTTCCACACTCACTGGCAAGGTGCCAGAAGGATCATGGTATCATATTCCTTGAAGTCTGATGGTCCGGTGACAGTGTGCTTACCTTCTGTTTCTTCGTCCGGCACCCATTACAGGCGCCACTTATGCGTGATGGCATTTTGATGAAGGAAACTTCAGAAGATATTCCTCCCACGTCGCAATGATGAACACAATCAAATTGTGCTAATGGGTCGTCGGTGGCTGACACAAATTGTGCTCGGACAGATGACTGTTGGTTGATTAAGGTTCCGGAGGTGAATAACCCTGGATAATGGTCGAATAGGGTATGCGTACAGACGAATGGTACTTTGAAGCTTCTTGACTCGGCGAATGAAGCTGACTAAGGATGTTTTCGCCAGCTGACGGTTTGACGAATGTCCCAGCGGATTATGGCTTGAGCTTTCGCGAGGATACCACCAGCAAAATATTCGCTCTGAGCTTCAATTCAGTGAATGCGTGCCTAAGTGATTGGAGCAATGATTGCTGGCGCGGCGATGTGCTCTTCTGCTGGTCGGATGTATGGATACAGCGACAACTGTTTATGTTGTTGGTGCTGGTGAGGGGATCACAATAGACGTCGCCACTGACGAAGGTCAAGGCTGCAAGGTGGCGAGTACCTGGTGGAAGGAAAAGGTCGAGGATGTCGTTCAATGAAAGCGTTTCGGTTGGCGGTCCAGGATAGCGGTCGGGTTGTCAGTGAGTGATATAGACAACTCACCCACGCCGGATTTGGAGTGTAGCTTGGAATGAATCAACGTGGACAAAGTGTTCCGCCAGTCCGTGCGATTCTTTCTGCGGACGATGACAGAGCAGAAATGAAGATGTCTCGGTATAACACCGAATGTTGATAGCCTTGTCCGTAAGGTGGGAATAGTTCAACCGCCGCAGGGTTCAGATGTAGTTCCGGGCAATGCTTAGCACCCAGGTTAGAATCGTATCTGGCTAGCTCACGACAGGCACAACAGTTCAGGTTGCCAGGGACCGTTCGAATGCCTGGGGTCAAGTCTGGAGAAACTGCAACAGCCAGAGACGTTGCGTCGTAGGGGTTTCGGTGGCTTGGAAGTGAGAGAAAATGCGCGCGCGCTCGTGGTCCAGATGCCTGCTGAAACTAGGATGGGTGTGAGATGCCAACAGCCAACCGAGGTGCTGGGATTGATCGAAGTAGGTGAATAGGAGGCAACGCAGGCATATCCCCTACTGCATACCCGCTATACAAGGTACCGGGGCGTTCCAACCAAACAGCGACTGCGAGACAGTATCCGGACTTGTTAACTGTCCAAGGATTGCAAGCTCGGCGCGATCCTGAGATGGATAATCGACTGGATCGGCTAGGGAGATGCAGGTCTCGAATGCTGACTGAGTTCTGGTCTGAATAGATGGTGTGTGGAAATCGAAACGGACTAATGCTGACTCGGGGGCCTGTGTAATGTGTACGTGTGATTGTTCCGCTGGCGTCGATTGGCGGTATGATTTTAGTGGAAGATCAGAAGGCAAGCGAGAAAGATGGCGGAATGACTGCTATCTCAGCAAGTCCCTTGAGAAATTGGAAGTATGATCCTGGACGTTGATGCAATCGAATAGATTGTAGAATCCAAGGATCGAGATGATGAGCTGAAGTTGCAGTTGTAGTGCAGCACAACGAACGAGGGACAAACTGCGCCCGGCACAACGTTCTGCCGGATGCGGAAATGACATCGACCGTCGAACACCTCGAGTTTTCAACACTGCAGTCATTCAACTTGCGCCACCGTCCATCGCTTCCAATCCTGTTAGAGTCACCAGAATCCCGATGTCTATGTTATGTTACTGTTAGTCGACCGCATTTTCTTTCTTTCCTACACTTCTGTTCAACGGGTGCCGAGCTATGGCCGTCGCAGTCCTTCCGCCCGCGACTCGAAACATGATGTACAGAGTAGATGGGATATTGGGACGTCAAAGCGGCCGTGCAGTCTGGGTCCACAGAGTGTAACAGATCAAACGTCAAGAATTGATACGGTCGATCCGGCCGGATGCAACGGTCAGAGTGGAATGGCAGATTTGCAGATTTCCTGACACAATCAAACGGCATTTTCACCCCGAGACAAATCGACGATGAATTGGATGTGGCAGTGGCACCGAGATTCTTGAAGCGGGCCTCGTCTGCCACAAATACGAGACATGGCCTATGGCTCATGGACGATGGATGATGTATCCGCAGCAGACTTTTCATCGTCCAAGATCAGGGGTGATACTATCATTGTATCTGAGGCCGCTCTGACCCACTGACAAGGCTGATACCAACAGTGCGTTATCGCCTTCGCCCTCTCGTCACCTCGTCACCTCGTCGCTACTACAATAGAGTCAACGCATCGAGCAGCGACAAGTAGCCCTACCGTGAACCTTTGAGACCCAGGTCTCTATGTACAACCGCAGCCTTGCTGGCTTTGGCACCGTCGCAGCGGCAGGGCTGGCAGGACCGTGTCTAGACTTCCGCAGGCTAGCGACCGTTCAAAAGAGAGTGAGGTTGAATCCTGCGTCGGGCAGTGGACACCCGTCACCACGTGGGGCCTCCTGGCTCTCACGTTCCAACCGCATGGAAATCCGTCATATTCTCAGGCTAGAACCACGGGGAAGATAGCGGGACGATTGTACGGTCGAAGGACCACCCGAACATCGTGCGCCATAATAGCTTGTATTCTTGCCAATACCTGCGTAGGCCTCTCCTAACCATCAAACAAGCATTTTGTGATGGATGAGCATGGTCCCAACCTGTTGGCGTACGAATGCGAAGCCTAAAGTGAACTCTGCCTTCGTAGTGCACAGCATTCGTGGTCCATTGTGGTAATCGCGTCCCATAGACATCTCGTACTGTACACTGGCAGGAGTCGATTGGCGCCCGGATGACCAAGCAGCGCCCTAGCACCGTAGCACCATCAGATTTCTTCTCGTAAACAGGATATCCATATCCGTGGCCTGTAAGTCGCAAATGATGGACAGTGGAACTACAAGAGTCATTATAGAAATGATAAATCGCAAGGTCATTGGCCGGCGAAACGATCAAGCGAGCGATGTTCCAAAACGGTTCCGTCTTCCATGGCTCCGCCGATCGGATCTGATTTTCCGCCGCAGCCCGAATCTCAGGGGTAACCCGCTGGCACAAGGCTGAGAGGTTGAATGTTGAGCCTCGTGATGGGTTTCGACATCATAGTGTAACCTCTGCCATACTAGTACTGCATCATCTCGTATTGCAGATTAGACCTCAGATCGTGGTCTGATCCCGCCAGGTGGTAATTGTACACTCATATGTCATCCTGTAGCGGTTTGACTGCAGGTTGATGTCATGTGCAATTCACGGTTTGCGATAGGTCTCGACGCTATTGGCCGTATGTACCACTCTTCACAGTCCTCGGGTAGGCACCCCATTCGCACGGTCAGGCCTGACCTCGCTCAACCAAACAACCCAGGTTTGCCGGTGGTGCTCATCGGGATATCGACCCCCACTGGCCCTTCGCCATACATGTAATATTGGAATCCAAGATAACAGTCACAGCAGGCCTGGAACATGCCGCATAGTCGGAATGGCCACGGGACATACTCGCTGCTGAGAAAGAAGTAGCTCATCTTCATGGCATCGCCCGCGAGCCAGTTGGCGATGACCGACAGCCGGAAGCCCTTGCAAGAGCGCGCTCGATGGTTTTGGATAATCTGAGGCACCGGCAGGATCGCCTCCACGGTCAGACCGAAATACCCCAGAAAGGATATGTATGCGGGCGATCTAGACACAAAAGGAAGTAAGACGTGGATGACGAGAAGTCCGGAAGCGAAATATCCCAGAAACTGAAAGTATCTAGGGGCGAGTATCAGCAGATGCGCAAGCTCATGTATCCTCAGACCTGACGTACGACTTCGGGTTGGACCATTGCCAGAAGTCATATGGCCGCCGACCGGACAGCAGATCTCTCAGGCCGTCTTCAGCCGTATAGCCATGGAAGGGTGTATGTTCCGGCCCGTCTCTTGCTCCTGTAGGCGCCCTGTTGTCCAGAGCCACCTTCAACAGTATAAGTTGGACCACAATCATAAGCGCGGCCTGCAATAGTAGGGCCTTGTCGTAGTAAGCGCCAAACCAGTAGAACACCCTTCCCAGTTCTGTCAGTGTTCAGGCCCAGACAACAAAGGGTGGGCAGAGCGCACTTGAGGATCGACGCCACCAGCATGATGAGAGGGATATCGAGGGAAAAGCCATCGCTCGACTTCTTGCGATGGATGGACGCTATCTGGTCGGCGTAAGACGTGACGGGAGACGCAACGAGACTGTAGACGTCGGTCAGTTCCGCCGGCATCGATATTCAATTTGCAGAGCTCACAAAAGGGGCGCGAAATAGTCGACGACAACCGTGAGGAGCCCCAACATGGCTCTTAATGGATCGAGCGCTGGTAGCCCGGGTCAGCACTTTGAGGAACCGGAACGCAATAGTAATAAGGAGTCTGAATCAGATGGCTCCGAAAGCAGTAAAAGTCAGAACCACAACTCCAGAATTGTCTAGGTCGGCGCAGTCATTCTGGAGGTTCAAGTTGTCTGCTGTCGTGCGAGATCCTCAACAAACGACGCGCAGGGAAATTTCGCCGATCGTCAAGTGCTGGCGGCGGGAAGCCAATGAGCACCAGAAACAGTGCAGTGGGATCTTGCTAGCTGCGGCACCTAGACCTGGCTCCGTTAGGCGCGTGATTTCGGGTGTCGAGAGGGTCCTGGGGATCCTAGAGCCTAGTCTCTAGGGCTAAAGAGCTTAGGAGGCCCCTAAGCCTTAGCCAGCCAGGGAAACGTTCTAGGCTTTGGGGCTCCTTTACATAGGCTTGGCCGTTGCTAGAAGAACTCACCCTCCTGGGGGACCTAGGTTCCTACTACCTTCATGTAACGACACAGGCTGTTCTTGGTGTATCCAAATCACACACGACGCTGCGCATCATCTCAGGGACAGTTAGGTAGTTTAAGTACTGAGCAGAGCCATTAAAATGTCTCTTTGCTGGCCTTTTAATCAGGCTATCTTTGATTGTGTTGTACAGTTTACAAGTCAATCTTTTGACTCGAGATCCTGGGGAAAGTAATGCTCCAGGCACTCCCAATGCAAACTCCCGGACTTCGAACCACGGCCCAAGCAGCCTTGTGGCCTGACGCCGCGTGGAAAGTCAGGTCGGCAGTTGAGGTTCCCTTGTCTCCTTCTGCCACCGTGACCTCGTTGGTTGCCGACCAATCATTAGGCGCGTTGACGACGATGACCTTCTCGACCTTGACATCCGTCATAGACTTGAGATAACTGGCGGTCTTGGAGCCCTTGGTGCCGATATCAATACTTTTCAAGACTCCATCTGACAGGGTAAACCTCCGGTGAATATAAGCTCCTTGTTGGTAGTCAAATGTTTCCCCGTCGTCGACGTAGAGAGTTCCCTCGGCCTCTCCCTTCTTGTTGAGTACTACAACAAGAGTGTACGGGTCCCATTTCATCAGTCCTGAACTCTTTCGTGGCCTATCTTTCCTTGGGATAACATGCCCGCCTTGCATGAGTATGGGGATTCTGTCCAGCGGCGCATCAACCTTGTGAGTCTTCGATCCGCCAGAATAGATAGTGTAGTCGAAATAATCGAAATACTTCTCTTCATCGGACAGATAAATGTCAACACTCTCGGCTCCCTCGGCGGTGACAGGCTTGACCAATAGGCCGGTGGAACCAAGATAAAACTGATCATCTATCGCGTAGCCCTTCTCGTCTTCAGGGTGCATAAAGTACTGTGACCGGATGATGGGGTACCCGTCCGTGGAAGCTTCGTGGAAAGCGGTATACCATGCTGGAAGTAAGGCATACCTCAGTCGCAAGGCTTTCGTCATGATCGTGGTATATGGCTCTCCAAGCATATAGGGCTCGCGCCTGCGAGTATCGATGTGTGCATGTCCCCGGAAGAATGGGTAGAAGGCCCCAGCTTGATACCATCGGGTCTGTAGTTCCTTGCTGGGGTTTCCAAAAAATCCACCGACATCCGCCCCTCCGAACGGAAAGCCACTCACACCTTGATTGAGGACCATTGGAAGAGAGGCCGCAAGGTGGCTCCAACTGGCCTGGTTGTCACCGGTCCACATCGCGGCGGTCCTTTGCGAACCTGCGTAGAATGACCTGGTAAGAACGAAAGGCCGCCGCACCTCACCCTTCTTGCGCTCCAGAAGGCCTTGGTAAGTAGCATTATGGAATGTCATTCCATACAGGTTGTGCACATCCCGCTGTTCCCAGTTGCCGTGGTGAATGTTGTCCCGAGGCATGGTGATCTCCGGACCGTTAAAAACAGAGGGCTCGTTCATGTCGTTCCACAGCCAGACGTTGGACATGGTGCCCTTGAACTTGTCAAATGAAAAAAGACCCTTCCACCAAGCTCGGGCAGCAGGGTTCAAGGTATCGATCCAATAAGAGCTTCCCGGCCAACACCATCCTTCGAAGATATTGTTCTCCTTATTCTTTACGGCAAGACCTTTGCTTTTGAGTTCCTGGCCAACCACATATCCGTCCTTGTTCTTGATATGAGGATCTATAATCACCACAAGCTTGCGTTCCGTTTCGTCAAGCTGCTTCTCCATCGAAATGGGATCGGGGAATGTTAGAGGGTCCCAGGTGAAGTATTGCTTGTCGTCGGTGTATTCGATGTCCAGCCAGATGACGTCGTAGGGGATGTTGAATTTGTCAAACTTGCGGTCCACATCCTTGACATCTTCGTCGCTCACATAATTCCATCGGCATTGGTGGTATGCGATCGCGAAAGTTGCCGGTAGCTGTGTGTAACCTGTTAATTCGCCATATGACTTGGCCACATCTTTGGGTGTTGGGCCCAACATCACAAAGACGTCAAGGAGCCCGCTCTCTGACATCCAATGAGTGTGTGTATCGACGACACCGCCACTCAGACCGAGCGTCAACGGGTTGGCGCCATGCTTCGTCTTGACAATGTCTACCCAGGTTTCAGCAGCATTGAGCCAAAAGACGCCAACCGTCGACCCTTTTCTGTGAGCCTGCATGAAAGGGATCGATCCATACAGGGTCATGGGACTATCGAGCTCATACTCGAAGATATCGCTGTTGTACATCCGGTATGGCTGGTCAAAGTTTCCATCTCCGCCACGGGTTTCTTTGAGCGACAATGGCCCCGTGTGTTCTGCAAGGCCATAAACGTGGCCGTAGCCAGCAAAGGTAATATCCATTGCTACGCTCTCTGGGCCCCTGGGTTTCGAGTCGGTATTTCCACCAAAGTTCTCTTCCCACCAGGTGCTTTGATCTTCAGCTGGCTCAGCTGAGTCCACCTCGGTGTTGTTTTCATCTGCTGCCACCGGTTTATCGATCTTGGGGCGCCAGTGTTCGATGTTCATGAAGCCCTGGCCGTTGAAGACAACCTGCTTCTCATCCCCAGACCAAAACTCGATTCTGAATGGAGCGTGCTGAATGATAGCTTTAAACCCGTTATCGGGACCCCATGATACTTCAACGATATTGTCGGAGACCCTTTTGAACGTGGCTGTCTTCTGAGATTGGAGGCCCGCTCCAGTCAACGCCCATACCCCAGCTTCGTTGTACCTTTCTTTCCGAGCGACACTGCCATGCCGGAGTTCAATCTCACCCTTCCGCCTCTTTTCCTCGTCAATAGTTACTCGCACATTGCCCCGCTCGAGGAATGATATAGTCAAGGGCAGCTTGACTGCGTCGTTGTCGGCGAGTGTTTTTGTTATGAACGCATCCAGTTGTCCGTTCTTGAACTTCACCGACGTGGCATCCAGCCGGTATGGAGAGGATTCAGGACCTCCTTTTGTAGATACGGAATCTGCAAGGGCTCTGTTCCTCGTGCAGAAGCCAGACTGCTCACAGCGTTTGAAGTCATGGTGTTTGACCATAACTAAAACGTGTCAGCATTGGGATATTGGGTCGATCACTTGTGGCCTTACCTGCGGGAGACACAAAGAACAGAATCAGGAAAATGGAGACACAAGACAGTGTCCACCGAGGCGGACGCCTCGATGATCTTGCCATTTCGACGACAATTTGCCCTGACGCGTGTTGTGCCTGTACGGGGTCAAAGAGTTGTCTATGAAAGTTGTCTCCTTTAGGTGTTCTCATAGGGGACACGGAGTACAACCGAGTCCCTGATACGAACCAGGATCGCGGATGGGCATTGGCTGGATAACCGCTACTAAGCTCGCCTAACGCGCCCCAGCAGCATCGCTGTCACCGCAGTTTCGCTGCCCCTCCGTCACTGCAACCTGCCAAATCCCCCACTAATAATCCAGAGCCCAGCGGAGCAAAATATTTTGTCTAGACACACTTGACCGCAACTGTTCTTTCTTTCCTTTCCTCTGCAAAGCAATCTATCTCCTCTCGATCAGAACTACTTTGAAGTCTCACGCACCTCAAATCCAGTCAAAATGTCTAACGAACAAACGTGAGTGTCCAGCGCCACATCGAGCATGCGGCACGGTGTTAACCACGATTGTAGCTTCATCGCCGTCAAGCCGGATGGTGTCCAGGTATGATCCTCCACATGTAGGCTTCATTCCGTCGTTCGGTCTCTCCTGACACGAGTGCTACAGCGTGGACTCGTCGGAGACATCATCTCCCGCTTCGAGAAGAGAGGGTGAGCACTTTTGCATTGATAAAGAATGAGCGACGGCAGCTGAGCGGTGAAGGTACAAACTGGTGGCTTTGAAGATGGTCTCCCCATCCAAGGAGCACCTTGAGAAGCACTACGAGGATCTCTCATCCAAGCCGTTCTTCAACGGACTTGTCACATGTATGGAATGGTACAACCAAAAGGTGGGCGTTGATTGACGGAAGTATAGACATGCTGAGTGGCCCAATCGTCGCCATGGTCTGGGAGGGCCGTGATGCCTGCAAGACCGGTCGCTGTAAGTATAGCATGCTTGGTCTTTGCGGACACCGAAAGCTGATGTGTTTCAGCCATCCTTGGTGCCACCAACCCTCTCGCCTCCGCCCCTGGCACTATCCGTGGTGACTACGCCATTGATGTTGGCCGCAACGTCTGCCACGGCTCCGATAGTGTCGAAAGCGCCAAGAAGGAGATCGCTCTGTGGTTCAAGCCAGAGGAGGTCCAGAGCTACAAGTCGGCCCAGTTCGACTGGATCTATGAGAAGGCATAGACGGTCATCAAGGCAGCAAAGGCGTGTGATGGCAAATGTCAGGCCTCTTGATCCTTGCCCGGTCACGGCCGGCAGGTCGAAGAACTCAGGAACAGAACATAGACGTGCCAAAAGTCAAATATGATAACGTCTCGATCTTCGAAGATTCGCCATGGTAGCAGATCTCTTCGTTGCATTAGCCACCCGCCGCCGCATATTTTCACTTTCTCTCATGAGTGAGACCCCGACCAGGTGTGTGATGTCTTAAGTAGCGCGTGGTTATGACTTCCACCTCCGGAATATGGATCGTGTGGCCTTTCCAACTGGAAGGACGGCGAACCTGGCAAACCATGGAGCTCCCCATACACTAACAAGTAGACGGAGAGGGAGCAACACCTTTACAATAGTGTAGGCCGTTGCGAACTCCACCACCCACCTGGTCGCACCCTCGCCTCGCACGAACCATTTTGTGATCATCGTGTTCTCGACATTTCCTGCCTTGGCTTCTTTTGCTTTCGCTTCAACCTCTCTCTCGTCTCTCTCACTGATCCATCCCTTCTTGCGGAAATATCGACCAAACTTTTCGACACCAGCCGACACCCAAACTCCCTCGGCGAAGTATGGTGGTAGCCAATGCCAATAGTGAAAAGCCCCCGCAAGGCCGAAAAGTGGGATAACAGCGGTCAACTCATGTAGGATGATGAAAGCAGCAATATGGGAGACCGGCGCTTGTCGCAGGCCGGCCACTGTAGGCCGGAGGATACGAGGAGTTCGTTCAATAAACCGATCGAACCGGCTTCTGACTGCGGCTTGTTGGTCGACCTTTGACACTTGCTGTGAAGTGCCTTGCTTGCCATCTGAGAATAAGCGGCGTAGGAGCGGACTTCCAGAGGCTCGGAGGTACCGCAGGCCTGCACGCCGCATACTCGCGAAAACAGTGCAGTTCTTGTTTACTCGTCTCAGACATCGCGAGGCGCATTCGCTCGTTGCAACACGGCGGAGTCCTGAATACGGAGAGGTACAAATGCAGTATGCGCAGCTACGTAAGGCGGCCTCCCCTGGCTTATCAGCCATCCCTCACCGTCAGACTTCATTCCCAGAGCGATCATTGAATGATATAGACGGCGCCAACCCTCTTGTTTTCGTATCCCGGCCAACATCACCCTGGCTCGGCGGACCTCGAGACTGGTCGACTTCGTGGCCCAGCTCAATTCGGCCAGACTGTCGGGAGCTGGTCTCCTTACTAGTACTTGTAACACAGTACTTCGTCCATCTGCGGGAGTGTATCGGGACCGGACTCAAAGGTCCATGAAGAATTGGAATCTGATGTTCAAGTACCCTCGAGTCTAGGTAGTGTCATGGACCAGCTTCCTGCTGAACTGGTCACCTACCTCTGTCAGTTTCTGACAAGGCCGTCTCTGGCCTCTTTCCGTCTCACATGCAGAGCATTCGCCGCCCTAGCAGAAGAACATCTATTCCATGATTTTGAGTTTCGACTCTACCCAAGTCTGCGCAGGTTGCGCCAACTTGAAGAGCTCGCAGCCAATCGATCGATAGCATCTAGATTGAGGTGCATCACCTATGAGTCGGGCATCCCGCTAGAGTACGCCGACCATCGATATTGGCAAGCTCAAGTGTACCAGGAAAAGAGCAGCGCTTGGGAGCGAAGCCTAGCTGCTCAAGGGAATGCTCGTGATACATATATGGAGTTTCACGAGGCCCTTCAGGCCAGGTTCACCCCAGAACTTTCCCGCCGCTATGACCTTTACCGGTGGCACCTAGACCAACAGGCCGCAATTATGGCCGAGAGCGGCATTCGACAGGTCTTGATGTGGGCGATGGACAAATTGAGCCACTCGAGTCCCATATTGCGGTTCAAGCTGATCATGGCTGAGCCTCAGATCCAACTCGAGGAATTGGAGGCTTTCCGCCCCAAAGAGGAGGCGAACAGCAACCCTTATGACCCCGATCCCCGTCGAAGAGTAGTCAACCGACGTCAACACTGTCTGGATCATTTCATCAATTTCCTCGATGCGGCCAGGCGTTCACGGTGCAACGTATCAGACCTAACGGCCGTCGACATGCCTCATCAGCTTCTGACAGTTGACAGCGTTCATGGGAGGCAGGTTCTCGAAGAGATCTTCAAAGGCCTGAAGAGGCTGAACATCAAAGTCAGTGAGTTCCCTCATAGCGATTGGCTTTCTCGGGGTGGTATGTGGGAAGTATATTTTGGAGGCCGGAATTTGGCAGCTCAAAGGCTGAGGATGTTATTGGATTCTCCCTCAACACTTGAACACTTGAGTCTCGAGTTCCCTGTGGGCAGAGAAGCGGAATTCTCGTTCGAGCTCTTTGACCGAACGAACCTTGATCGCTTTCCACGGTCTTGGCTGCCACGGTTGAAATCTCTCACTCTTTGTCACTTTCGAAGTCCCTACGATGACTTGGAGGCTTTTCTTGCCGAGGGCAAGAACATCGAGGCTTTGGTGTTGAAACATGGTCGACTGGAAAACGGGGCTATGACAACTCTGCTGGACTATCTGTCCCAAAGGCGTCTTCCCAGTGTCTCGCTCCTCGGCACCTGGTACGTTGATAGGGACTGTGGGGAGTGGCATTCTCACAGCGAACAAGACTTCACGGATTGCCTCGCTGCGACATCGTACGAAGGGCCCTATGCGCACATGGGTATGCGGTCCAAGGTGGAGAAATATATACAGGAAGGGGGAGACTGCCCTCTCCCATACTGGAACGAAGACGATGTTCGAGATCAATGGGAGATATTGGGGGATACTAGTTGGCATTACCTCCCAGGGTTTCCACGACAATGATGCACATCCCAGTCCTTCGCCGGCAATGAGCCCTCACCGCAGAACCTCTCGTCGCCTTCTTGGATCACTGATGCCAGGTGGCGCCGGCGAGGCGAAGGCTTCACATATACATTTACAACTCATCCGGCCCTTGAGGTGCTTCCCACTGCGGGAATGAAATCGAGTAGGATGACAGGCTGACCTGCTCCTGTCGGTCACTTAGACTTCAACCCTTGGTGCCGAGCAGCACGTTGGGTACAGCTCATACCAGTATCACTACAAGCTCGGTCGGCGAGCAGCACAGCGAGCGAGCCAGTAAAATCCCGCCTCTTCAGATGGTCCTTTGATGGTGGTATGAGAGCCCCGTTATGCTCGGATTGGAAGAAAACGCGAAGACCAGTGAATCCACGAACTGGTACTCTAGGACGAAAGGCCGTACGGCAGGTTGGTCGCATCGAGCGTCTGCCAGCTAGTCGAATGTCAGAGCAATTGGTGGTGATGCTAAGAGGGGCGGAGGAATTGATGGTGCTTACATCCCCTGCCACTAGATTGTTGCCAGCGCGTTGCAACCCACCAATCTTTGGACCTCGACACCCATTCGTACCAACCAAGTCAAGGGGGCATTATATATATCGATTCGACACAGATGAAACGCCGCATGCCAGCAGCAGATGGACTTTTGATATATGAGACCCGTTATTCATACGGTCTCACAAGTGTCTAGCAGCACATCATCAGAACGATAGCAGTCCTCCTTGTGGCAAGACCAATCTCACCCGGAAGTGCGGGTTCATCAGGCTGATGATTGATACTGTGATCATATCTGATCGGATCATCCTCACCATGTACTAGACACCCAGCCTGAAGCGTGATTTGCGTACAAGTCGTGCCATTAAGGCACCATTCAGTGGGCACGCTCGTCATATCACACTTCGGGCAAACCGACGTCTTTGCTACTCTACTTCAAACATCATGGCCGACCGGTCACCTTCCCGGCTGTCAAGACTCATCAAATCATACAAGTCTAGCACGAGCAACACCACATCCAGTTAGTGATCCCTCCCATGGCCATTAGTGCTGGGCCTTGAGTCCTCACTGGGCCTGTCCGGCTGACTGAACTTTGAGAAGCTCGGTTGAGATAGAGTTACGCTGGTGTTACTGTGACTAAACCGACAGCAGGTTCCGATCCTAGACCGTCAGAGGGTGATGCAGAAGCGGATGCTCGTGCCCGGCGTCGCGAGCAGGTCAGACGGGCGCAAAGGTTGGCGACCACCCTTTCTCATCAAGTCATCTCAAGGGGTAACAAGGCTGTTTCAGCTAACCTGGACTGACAGAACTCATCGAGATCGGAAAGCAACATACGTGAAGACCTTGGAAGCTGAAGTTGCCCGATTGCGTGCGCGAGATGCTGCCCACGATGCCGAGATTCAAGCCTACAAGCAGACAGTCCATCGGCTCAAGCAGCTGATCTCGCATCATAGTGGTCCTTTGCCGCCTGATTTGGCCACAGATCCGCTTGTGGCGACTCCTCAAGCCGTCGTTGAACTGGTCGGTCTTCCGGATCACTCGCAAGCGATCCGAGCTCAAATGCCCGAAGGGTACTATGGCGATCTCTGTGGCATAGCGCCCGCGCCTGCATTGTCTTCCGAGTCCACGGTATCTTCCACCGATTTCCTGGCAGGCATGAACATCAGTGACGGCCCACGCCTGGATCAAGCCGCCACTCTGCCTATGAACACTACCATCTCTGCCTCAATGCCTCACCCTCAAGGTCTGGGGACGACACAAGTTGGCGTCGACTTCGTTCTAGCCCTCGAGCAAGTCTGTCTGTCTCATCATGCCCTGCACACCTGTGATGAAGACGGCAGTGGCCATTCCATGATGCTAACCAGTCCAATCATGTCTCGGTCTCCACCATTGACTCAGACAACACAACCAGGAACAGGTCTCCCGGACGGCACTCGGTGGAGCGTTCCAGCCGTTGAGCTGGAAAAGTTGCTCGAGTTCTCCAACCGCCTCAACCTCACTGGAGAGATCACACCTGTCGAGGCATGGCAACGCATACGGCGGCATCCCAACTTCATACATATAACAAGGGATGGCATTGAGACCATCAAAGCGAACCTTGCCCCCGAGGTTCAGTGCCAGGGGTAAGTCCTCTGTATAGGATGTGTTAGTGCTGAGCTGAACATGCCTTTCTGCAGATTCGGCGCCATTATCGACGAGACCTATTTTGAACAGGTCGTCCAGAAGGTTCTGGGACCTCATCCCAAAGCCTTCTAGGGTTATTGTCAGTGTTTTTACTGGCCAACCCATTGGAAGGACGCCCTCTTATGCTGGAAAGCCTCATGGGGCACCGGCAGCGGGGAGGAAGCCTCATAAATCGCCGAATGCATGACTGAAGACAAGTTAGACGTTTGAGCGGCATACCGGGAGAAGAACGAGTAAGATGGAGCAAGCTCGTTTCAAGAGAGCAAGACCTCCAAAACACTACCCAAGTGCATGCTGTGCACATGAAATGGATGGACCTGGTATGATGCCTCCAAGTCGATCTCCGGTAGATGAACCGTGAGAAGCTGTTCTAGATTCGTCAACAATCAGAAGACTCTCTTGATCCGCGTCTCCCCTCCCGGTATTTTGGAAAGGCTTTGCTACATATACGCTTCGTGCTCTGATCCATCTTCATGTACTCGATCAAGCCTTGCAAATCTCGGGTTGGAAAGGAGGTATCTTCGTGGATCTCGAGGGTACACGTAATACAACCCATCAATCCCTTAGCCAGGATCTTGGTTGAACAGTGGTATCCTTGCGTCCATTTTGCTGAGTAGCTTTCCTGCGAGCGGACACCCAAGGGACATTCAACACTCGCCTGGTGTAAAGTGTCAGATTCATGCCAGTGAAGGAGAGAGTAGAGTATCGTATAGACAGCTCATTAGCTCCCCAGCCACCCATCAGTTTCAACAATGACAGCATCAACCTTAATTGTCTACTTCACCTTCCAGCATCCTTGATCAAATTAATGCCCGGTATGATTCTTCATGACGATAACTGATGACGTCCCATCTGAAAGAGGATCATTGAGCTGGTAATACTCTCTCTGCCGGAGGGGCTACGACAGGCTATTTCAAGAGTCAATACTAGTACCCTCGACCGAGAAAGAATCAGGCGCCAGGGCAAAAGGGCTTTCATTGCCCATATATTGCTGCACAGCTATCCTATCACGGAGTATCAGCTCCCTCAGTGATGGCGCCGAAGAGACGGTCTGCCCGTGTAGCCGAGAGTGACGGCTCGCGCAAAAAGGTGAAGGTCAGCACAACAACCTCAACCTCGCCACCGCTACCGCAATCCTCGTCTCCTCCTAGCCCTGCCAGTGCTGTTGAGACTGCCAGTGCATCGAAGAGCGCCATAGACGCCAGCTCCCATGCTGCGCCTGCTGCGCCTGAAACCGATGCTGTCACGTCTGCGCCGAGCTTGACCTTCACGTCTTACGAAGTTCCCTCCAAGTCCATGGCCAAACCGATCTCATGTCTACGGAGCCATCCACCCTCGTCGCCACCCGTATCATTGATTTTCACGCACGGCGCGGGCGGAGGCCTATCAGCACCTGCGATGACCAATTTCTGCCACGGCTTCGCCTCGACGGGGACAGCAATTGCATGTTTCCAAGGACCCATGAATCTCCCGGGCCGCGCTGGCATGTTCGCTACAGTTCTCAACTACGAATACGAGAAGCAGCAGACAGGCAAGACTCCGGAACTAGAACTAGAAGGGGCCCAATTGGCTTTTGGCGGACGAAGCATGGGCGCCCGAGCAGCAGTGATGGCCGCACACAGCGACAAAACCATCGATTTGCTGATATTGGTGTCGTATCCTTTGGTCGCCCCGAGCGGCGATGTGAGAGACCAGATCCTTTTGGACATCCGGCCCGATACAGAGGTGCTGTTCGTCTCCGGCGATGGCGATTCGATGTGCGATCTGGCGCGGCTGGCGAAGGTGCGGGCAAAGATGAAGGCCAAGACGTGGATGGTCGTCGTCAAGGGCGCGGATCACGGCATGAATCTCAAGGGCGGGGCGAAGCTGAAGAAAGCCACTGAGGAAGTGGGGAAAGAGACGGGGAGGATTGCGGCCACATGGATCCAGCGGCGGGATGGTACTAGTACGACGCGAGAAATGGTCTTGAAGTGGGACCCAGACCGTCAGCGCGTTCTTGGGCAATGGGGACATGAGCAGGCTGCTACAGCACATGACAATGTCGGGGGTCCAGCTGAGAAAGGGGGCATTAAAAGATACTTTGCGAAGACTGAGATTGGAACGGAGGGAGACGAGGCTGAGATAACGAGTCCCAAAGCGAAGCGGAAAAAGGAGGTGCAATGACGTTCCTGAAGCAGAAGCAGAACAGCGTCTCTGGTCTATCACCCTGCTAGGCCTGTGCTCTTGTACTTCATACTGGTGTAATTGGTGTTGGTTTGGTTGGCCCCAGCCTTGAACATAAGGGCGAGTCCGCCGGGTAGGGACAGGATCAGAGTGTTCGATGCTTTTCTGCTGCCAGGAAGTCCAACCTCGGCGGCAGCTTGACACACGTTGCCGTCGAAATCGATACCTTCAATCATATTTACATTCACTCTATCTCATTCATCGCTGCATACTTCATTAAGTATAATCGCGTCGGAATAGCTATTATGTGTTCACAACTCCCACATGTCAATGACGTCCACGGTCACTCCTAGATTTCCACCCCCAAGATTCTCGCTTCCTCCGCTCGTCTCTTCGCACTCACCATGGCTCTCTTCATCCTCAGGTTCCCCTCGAACGCCGGCTGTTCGGCGCGGAGACTTCTCTTGGTGATGAACTCGGACGGCTTTCCAAAGTCCGGCTCGCCTCCCAACGTGGCGAAGATGTCGCCGACGTAGTTGTTCGGGACGATGCCCGTTTCGAACGTGCTCTCCCACCCTTCAAGGATGCCCGTCACGACCTTGATGCCCGCCAGATAGATGTTGCGGATTGCGGGAGAAAACCCGCCTTGGTTCACGTAGAGCAGGTTCTGGATCTCGCTGATCCCCGGTGGCGGTCGGTCGAAGTCACTGGCCGTCCTCATCACAATGGCACGAGAGTAGTCGGTCAGGTTCATCTTGGCGGCGCGCAGAATGGCTTCCAGGGAGGCATTGTCCTCTTCGGCCGTGCTACAGTAGACACCCGATCCGTTGGTCCAGATCGTCGTCGTGTTCTCAAACGCCTCGGACAGGTGGGTGCCGGAGTAGTAGACATCCGACGTGGCAACGTCGCAGCCGACCACGCTCGGGGGCTCCGAGCCAAGGATGTAAGCGGCTTCCTGGGCGTACAAAGCACGGTAGGCCTGCGATGCTGCGCTGTCATTGAGAGCGGCGGCGGAGGCAAAGCTCATGGCGACGTCTCGCAGGGCTTCGTTGACTTCGAACACTTCGGTGCCGTAGATGCTAGACGCAACAAAGGTCAGCTCATCACATTCTCCAATGGCTTGGTCCTCGCAGTACATACTTTCCAGGATAGTCGTCCGGCGAATCCGACCCCAGCGGAATGTAACCGGTGGTGAAGTTGGAGGGGATGTCCCTGATATCGAACTCGTACTGCAACGCGACCTGGACCGCATATTTGGCAAACGTGACCGATCCCAAGGTGGCCACTTTGGGATTCACCCCCGCAATGCCGGCTATGAAGAAGTAGCTTTTCGTCAGGTTGAAATCGGGACTCAGCACAAAGGCGCTTACGGTCGTCGCGGCATTGATCTCGGACTCGCCCGTGATGATCTGGCAGATGTCGCCGTCGGCCGTACAATGGGCTTCGGGGAAGAGAGGTGAGAGGCCAGGGATGGTGATGTTCTGCGCGAGCAGGTCGAACTCATCAAGCCCCCACCACACGGCGGCTTCTGGTTCGAACATGGAGATGATGACAATCTTGGGAGCAATGGGACCGGTGCGTTTGACCACATGGTTGTTGCGCGCCACCAATGGTGTAGCCGCCGTGAAGGGCAGAAGACTGGCGGCCGCAAGGGCGAGATTGACCAGGCTGAAGCCGCGCATGGTGATAGATCGAGGACGACACCACAGCCCAGAGCCTACAGCTCTAGCACGGGAACGGGAGAGGAAGAGAGAGGAAGACTGACAAGGGGGAAGAAAAGAGAGCGGTATGGATGGGATTGACCTACCTTTTTCAACGAGCATGGCCATCGAGCTCCGAGCTCTTAGCTATCTTGGTATGTCCAAGCTGCTGTGCGAAGTTGCAAGCTCCAAAGCTTCAAGCACAGTTCGTGGAGTACCATGAGCAACCCCCACAAGCGATTCGTCTCCATCGGGCGAGGCCGATGCAACCATGTTAACCATGTTATGCCAGGGTTTGACCAATGATAAGACCCTTATCTGCTCGGTACCTGGCCTAAAAGACCATGAGGTGTGAGTCAAGCATGAGAAGCATGTTGCCATTGGAGCTTGAAGAGCTTGGAGAGCTTCTTATCTCTGCATCACGACCAACGACCGGGTATCGGAGGAAGATGATGATGCGGACCTGCAGTAGTAGTCGTGGTGGTAATGGCATCTGGGTAGATCGCGGGACAGACTTTCGATGTCAATACCTAGGTATCCTAAGATAATATGGAGGCCGTTGTTATCTTTTGACAAGGCTAACCGGACAGGGGGCAGACACCGCTCATCCAAAATAGCCTGCGGTCGTCGCTTGATAGGACCAGGCGGAGAGTAATCGAGCAGCTCTATCCGGCGGATTCATGAAGTCTGTCCTCCACCAGGCAGCTCGATCGATGGACGAGGTTGTTGTGCTGCCAAAGATCCAGGCGGTGGACTGGGTAACATAGCAGATTGATACATTCACATTCAAGTTTGCTGTGAGAGGATAAATTCTCATATTTTCACCCGGCCACAAAAGAACTTCAACTGTTGACGGTCGTAACAACTTGTGTCCCTTATCGCAATCGATAACACATAAGAACCTGTCTTATCTGAATCTAGCGACATGTTACGTCATACAAGCTGTTATCTTCAAGCTTTAATTGGCTTGGCACACGTAGGAGGTTCAACTAGAGCGACTAGTGCAGAATCTTCTGTCCTACTAGCAGTGCAGAGTTACAGAGAACGACTGTTGGTACCCGGTGTCTCACCTAGGAACAGACTTCAACTGCTGCTCTGTAGTACAAAGCGATGCCTCGAGACGACCAGCTCCCTCGGCTGAAGGTTTCTCGGGTTTATCACACACATGGCATGGTACCCCCATTGCAGGAATTCGCCTCTTTGCTCCATCGAGAGATCGATGATGGTACCTGAGATCATGTGGATCTCGCCATTGACTGGGAGGGAGCATATCACCACTGCAGCCCACAGCTGCAAGGAACCTGCCATAAAGCGAACCAGTCTTCATACCAGAAACCTTATGTACGTATCAGGAACATGTAACCCTGTACAAACTCTCTCGGTAGTCTCCGATCCAGCTAGAGCAGGAAAGTCCTCTGAGAGCCCTCCGTCCATCACAGGCTCATCCCTACAAGCACCGCTCGCTGCTGTATGCTACCATGAGCATAACTGAGCCCGCAGACCCCTCCTGGTTCAAGCATCATCTCTAGCTTCGCGTCCAGACTGAACTCCAGCCACCGCTTGACGAAAGCTCTCAGAATATGCCCATGAGCCACGACCACGACATCGCATTTCTGCTGCTTCTTCATGCCTTCTTCTTGAAGACGGGTGATTTGGGCGATCAGCCGGTCCAGCCTCTCCGTGACCTGAGCCGGAGATTGGCCTCCCGGCCCTTCACACCCGTCTCTCCAGATATCCCACGGCCGGTCGGTATCCAGACCTCGCTGTTTGCGCAGTTGTCGGATCTGCTCGGTCAGCAGGCCTTCGTAGTCGCCGTATCCCCACTCGCCGATGTCCTCGGTCGTCTCGGTCTTACTTTTGACGGCCTGTTTTATCTCAGCGTCGGGCACTTGCTCCAGGAGCAGTTCGAGGGTGCGTTGAGCACGCTTCCGCGGGCTGCAGATGACTTTGGCGATTTTGCTTGGGTCGATGAGCCTTCCCTCACCGAAGACAATCGATGCCGTATGTCGCACTTTCTCTTCCCCTTGGGGCAGTAAGGGGATGTCTGTCATGCCCGTGTATCGGCCGTTTTGGGACCATTCGGTTTGTCCTGTTTTCGCGATATGAGCGGCCGGCTTACACGAGCAAAGAAACGTGGTCCTGGCCATGTCTTGTCTGGTCTGCTCGGAGAGAATGGTTTCTCTGTAGGTCTCGCTTACCGTGACGTATTAGAAACACTCGAGGAGTGGCTGCGTCTTTTTCCGCCATCTTAGCTGACGGAACCCGACGTGCAGTGAGCTTTCAACAGCAGCTTGCGGACAGGAAATTGGACGAGTAGTATGTGGTCCAGCGTCTGTTCTTCGCCTTGCTTCGTCTCGTACTCCTGTTGCCTCTCTCTTCTGCTCTCAGATGTAAGGATAATGATGATGAAAGAGCGCACAATTGCTCAAACTTTTGAGAGGCGATTCGGTGTGGCCAAACCCCTAACCTGCGTTCGCGGGAGCGACCAAGTTCAAATCGACAAACGCCTCGATCGTCTATCTATCTTCTATTGTCCAAGAACGCTGCAAATTCGAAGAGCACAGTTCCGCCACAGCCGGCTCCCTTAGCACAGACTGAACTATAGTATTGCAGTAGGAACAGCCGGTTCAGGTGAATTGAACAGGGACTCAACAAATTGATAGAGCAGCAGCCTTGGCATATAGTTGATTACCTAATCATCTTGCATTTGATGTAAGCAGCCTCGTCGACAGCGATGCCGAAGTAGCAGCCATCCAATAGAGGAATTGTACACCTTCAACAAAAGTCGATAGTCTCAATTGCCAACCTCTGTTACTACTCTTACTCTCCTGAATCATATGACGTCGCCTGATTAGATTTTATTACTATGTAATGTGAGATAAAACGATCAGTAAATGTAGTAGTGGTAGACGACAGTGACCAGACCAACCAAGCAACAGCGGGCGGCTCCCCAATCTACCTACCTACCTGGGTAGGTCTTGCAATAACGCAGAAGCCCCCGTTGCCCCCATGTGGTGGAAGTGTTGCCCAGAAGATCTGACCCGTTCGTACTTGAAGCACAGGGGAGGGGCTGTACCATATCCTCAGTACAAGTCCCATCGATCATGTCCCATATAATACCCATGCCCATGAGGATGCCGATATCCATGTCCATGCCCGAATTTTTGACCATGCCATGCCATGCCGTGCCGTTCCATGCTATGCAATGCTTCCCGATCAGCTCCCCCTTTCTGGTCAAAAATCATGAACTTCCAATCCCGATCCCGATACCATGTGTCCAATGCAATGCATGATAGTATGGAAGTGCCGTATCCAAGATAAATTCCCTGTTCGTAACGTCGTCGTGCGTTCCTTTCCCCAAAAAATCCAATGAGACGATCTCCCCTTACAGCGCACTTTATCCAAGGCCAGCTGAACGAAATGGGGAAAAAAGCATATCAACTGCTAACAGTCTTATCAATCATCCAAGTCTTCCCATTCGCCTCCTCTTCCACAATGAACGCCGTACTGACATACTCGCTCATCGACCGCCAGCCAGGCCAAAGCTTCCTCGCATCGTCAGTCAGTTTGCCCGGCTTGCCCTTACGCAATGACGACTCATAGTTCGTGGATGATCTGCCTGTGATGGTATCATTGCTGCATTTTCTTCTCGAGGCGTATTCGAATTCTGGACCGGGGAAATACGGTGCATTGTAGATGCCGAAAAGGAGCTCGATGCCGGCCAGTTGCTGGCGATAAACGTTGGGTACCGGCACTTTGATCTCGATGTGGTTGTCGAAGACGTAGTTGCAGGGTCGGTCGAGTGCGCGGCCGAAGATGTCGCATACTTGGTTTGGGGTGAGCATTTCGAAGGCCAGGGCGATCCTAATGGAACTCGAGCGTTAGCGAAGATACCAGAAGCAAAAGGATAAAACAGCATAGTACGACAACAGTGCCAGTCCCCAATGCTCTCAATAAGCTCTGCAGAGAGATTAGAAGCAGATGCCCAGAAACAAGAACAAGAACAGCACCTGAAACACGGTGACAGCAGCGAAGAGACAGCACGCGTGGCGAAGCAACTGGCACAGATAACAAGAAAGTACACAGTAGTTCACACGGGCTGGAGGTAAAAAAATATTTACATACCTCGATCCATTCCATTTGTTCGGCCCATCCTTGAAGATCTGCAGCACCGCAGGACCGACATCATGTTCAGCATCCAGCCAGGGCAGTTTCGTATCTGGATGAAATGGCGCTCGCCACTCCAGCGTACCATCATCCTTGAAGTCCATACAGAACAACGGATACGGCAGACTGGTGAAGTTGTTGTTGTAGATTCCGGCATACACAAACGTCGCCGGTAGTCCGAGTTGTCTGATGTAGTTCTCGACGGTGAACTTGCAGGCCCATAGTGGCAGAGCGGGCCATTTTGGGTAGTGTATCGAGTGGTCTGGCATGCTGCTGTACACGAAGTGCTGGATATTGCGCTTCTTGGCCGCGTTGGCCAGCGCTTTTCCAATTTTTATTTCGTCGCCGGCGAGATGGATGGTGTTGATGAAGGCTATGTTGGCACCGTCGAAGATGGTCTCTATAAGCTCTGGATTGTCCAGTAATTCTCCCTCGAATAACTCGACATTGGGCAATTCGGCCAGCTCCTCGGCCACCAGGCCTTCGATGGAGTAGACCTGGGCGCGCACCGCATAGCCGACTGCCGTCACGGCCCGGATGACGGAGGCTGCCTGGCGCCCAGTACCATTGACAATGGCTATTGTCTTGGTCGGATTTGGCATGTGTATGGAGCACGGCTTTTTTTTTAATGGTTGTCGAGCTGGGATAGGGTGAAAATCCGAAAACCCAAAACCTAGAGAGTTCGCTGCTGCAAAACAATATAGATTCGAAAAGAGACGAAGTCACGGCTCGACATCAAGAAAAGAGATCAGAAAAGATGTGGTGGTTTGAGCAAGGCGACTGTCGCTGAGGAAGGATGTCCAGAAGAGAAAGAACAACATAAACGGGAGATATCACACCATAACGATCCAATTCCAGAATCCCAGGGCATACCGTACGGGCGAATGGTCAGAATGAAATGAACCATACTAATGTCACTAGAGAATATCGCCATTCCTGCCATAAAAGGCAAGAGACTTGACGGGGAGAATCTCTGCCGTAATGTGGTCTCCAGTGAGGACCCTTGGCTGAGCAATTTCTGCGATGGTGGTTGTGAAAAATGGTCCATCAACCAGACCTGTTGCAGCTTATTTCTTACGTAACCGGGCTGATGTCTGTCGGCGGGGTGCTGGGGCCATTCCGACTTCGAGATTTGCACTGGACCGGCAGGCCGGAACAGACAACAATCAGGAGACCAGAATCCAATATCAGCGAGATGCTCCAAGAGACATGTCGTACAACATGAAGGAGGGAGGTCATGATACGGCTGCCAGCCGGACGAATTCTGTCTCTAGACCCTGCAACACCAGGGGTCTGCCGACGAATAGAATGCGGGGGGTGGCGTTGAAAAAGGCGGGGAGGAATCCATCCGAGGATGGAAGACGGAAGAGAGCGACAGTATGCTGGAGAAGACGGTAGGGCCGACGGCTGGTGGCGCTTGACTGCTGGCAAGAATGCCAACTGAGGACTGCCGGTGTCCAAAAGAGCTCGCTTTTCTGGCGATACTTGAGGCGGTAAAGATGGCGGTAAGAGAGGCAATATCCACCTGACAGCTGTAAGAAACCTTGATGTATCTTGGACAGTCGGACACCTCCGCGGCCCCGTCGATCGATGTCTGCCGTTGCCTGGTCCTGGGATCTGAGTCCAAGCGATCTGTCTGCTGTACCTTCCGCGAGTAGTCGCCAAAACTCGACAAACAACGAACGCTTCATGGTTGTGTCTTTGTCCGGCTTCGTCCCTGGCCTTAGGAGTGACTGGTGAAATGGTCTTAGCCCGTCATCGTCGGCTATCCAACCATGTGCTGATTCGCCTGGATACCAGAGAACTTCAGTGGTCTCGTCTAGCCACTGGCCGCCCAATCACTACCCGGATGTTTAAGGGATGCCCAGGCCCGCTTGCTTCCACACCTCTGGCCTTTGACTCGCATGTAGTCGTGCCGTTTCTAGCTCTTCTGCGTGGAGATGTGCGCCGGCCTGTCGAAGGAGCATTACGTGTGGCAAGAGGCCAGCATTGGCAGCTAGAAAAAGGGGTGTCCGGCCTGAACCTGTATGATTGCGGAGATGGACCGAGGCCCCTAATGAGAGCAAATACCGGAGAATGGCAAGGCTGGGCCCGGTGGCGGCTAGGTGGACCGGGGTGTTGCCAGAGTAGTCCGGACGATTCATGAGCTGGGTGTCCTCGCGTAGAACGTCTTTGACCTTCTGGATGTCTCCGCTGGCAATGGCATACGCAATAGCGGTGAGCTGAGCGACAGGAGAGGATAGCTCGCCCGTTGGGTGACTGAACACGGTCTCCGAGTGCTCCGTGAGCTCGCCTCGAATGGAGATGGCCATGGTTCGTGCCACTGACTCTGGCGTCGCTTCTGGAAGTGACAAGAGGTATGCCAGTTTGGTCAAGGCCGCCTCACTCGTCATGTCACCGCCTGCGACGACGCCTGCGCGGCCCAGAGCCATTCCTGGTGCATAGACGGGGCTAACGCCGCCAGTCAAACATTGCGTGACATTAACAATTACAATACCTCGCTGCACGGCGTCAGAGATGACCTGAATAAATTTGTTGTCGTGTCCACTGGGAGCATTGCCGGCACCGAACGTCTCAAGTACCAGACCGCGTAGCCCTTCCGTGCGTAACACCGCTTCGACCATTTTAGATCTGATACCTGGGAAGATTCTCAGACATGCCACGTGGTGGATTTCAAGGTCTGGCTGAACGCTGAACGCTTGAAGAGACGTGGGCTGAGTGACGAGGTTCCAGATCACTTTCGTATCTACTGCGGTGATCTTGGCCAAGGGAGGTAGATTGGGAGATGCAAATGCATCAAAGGCGTTGGCGGATATCTTCGTGGCTCGATTGCCGCGGAACAAGGTCGAGTTGAAGCAGAGACATACTTCGGGGATCATGAAGTGGGCAGCGATGTCCAATGAATCGAGCAGGTTGTCGAGGGCATCGTTTTTGCGCTCTGAGAAGGGAACTTGAGAGCCTTTCTCCTGTTAGCATACAAGTTGAGGCTATCCACTTCGACATGACAGATGGAACAGTGGCACGTCTGGGCAGCGATATGTAATATTGCATGGCTTTCAAAGGTTTGAACTCACCTGTGAGTATTATCGGCTTTCCCAAGTTTTGCAGCATGAAGCTGAGGGCTGAGCATGTGTATGCCAAACTGTCCGTGCCATGGAGGACAACGAAGCCGTCAAAAAGTTTGTAGTTTCGGAAGATCGTGCTGGCTATTTGATCCCATCCTTTGCTATCGATCGAGGAGGAATCCAGCAGAGTTTCATATTCCAGCACAGCATATCTGTAGAGACGTTAGTCATGCTTGAGATCACTACCGACTTGGAGGTCATCGCGGTAACTTGAGCCACAGGCCGGCATTGATGCTCTCATCAAAGGAGACTAGGGCACAGAATATGACTTGCCTGACACGTTTCCCATATACGCTTGTTGGTGTCCTCAAACTGTGCAACTTACCCATGCCCTCTGGCCCATCTTTGAATGCAACATCGAGAGGATCTTGTGGCTCTCCGTCGTTGAACTCTGGTCGGGGAGCCATGCATCGGTCGAGGAAGTTGCGGGCTGGTACAAGTCCATCTGGCGACTTCTGCATACAAATGGTTCCCCCTGTCATAATCACCAGGATTCGAGCCTCAGGTACGTAGCCTTGCGCCATGTTACTCGTCGCTGCAACGAACTCAGCCAAAGACGGGGTGTTGGCAGGTATATGATACATACTCGTCATCAAGGGGCTGGATGGCTCTCTATACGCATCTGCAACGTGTCAGATTGGGTTGGAACTTGGACATAAACGAGCAAATTCACTCTCACCCATATTGTCCGACTGTCCTGGTGTAGCATCGGATTGTTCTCTATTTCACTGGCGAACATACGTCACTAGATGCGAAGTGTTATTTCCGTCCGTCAACTCCACAGACAAATAACTCTCGATTTTATTCTGTCGAGTAGAAAGTTCTTGTAATTGTCGGTCGATCCCTAGAAACCCCTGACGCGTCCCGGTCGCCGTCATCATGGCCAAGACAGATCATCGTTGGAAAGTGCAGGGTAGATCGACCACCTAGCCGTCTCTGGAAACGCTCTGGAAGTGGTCCAGGCACCGGGGGAGATGTCGCCTTGCTTCATTTAGTCCGGGCCGAATGACCTAGAGCACCGCCATACTTGGGGCAACCAAATATAAGGAGGGGTCAAGTATTTTGACTTGGGTGACCTTCCTCCTCCTTCACCAAGTCTGCGCCCCACAGTCAGCAGAGATCGCGAACACTCTCTTGTCTCAATCATCGGCGTCTTGCCCTGCTCTCAAGGATGTTGAGTGGAGCTGTAAGCCCATAGCTGGACCTGCTAGTGCCCCGCGGTGTTCAGGACACAGCGTCACGCAAGGGGCACAGCTATCTTGACATATGTGAGCCTGTTGCTAAGATCCCGATCACCGTGGCAGGTCATGCAAGCTGTCTCTCGATTTGCGAAGGGCCACGTCGAGGTGATGCGCTCCAATCGAATTGCTTTGTTCCAGATGCCACAGCACCTTGAGCGCCTGGGGAAATTGGTCGACGGCAGCGTGCAGAGGCGATGACAAAGAAAGGCCATGCCACACGTGCAACAACAAAGAAGCAAAGGGGAGATTGACGCCAGACTCCTTCTGCACAGCACATCACCGCAGCCTGAGCAAAAGAAAATGGCAGCCAGCAGGAATTGAGATTTCATCTGGGCGCTCAACCATGGTTCAGCAACCGCTGTAGCATCTGAGCCTGGCCCTTGCAAGCTCCATTGATGGAGGAAGATGCAAACGAATGATCACATCTGTAAGATGCGCAAAGGAAATTTGGTGCCTCACCATCATGCACTGAGAATCATGTCCATTGTGTGCTATGCGTCCACCATGTCCTTGTGGTTTTATTGTCTGTCTGTCTGCTGCTGTTGTGTCTTGCATGTTACGTTGCGTTCTCTTGCTCATGGCCATACTGTCTCATTGCGTGCCAATGTCATTGATATTGATCATATGTTTCTGTTGCCAGCAGTCTTGTCTGTGATATTCGACTACCCAGCTGTGAAGATGGAAGTGCTGGCGTGAGAAGACTCTGACTGTACCCCCAACGAAGCCGTTGACCTTGCTTAATTGAGTTGAGAAAGTGAATCCCAGAAAGAGTCATTGGCAGAGCCTCATGCCCCAAGGCCACCCGACTGTGTTTTCCAGCCTGCGTTTTCCAGCCTGCGGTGTGGGAGTGAAAGCAAACGTGACTCAAGTCAGGAGACGGCAACGAGGAACGCGACAGAGAGAGAGAGCGTGTGATCCTGTGGATGGTGAGCTTCAAGTCGTCACTGGAAGTGGTTGGCAAGTCGTGAAAGGATATCTAACTGAATCTTTCTGAGAAGCAAAGAGCAGAAAGGAAGCAACAAAGATTCTGCCCGCAGCCGAACAAAGAACTGACTGCGAGACTGCGACAACTTGAACAACAAGATCAGACAAGACAGTGATTCTATACTAAGTAAACACTGCAGCACCTTCCGATATCTCGCGACTTCAACTGACTTCAAGTCGCCGCACAACTTCAACTTCCCAACTCTCTCCTCTCTCTCATCACCATCCATCAACCAACTCCATCAATTCCATCCACCAGCGTCAGAATCGCATCTCCTCTCTATCCATCGTCCGTTTACACTCTTTTGTACTACAACTGTTACACCTCGTCCGTTTCGACGTTCGTTCGACACAACTCCTTACCCTCTATCTTCATCTCAACCTCCACCACAACCGATCTCAACCACCCACAACACCACCCTTCCCTTACATCAAGTCTATACAATTAGACAATCGCGACAATGGTCAATCCCGGTGTCAAGTTGAGATCTTTCGGCGCCATGCCTATCCTCCTCGTCGTCGCGTTCCTGCTCAATGTCGCGCCAACCGAAGCCTTCTTCCGTCACTTGTGCTTTGGCGAACTTGGCAATGGACGCGTCGATCCGATCATGGCTCCAGGTCAACCGTCGCAGCATCTTCATGTTAGCTTCGGCGCATCTAGTGAGTACAAGTCATCAGGACTGACGGGAAAGTGAGAACTGACCACAGCGCAGACTTCGGCCTTGATCCTACCCTCGACGACTTGTTGGTTTCCAACTGTACCAGTTGTTCCATCACTCAGGATCACTCCGTCTACTGGGCCCCGCGCATGTACTTTGAGCACTCCAATGGCACTTTCGAAATGGTTCCTACCACTGGCGGCATGACTGTGTAAGATGGCCCCTCACTCTTCCATATGATCATGCTTCTAACATCTCTAGCTACTATTTTACCGAGAGCGGAGAAAACAATGTCTCGTCGACTGCCTTTCCTCAGAACTTCCGCATGATCGCAGGTAACTCACTCAAGCGTGCTTACTATGGTCTGGATCCCTACCCTCCCATGGCGGCCTGGAAACCCAGCGATATGACTCAGCAGGCTCTCATGGAGAAAGCGCTCGGCTTCAACTGCATGCATTACGATAATGGGATACCAAATGAAGGTTCGCTGGAGCACCATGGAATGCGCGACAAGAGCTTTATCGACGCCACCTGTGAAGATGGTATACGCGCGGAATTGATGTTTCCATCATGCTGGAACGGCAAGGACCTGGACAGTGACAACCACACCACCCATGTTGCGTATCCGAGTGAGATCAAGTATGGACTTTGCCCTGAAGGATTTCCTGTCAAACTGCCGATCTTGTTCTACGAGACCATCTACCAGACCCAGCGCTTTGCTGGTATGGACGGGCAGTTTGTGTTTTCAAACGGCGATCCTACTGGCTATGGCTATCATGGAGATTTTCTTTGTGGATGGGAAGAGGGTGTATTGCAGAGCGCAATCGACAGTACAGTCTGCACAAGCGTGAACAGCACCGGTCTCCAGGAAGATTGCCCGATTTTCTCCCTGCAGGACAGCGCAGCTGCGACACAGTGCAAGATGGAGGTTCCAGAGGCTCTTCAGCAGGAACAGATCGACCTTGTTCAGGATTTGCCAGGCAACATCAAAGTCCAGGCCGGACCGGAGCCAGCCATGATGCCAGGAGCTGCACCACACTCAGCGGCACCATCAGAGCCTGCCAACGCGACTGCGCCAAGTGCGGCAGCAGAGCCAACTCTTCCACCAGTCACTGCTACAGTCCCGACCACTTCTGTCAGCCCAACAGTCACCAGCACTCCGGATTCTTCACTCGCAGCGGCAGATGGTCAAATTACGTTGACGTCAACCTACATGAGCGGTACTCTGGAAGTCCACATGATCCTAGTGGAAGACATTGTCACGGTGACTGTATCTGAGACTGCAGCTCCTACAGCGGCGCCACTCAAGCGTCACATCCACAGACACAGTCATGGAAACAGACTGGTCTAGCGCCGAGCGCACACGCATGGTTACACGGATGAGTATAACCTGCCAAACAGGCGTACTTGGGTATCTAGACAAGCCCAAATATGTCTTGGAAAACGACTCGTGAAGAAATGATGATTGACGACTTTTCTTTCGCCAAAGTGACAATGCCAGGAGCATTGCGACATCCATGGAGATGAATTGACAACATTGCTGGAAGGGAGAGATGGATAACCAAGCAATTTGGTGCAGCGGGCTGGAACTTTCATGAACATGATCATGATCAACTGGGGTGGAAATCTGTGAGCTTTAGCTGGTGACAATTGAAACCATTCAATGGAAAAAAGGAACGTGTCTCTGCCGTAATGAATGTGCCCTACAATGCCGCCGAAAGATGAGTATATTGAATCACTCACTAAGCATTCACTCACTCACTCCAGTCTCAGTTGGAATTGGCTGGCAAGATATTGAAACTGCGCTTGGTCGGTCGTGGAGTCACCGTAGTCTTCGCGGTGGAGTGTCTACCCACCAAGTGCACCGTCTACCTCATAAATGTCTCAAATGGCAAAATGGGCAAAATGGCATCCCGGCATCTCCGACAACGACAATCTTGAACTACAGAGTACATACAAGCCTCAGCCTCGATACCTTTTACGATTCGGTATCTCGACCCGCTACTATCACATGGCAACAACGTCAATCGTAATTTGATCTAGGCGTTGTCGAGCAATTCTAATCAGGACCCTTCTCATCCATCGAACTCCTTATTACCTCGGAAAACAACACCACTGCAGCATCCCCACCAACATACGGCAAACGTGTGCCTTGAGCAAAGCAGGCTTTGAGACGGCCATATAACTACCTAGTACCTTATATAGTCTCACACGTCGAGGCTTGGAGCTCGAAATCCCGGAGTCAAGACACGACATTCATCCAGCCAGCCAGCCAGCCAGCCAGCAAGCCAGCCAGCCAGCCAGGCTCAGAACCAAACACAACCGCTCAACCCATACCAGATCAGATCAAAACAAAAACAAAAGCCAGTGACCGACCGACCGTACAACGAACGGGAAGCAGTACGGAGCAGAGCAGAGCAGATCAACTCTGACCGACGGTTTTTGAATTGTTTGATCGTACGACTTGACTTGACTTGAACTAGTCCGCCGCTCATCTCAAACATCAACATTGGAATCATCCATCGTCCATCATGGCATCTTCATCCTCAACCTCAACCTCCCACAAAAAGGACGCGGCAGACATCATCGCCGCAGCGTCACGTCCATCCAAGAGATTCTCGCAACAGAGTACCTACAAAGACGACATGAGAAAGTCGATCTGGTGCGAGACCCAGTGGACGAACTTGAGCATGCAGGCCAAGAAACTTGATATGCCGCTGTTGCCGTATTTCGAACCGGACACGATGTTGTTGTCTAAGGATATTAATCATAAGTTGTGGTTGCAGTTGGTAAGATTACCCTATTTCTTCCTACCTCTATCTCTATCCTACCTCTACCTCTACCTCTACCTCTACCTCTACCTCTACCTCTACCTCTACCTCTACCTCT